TCATCGTTAAGTGCGAGTAATGCGCCTCTCTGACTTATGCATTGACTTTTCTTTGTTCTCTCTATTAATATTACCACTCCTGCTACCACTCTTTCAAGTTCCTATAGTCAATATGACTGTCCTAGAGACATTCACTTACAATGAGAAACCAAAGAAAGAGGATAAAGAAGTTAGATATTGGACCAATTAGACAACTTTTACAATTAGATATAAGAAACTAATCTCAATCACGGTTACTTGTTTATTTCCAGATCTTCATCAATCAATGTCGATATTAATTTGTCAGTGTGCAATTCAAAATAACTCTTCAATAAGCATATAAAAAGTGTAAAAGAGAATTCAATACTAATTTTGATGCAGCAGCAGGAGTCAGATAAAAGCCGGCAAAGTTTTTGCACGATGAAGTTGGAGAACGAGGTCAACCTGAAGATTTATATTCACTACAAGAGAAATAGAGACAGTTTAAACAGGATTGAATGTTAAAGAGAGATAGTAAGCAAGTGTATGTACAAGATCAGACTTGGACGGCCCCGAAATAGCGATGTACGTCCTTGAGGTATGACGTCCTCATGCACCGCTCGATATCAGGCGGGGTGGTACTGTGACGTCAGCATTGGACGTTGCCACTGTGTAAAGCACCGGGCGTCTGGCTCGTTTTTCCGTCACCTACCCCTTCATACTCAGCTGACCGCCCACACAACTTTCTCTCTCTCTTTTCTTGCCGTTTTTCTCAATTCCTTTCTTGCACTACTGTCGTATAGATCGCTTAGGTAAATAACTCTTTTCATATTCATCGCTTCTACTTGGAGGATGAAATTAATGCGATAATCATTTCCATAGCAGCTTTCTTATTTCACTCTCTTCTTGTATTTACAGGAGTGGCTTCGACAGGATTCTCCCGTCAAGACCTGATGACTGTTGTGTATATACGAACAAATTAATTTTAATATTTATAAAATACATGCAATTCTTATGACCCGAAACTAGTTACATATCTCAAAAGGGGTCACTGGTCACCATTTTATTCGTTTATATTGTAGAAAAATGTCATTACATAAAGTGTAACAGTGTTTTCATGATACTTCATTACTCCCGATGACCTTAGTTAATCATTTCTCTCTTATGCGTAACTATTTTCTTGTATAAGTATTAGCTTTATGCTTTATAAAAAGGTCTATAATGCAACGTGAAGGTCACGGTTTGAATTTCCTTCAGGTGCAATTGATAATAAATCTGCAAAACTACGACAGGTGCAAGCTACAAATACAATTGTGATGATAGACAATATGAGGGATATATGATGAGAAAGAACAATTGAGAATAAAAAATGACACGCATTCATGATAAATTAAATGGATTTACCGTTTGCACGATAAAAGTCGACGGATTCAGTGTATTTACTACTTTTATTTTATTTTTGTTCTTATTTCTCACGTGATCAGTTTGATACACGGGTGAGGGTGGTCGTGCCTACATGTTTTATAAACCAGACTACTTCAATTCTCTAAATAGAGTTTCGCTTTTAAGTATCTATTCAATTGGATGCGTGATTGTTTTTGTCTTGGACATGGAATCAATTGAAATAATTTGGATTTTATACAAGTTTTTTTTTTACTTTCATTTTTACCTATTTTTTATATTCTTTTGTTTAGGAATTTTCAGAATAATCGAATGACTTTGATTGAATATTTGACTTAGAAGGAGGTTGTTAACCCTTAACATCAAATAATGTACTTTTTGACCTACTTTTTGGCAGATAAAATGTCCTATGAAAATAGTTATTTAAGCTTTGATGTATTATCCACCTTACTAAGTTGACAGGCTAATGGTTAATGTCATTATATATAAATAAGGTATACATAATTTTTATATTTCTTATTTTTTACTTTTTCTCTCTCTCTTTTTATATAGTCAATCTAACTTTTCTTTTGTTTTCATCTAGTTTAGTATAACTCACATATTTACACACATTATAAGCTTACTTCGATCGTTTGCACATGCAAATGAATACGTCAAACGCGTGCATTGTCATTGGAAGATATTTCCAACTGTCTCTCTGCCGCGTGATTGAATCATTGTAATCAATGAAGCGTGTTCGTCATAGTTTCCACAACAGAACCATTAACAGTATATGTTATTTATAACATGATTTTATCAAAGTTATTTTTTTTACATTATTTGATATCATGAGTACACTCAGGTAAGTCTAGAAATATTTTTCATTCTCAATTAAGATAGAGAAGAAAATGTTTTTTATTTGTCAATTTTTTAATTATATAAACCAATATTTTATATTCGCACAACTGTTTAAGTCATTTAAATTCATATAATAATATTTTTTATTAATATCTATTTACTCTACTATTTATTAATATTCATCGAAATGAATATTTCAATAATTACAATCAAAAATACAGATGATCATTCAATAGATTGAATAAAAGTTTTGGAATTTCATTGTAATTTTATTACTTAATGTAATAAATAAGTGATCTATTGTATAAATTTTTTTACCAATAGTAAATTATACTCTGAGTGTGGGAAAATACATTAAAAGCAATAGTCAGTGATGATGAAGAGATATGTCTGGAGTGAAAATTGTAAAAAGTCTTATGGCACGTGACTCAGGTCTTTGTGCCGTAGCCAAGCAGTTGGATCACGCGTGTATATTTAGTCGAGCAGCAAAACAATGCAGTTGGCTTCTAGGAAGAAGAATATACTCTGCGGAAGCATATAACTAAATATTTTTTTTATTCGTTGATAGATTTTGTATAGATGTACGAAAAACTTTCAATGAATTAATATAAATGTAATTATATCTGATCTATCATCAACAATGATGAAGTAAGAGGTAAAAGAAATAGTTTGATTTGCGTGACATATGTGGTTACTTTATTACGTGAAGGAAGCACGTGGCGCTTACGGAAAGGGAAAGCTGTAGACATGTTATTACAGCGTGCGCGGTCATTGATAAAAATTTAAGGTCCGCCAAAAATTTCTCAACAGTAGATCACAAGAATGGAAGGAGAAGGTAAAAGACCAAAGATGCCAAAAATTTCTCGAATTTATTACCAAGCTATTGCCATTCATTTTAGTTGTGAAAATTTTTGAATTAGAAACTGATAAATATTTATATTAAGCATCTTAAATAAGTGATAAAATTCAAAAAGATCACATATCAACATTAGCTGACTGATTGTAAGAGAGAAGAAATGATTGAAAGTATATAATAATAATAATATTGAATAATGGTGACGGGAGTAAAGTTTTCTTAAACTTCAACGCGTGCCAGTGATAAAAAGTTGAGTGCGTGACCAGTAAGCCGAATGACAAGAACGACAAAGTAGCTATATCCGCGTGTATCTTGGAGTTGAGGCAAAGAAATACGCTTAGTAGTTGGTGTTGGGCGTATTGCCAGCCTATATTTACCACTCAACGAACCGGTTACACCTGTAAAGATGATTCGACGACGTTTCCAAAGTGTACTTACTAGTTGTCGATCGAGGCCATGGGATTATACTTTGTTGAAGAGATTTAAATGCACAGCAATTTAAATTAATGAATATTATCATCAATTAATTTCGCAGACATCACTTACGAGTTGTTGCAGGTGTCAATTAGTGTGAGAATAAATAGCTGATTGATGTATTAATATATCTAAAGTCGTCTGAGTAATATAAAAGAAATCGTTAAAGCTAACATATGCCTTCATTAGACACCTAGACACTTACCAAGACAACAAGATAATTCAATGCAACAATTCAATGACGCGAGGAAAAAGGTAAGAGCCGAGAAACGTTTTTCTTTATCCCCTTCTCTGGTGGACTTTCGATTCTTTTACTTTAGTAGACATATATAAGTGTGAACGCTTATATGATAATCCAATCCAATGATTCGAGACAGCGATCGTCTCTCGATCACCACCGCCGCCTCCACAATCACCACCATCACCATGACCACCTCACGCGGCCAATAATTTATGTAGGTATGTGCGAATGCATGTATCCAACTATCTGAATGTAATATAACGGTAAAACCTCTCACTGTCGTCGACATCCTGGCCCGAGGAACGTCGAGGGCGCGAGAATATATAAAAAAAAAGTCCTCTAGACTTTCTTTCTTCCTTATTATGCATTTGAATTATTATCAATTAATTCAAACAAATCCATCACCACAGAGATCAGTATTAATATTAGAAAAAAAAATGTTAGTCATCAACAACTAAAAGCCATATTCTCTTAAGATTGCAATTTTTTAAAATTCATTCCTTCGAAGGACTTACACTTGTTCCATTGATCATCAGAGTGATGGTGCGTAAGGTGACCCGTGGTCTCGAGGTTCCTATGGTGATCGTGGTTATTGTTGCTATCCGGTGGGAATGCAAGTCTACCAACAGGATAAACACCCGTGTGGATGCTTCTATGTCCGACGTGGGCAGCGACGCTGCACTCCTCTACAACAACACAATCTTCAACAATGTTGCCGCGCATCACTGGACCACTAGATCCTGATGTAGCTTGAACAGTAGTTTTAGTTCCGACAGTGTCTCCAGCAGTACGCATATCGCACTTCTGAACTCAATGTTTTTCTTAGTCAGCTCTTTCTTTCAATTTTTTCCTCAACTGATAATCCAGTTACGATTCATATCCTCTTGATCATTTATTTCAATAACTTCACTCGCTCTTATTTTTTTTAAGATTAATTTTATGTCTTTGAAATTTTCAAATACATTGAGGTAAATTAACACAATATATTTGTGAAAAAATTTCAACAGTAATGATGTAAAATAATAATAATGAAGATTATAACTGCGACAATGATGACAAAATGTGCAGTGGTGAATATGATAAATCAGTGCAGTTTATCAGCTTGATAGATAAATGAAAAACATCAAATAACTTGAAAATGATAGTAAGTTAAAAGGTATTCAAAGGATGTAGCACATGAGAGAGGGTGAGAAATGATTAGAGTGAGAACACGTTGTGTGACACACAACCGACCTGCCAAAGTCGTTGGTGGTGATCTCGACTCCCTCCAAATGGCATTGAAGACCCTCTGGTTGACAGTGAGGTCCGAATGATCGTATAGCAGCCTCTCGTTCCACAATTCACCTCTGGGGACTCGCATGCGGACTACTGAACTTCCCTCAAATATTATTGATGCTTTAATTTCCAATGACAGTTTCTGCCACTGGTTCTTTTTTATTGCAGTAAAGATGAGTACCAGATGACTGATTATTGATACTCAGCATTGGTTATTTTCCGAGTTTTATTTTTCAATCACTTTGTTTAACACGAATGATGTCCAAAAGTAATCTTCTTCCTATTCGACGAATGTATAGCCTTGTTAACTTGTGCTATATACATCTATGTGCGAGAAAGGGACTGTCGTGCGGGTGTTTTTATTTAAACACGTGCCCGGTGGCTCGTGAAACACGCGGAAAACAAGTGGTTGAAGAAAAAGTGTGATAGAGTTGGTGAACAGAGTATGGAAGAGGAAATAAATTACACTTTTATAATTTATCGACCACTAAGGATGTGCGAATATGCCAGGTAAATATTTGAATAATTCTTGATAATTTTAATATTTCTTCATTAATGATCAATTCCTCATTATTTTTCTATTATTACTTACAGATGATTGTCGATGATAGTAACGATTGATGATGCTCTAGTAGAAGAACATCACTGATGATAAACGCGGGAAAAACATTTACTTAAAAATACCACTTTTCTTTGACATTAACAATTAATAACTGTGTAATAAAAAAAAATGAGCAAGATTAATCACGAAGAGTATAAAGAAAGTAAGGATCAACTGTCTTTCACTCTCAATCCTTTTGGAACACTTGGATAAAATTGAATACGTCTAGTAGTGGTGCACGTAAGGCCGGTCACCGCGTAACTGAGTCCGGAGCGCGCGCTGTTCTCCGCTATATTAAAACCGTACTGTGTGTAGCGGCGAACGGCGCCACAGTGACGTCATTATGAACGTCATACACTGGGACACTATAGCTGTGGATCGATGGACTTGCGCGGCATTGCCACGCGCCCCTGCTAGTCATAGCAATAGAATTGAATGTTGATAAAAGTAGGGTTGTTCCCCTGCCACCTTGCGTCTATCAATAATGACGTCATTATTATGTACGACGTCATAGTTAACAACCCTTGACTATGTAAGCAAAACAGCTGGGTGTAGAAAAACTATATCAAGTCACGAGGAAGCGGAAGAAATTAATGCAACCTTCTCGAGTGGAATAAATTTGATCCAGTATTTTTATTTTAAAAGAAATTTATTGAAAATATCAAAGAATGAAACAAACTCTTAGAAAATTTTCATTCATAACAGACGATTCTTTCATCTTTTTCTCACTTCTTTTTAATCTTGTTTTATTTCATTGTTATCTCTATCGTTTTGGCTATTTGCCATAATGCATAACCGAGTTATGCTCTTATTTTCAAACAAATGTGTTATATGTAGATATGGCACGTGGTAATGCGGAGGCGGTCAAACAGTAGCACGCATTTTACCACCCTCTTTTCTCGCACCCGCCACTCTGTCTCCTAGTTTTCAACGCCATCACCCACGTCACCTTTTTTTTCTCATATCGTCACTATACTACCACCCACTAGTTGGTTACTTTACTCAGTTCACATGGTAGATCAGCAATGAAGTGTGAGAATTTCAAGGTATATCCTTACACATATCCTTTATTTACTCTTCCGTACTTTCTTTGATGAGTGATCGAGAAACAGCTCAGTGGAGATTTAATGGCTTAGGTCATGGTGACGGTTAAAGTTAGACATTATTGAACGAGTAACCACCTTTAAACACTTTTACAATATTGTATGAATATGATATAATTTTTTATCGGTACTTTCATTGACCCAAGTCACAGTACCGTTCATCCATACTGCAACACTTCCTCATGTATTTTATATTTTTATTTTTTTACATAATATGTGAAAAAACTTATGATGATAATTATCCAATCGATTGCCATCATAGGTGAAGAAGAGACGAAGAAAGGGGAGATATTGGTGGTCTAATGAAGCGAGAGTCAATCTTTTTGCTTTAGCTCATATGAACATAATGTGCGATACATAAGCTTTTATGCAATGGTTGGAAATTACGTTACATGTAAAACTCCTTGTCTCGTTTATCATTACTTCTTAGGTATCACAAAAAAATTAATGTCAATTTTTCTAGATGATGAGGCAATAAACAGCATGAAAAGATGAGAAAGAAATTACAATATGATATATCTTATATAGTTAAAAATTGAAGAGTATGAATTTTTTGCAAAGATTAACAGGTAGAAGGTGGAATCAGGCGAATCATCAAGAAACAACTTCGTGCAAAACAGAGACAGCGAAAGGAGGAGCAATTGCCTCCGGGGTTATTTCGAAGGTCTTCGGAATTCTTTAGAAAGTGGCAAAGCAGAGATGCGTATGGTGAATACTGGTATTCGATGCACATTGGGCAATGAAATAGAAGAAGAAGAAGAAGAAGAACAACAACAACAACAAGTCCACTTATAATGTAAGGAAATTATCAAGTTCGGATGACAAGAAGCAAGAGAAGACGGAGTTTCTTCGAGGTAATCCAGAAAAATCACTTAATACGTTAATGATTTAATGAGGATGTTGCCCTTGATCTCAGCATCACCATCATCATTGACTATCACGGTGCGATACACACGCACTAAATTTTAGAGTATAATGAATTTTTTCATCACATTTTATTCAAGATATCCTCGAATAGTAATCAAGTGATAAATTGATTTACCAAATAGGAGATAGAAAGACGTGTCAGAGTAACTTAAAGGAGGTGAAGTAAAATGGGAAGAAGGTGGACTAGTGTGTAGGAATCACGGCCAACAACCGGCCACTGCCCTGTTCTGTCTGCGACTGAGAGGAGGGTGGATCAAAAGAGAGGCAACAGGTTGCATAATCTGTAAATCGGCAGTACGAAAACGAAAGTTACGGGGCAAGGCCCTCGAGTGTGTAGGCACGTACATAACTTATCTATGTCTTTTTTTATCTTAAGAAGCAGGTGAGCAACTTACTCATACTATCAGCAATAATATAAGCTAAGAATTGTGCAGATTGTCTAGACGAATCTACTTGTAATTTATTATAGGTGTTATTGATGATGACGCGGAAAGAAGAAATGGAAAAAAGAGAGTGTATGCATCTCCATCGGGTGGAGGTCTTGCATTTATAATCAGTTATATAGCTTTGATGAAAGCCTTGAATCCCACGAACAGACTAGACAACCGTAGCTTTGTGTTATCCTATGACACGCATATACATGTATAAAATATATATATAATATACAGTCGAAGAATTTATGAAATTATAGTCAACTGGAAAGAAGAAAGGAGATGCTGCAATGCCAACACTGAGAAATCGGATTTAATCGTTTCATCTATCATCTCCATTTTACCTTCTCTAATCACTTCTTTCTCTTCCTTGTCCTACTCTACTACGTGATCTCTTTCTTTCTCTTCAATGTAAACCCAAACATTCGGGAGAAAGTCTCATAGTCACGATGTGTGTTAGGCAGAATCAATGCATGAGCTATTAAACTACATGGCCGCCAAAACCAATTGTAAGCATCTTATTGGCCCAAGGTTCAGGAAGAAAGGTCTACCACTATATGCACTGACCAAATAGTCTATTTATAGCACATCATCATTTTTTTAATGTCCAAAATATTTCACAATCATTTTTTAAAACTCACTATTTTTATTGAATTAATTTCTTATAAATAACCATTATGATAATAATAGTCTCTTGTATTTATTATTATTTTTTTTTATAGTAAAATGCTGAGAAAATTCTTTAGTAAGATAAGATAATGAGGAAATACTTAACAATATTGCATCTTAATAAAGATGTATTATATTAGTAAATAATTCTTCAACCATACAAATAAATTCTTCTGTCATAGTGGACATGGACATAAAATGACTCGTTTAGGACTACTCATCAGGCTTTGTTATTAATAGACAGTGAGTGAAGTGAAGATTAGCTTATTGATAGATGCACATACAGACATAACGGTCCCAGAAGAAACATCATCATCTCCTTTCTCATACTAATCCAATGGAGCAATACTGTGAGAATGATTGTTATTAGTATTAAATGAAATAATTAATTTTGTTGCTTACATTTAAAAGATTTATATCAACCTGGTTTAATTCGAATAAGAAATTACAATTTTATTGATTTTATACATAAAATGTATTTACATAACGGATATAATTAATAATTAAGTGCATTATTTTCACAGGTGAAATAAATATTGAATTCGAAGCAGTAAGCATTATTCTTCCTTGCACCAGGTCGTGGCGATAAAATCGGTCGAGGTGGAAAGTCAGACGTGGTTGGAGTCAGAGTGCACTGGACCCGTTGAGCGAATCTCTTCTCTCTTTTTCTGATCGTTATTCATCTAGATTCTTTAGCAAGTCAGTAAGTACATCTATACACGTAAATGTACCTTTTCGTATTGCTATTAACTTGTCTCTTTCTCGCTCATTTTGAATCTCTTGTTCACTCTCCTCTCGATTCTCCAATAGATCGGGAAACGATGGGCTATTAGCACCGCGTGTGAAAGGGAAAGCTAGCGGTCGGCAACATGACGACGGAGATGAGGAGAAACAGGCGAGGGAAGACAAGGAGCAAGAGGAGTAGAGGAGAATAACGACGATCGACCTGGTCTCTCTTGCTCCTCTAAAAGACTCTCTCTTTCTCTTATTCTACACGTAACGTCACGACGATCTTTGTTGTCTTTGTATCACCTTCTAACTCTTCATCTACGTGTCTCCCACCTTTAACCAATAATATGTGTACCCTGGAATATGTCGCTATTATATTGTTTATTTATTTATCCAATCATGTACTTATATAAATTGGTGAGTTAACGTGCAAATTGATACCATTTTAATAAAAACCTTTTCGTTTGTTTTATTTATTTTTTTTAATTTTAAAGTAAGGATATGTTCAGTTTATTATTTTCTATTAAAAACTATTATCCAAAAATAATAAACTTACATTTTATTAACTTGATGATGTTTCAGGTCAAACATTTTAACTTTAACTGCGCCGACGCGACCGACTTTGTCGAACCCATGAACCAGAAAATATTCAGGATGAAAATGGATAGAGGATAACGGCCTAAGATATTAAATACCTACTTTCTCCAGCTTGATTCGTAGAATATAAGTGTGAGCTTTCAAGCCTACGTATTAAAGTAAACACCAAGGGTGTGATTTAAAGCTACTACGTTATTTAGTATGAAGAAATATTTGTTAATATTGAATATTTTTTACATTTGTTCTAATTCTAACTACTATGTGAAATAATTTAATAATCATTTATGTATTGAGGTTGTAAAATGTACTTCTGAAGACCTTTAATTATTATTTCAAATCTTAGTAAGACTACGTATACATGTGATGGAGATGGTTAGGTAAGTAAAGTACCTCATTACACCCCTGTCAAGTTAGTAATATTTAATGTATCATTTAAAATGGATATTGTAGGTATATTATCACACCTAACTGTAAGATAGAAGGAAGTTGGATTACTAAATTGTTCAAAGTAACACAATATTATTCTGGTACTTGAAGATTAAGTGAATGGGATCTATCTTAAATAGTTGCATGAGTGAATGAAGTATCAATTGATCATTTGCAATTTAAGTAATTCCCGTGGGATTATGGTTCCAGATCCTGTTGGGCTGGGAATACATAAGAAATTTCCCCTTCTCATAGATCTCAGCCAGAAGACAAGAAGTATCAGTAGTACAACACACGGTTAGAAATGTGCTTTGACTATTGCGCTGTCTTTGTATATGCTCGCGCCTCTTAGCTACGCTTGCAGCAGGAGGTGAAGGGCCAGGAGATGGAGTGGGAGTGGGTGAGCCGACCCCTGACCCCGTGGGCGCGGGGACCTTGCCGGAGAATACAGTATAGCGGATACGAGAGTGTACGAGATTGGAGACGGCGAATAGCGGCGCACGACGACGACCAAGACGACTTAGACGGCGTGTATAGCGGTATAAACTACTAGCTTAGCACAGGCTACGACGCGACTCGCCCGCCTTTCACTTTGAGAAGACGCGAGTTGAGAAAACAGAGAAGTGAAGAGAGAAGGGTAACAGCAGCCTCGTGTGGTCCGTGGGGAGTGCCTACCTGCAGCCATTATCATATTATAGCAAATCTCGCAGCTGCCGCGGGGCCAATTTCATTCCCACCGATCGTCTGTACTCCTCTCACGCGACGTCTTTTCTGACGACTACTTTATGGATAACGAGACAAACATGACAAGGAAGATGATGAGAAGAAAGAGGTGAAGACGTTCAAGAGGGAGAGAGAAACATTATGACCAGTCAATTGTGTTAATTGCACTACTGGCTACTGATGATGGGATCTGATAAAAGAGTGGACAAAAGTGAAAATCCTCGACTATGATTTGTATTTTTAAGAATGACAGAATCAGCGAAATAGGACACATAGAAAAATCTCCAAGATTTATACTTTAACCTCTTTAGTTTTTTATCATTTAAATATTATGGTAGGTAGAACTGATAATTTAGTTTTATTATTGATGGATCGTTGATGCAACAGCTTACCAGTTAGGTCGTAAATTTATTTTAATTCTATACATTTTTCTTTTTATATTTGTAGAAGTCAGTGATTACGTGTTCTCAAAGCCGAGAGCGACGCATCCGAGGTGAGAGGTAACAGTCGTGGTTCATCGACTGCTAGTTATTCGATTCTACACGTGAAACAGATGCTGTTAAGTATGCAGATTGCAGGTACGAGTCACAGAGAGCTAAAAGACAACTATCACGACCTGAATGTTTTACCTCTTGGTTCTTCTTCTTCTTCTTTTTCATCTTCTTCCTTATCAACTATATTTATCTTGCTCCTTTATTCTTTATAAGCCACAAGTATATCTCAACGAGTCACGTTATACATCATCGTATTCTTCTTCTAGCTCCTGTAAACGATCCACCAAAGTGTCAGTTTATCGCTTATGTTCATACAGTAAAACAGGAGACACCTTAAAAGATAAACCAAGCGTGCAAACGTTGCAAGTCGTGCCGACACTACACAACGTGAATGTCCAGAGCTACAGTATAACACCAATACGATGTATAATTATCATCTCCCAAGGGCCTATCCCACGCTATTCCCCCAAAGTGGGACACCAACGATTGCTGCGCGTAAACGATTAGAGCTGGATCTCCTGAGAAGACCACACACAATCGATTGCTATTTTTTACGTGGATATTATAATATTATAAACAGTATATGTAACTAAATACTCACACATACACTGGATGAAAATTTTTAGCAAAGTAAAATAGCTTGAGAAAAGATGATTTTTATTTGATATACCTGAAGATATGAAATAAATGTGCTGCTGATAGAACAACTATAAAGAAGACAATATTTATCGTCATGATTTGATTTCAATTTTTTTTTTTTTTGTTAAATCAAGATGAGGCTTATAGATGCTGAAACTTCCTGGTCTAAGAGATGAACTCTGTTTGCTATGTGCAACATATCAGTTAATACTCTTTGGTGCATTTGTCGGCACTTTCAGTGCAGTTAAAAGGAATGGGTAAAAGAAAGAAACAATAGAAGCGTGGGCGCAGCATCCCGCGAACCCTAACCTGAGGTGATCCCATATTCCATTCTCTCCAGTGTATCCACCTTCAGGCACCTTAGTTCGTTCTTCTTTCCACCGTCTCCTCCGCCTCCCGGAACACACTCTCTTAAAGCCCGTTGAGGTCTTGAATCTAGTTGTGCTAGAGATAGAGTATGAGTCTCCCTCAGGGCCTATAGCCTATTGCCTCGGCTTCACCTCTCGTCGTCGTCTCTAACCTGTACCTTTCAGATATTTCTCTTGCTCCAGCGGAGTGCCAGGTAGTTGTGAAACTCCACAAGGAGTCTGTGTACATCGCCACAACATTGCTAAGAGTGTGAGTATAAAAAAGAGAAAGATTCTTTCAGCCCCTTCGGTCGTAGCTCTCGACCCCGTTGTTATACTTGCCACACACTTACAGGGTTATCGGCTGTGCTTTCCATCTTCTTTCAGTCATCCTCACGTAATTTATTATCATTTTACAATCTGTATCGATGAAGGCCGCTTTCAAACGTTCTCTTTAGCTTATTGATATGTTTACCGATTAAAAAAACATAAAATAGAAAAAAATAATCATACATGTGACTATGAAGAAAAAAGTGACCGAACATCTTCTGATTTGTTCAGATCAATTGATAGAAATAAAAAATTAATGCACTAATATACATTTATTCATGTAAAAGATATAGGTATGTTATATGAATATATCTATGCATCAATTGAATCCCGGTTCGACAGGTTTTCGATTAATATATTTATATCCCATGGATATATATGTATAAAGATAAATAAATGTAATTTATGGTGAGGCTTTCGCCTGCAGGGAAAGTAATTCGGCTAGCTCTGACTCGCACATTATATTGTATATATATACATCTAGTCATCATAGAAGATGAATTCTCTAGAGAAGTCATGCAGCCTACAAGCAGTACAATGATATGTAAAATCATTGTAGGATATTATTTTAAATATGATGCAAAGAATTAAAGTGAGACTGCGGATTGTAGAGCATTCATGTTGAGATGATGAAGAGGAGGCGTTATCGCCGTTGGCTCCGAGGAATGAGCACTGTTGTCTAGGCGCACCTCAGACTCATTCGTAGAAGCTTCTCCATGAGAGAGAAATAAAACATCAGGTGAGAGCAGTAGATTGACCCGTTGGCAAAGGAGCGAGGATGATCGCGATAACGAAACAATCGAACGAGCCCTCGCGAGAGCGCGCACCGCCCTGAATGTTTGAACGCTTGGTGATGTCGTATTACGAAATCATTTCTAAGCACTTCGTACGTGAGATAACGCGCTCTCTTGTGCATAACGTTTAGTTCACTTAGAATTTTCTCTTCGCTTCTATGACATGTTTCTCTTTCTATATAACCTGGGGTGCGTGCCACACGAAATGATTTCGTCATCGTCACGATGTCGTGGTGAATATCCTCGCTCACCTCCAACATAAATGTTCACTCCAATGCGTTCCCGTGCTGTTGCTGTTCTTCGCCATGCCAGAGTGCAAGTCGTTTGCCTTCTCTGAGACCCGAGAAGCGCGCGCACGCTCTCGTCTCAGCGAGTTCCGAGCAAAGGTCGTTTCTGCGCCTCCATAGAGAAAGAATCTTTGGTGAAGAAGCCTCTTCCGCGCAACTCCAAGAGGTCACAGTGATGCCGACGGCAGTCATTTCGACTTGCCGCTCTCCTGGGCCATCTCGTCGTGTATGTGCACATCTTCCATTCCATCTTCACCTAAGCTCTGCATTCCAAACGGGTGTGAAGAAATACACAAGATCAACATTAAACTTCTGTATAAATAGTAAAAGTAGTATGATCTAGCTAATAAATTTTCCAATCAACTACCCTCCATTTCATTAAGCTCATGATTAATTTAAGCCATTTCACGTCTTTCCAAATCCCTTCACATTCCAAGACCTTTAACTATATAAAAATTTTACTATTTTATATGCAATAAAATTCAATACGATTTTACTGAAATATTTTTTTCAATTTATCTTTTAGTTATACTTTTAAATATAATTTATATTCACAGTTATCTTATACTCAAAATTTCATATAAAAACATAGTAAAGTAGTTAAGTAAATTTACATTTTATCACTAGAACAATTAATTAGTGCTAAGTAATCCTAATTTTCCAAAAAAGATACAAATTCAGTAAGTTTATACAATTGATCTTCTGTAAGGGTTGCTTGTGCAGTGTGTTGTTCTTTATCAACTTTACAAGGTTTTACAGTGTTACCATCTACAGTCCAACCTCGTTCTACGGCAGATATTTGAGCTTGTTCCAATGATAGTCCAGTCATGGCAGCAAGAACACTCAAATTTACTGAGGAGTAAGCTTCAGAAATAAGAATCATTGCTCTTTCTCGGACATTTTCTAGATAAATCATCAGTTATTGAAGATTATTATCACATTACAACATGTTAAATAATATAAAATAACTAAAATTACTTGAAAATTATTGTTAAAACTATTTAAAATACCTTTAAGAGCATGCATGATGCTGTTTACATCATCACTCCACTCATTATTTAAAGCTGCATGTACAGCACGCCAATCTCGTTGCCACATACGCTGTCCCACCATCCAAATTTGCTGAAGTTCAGGACAGAGGCTTTTTATGTTTGGTGGAATTCTCTTCCATAAATATTTCGCGTTACACAAATCATTTTGGTAAAGGTATACAGCTAGTAATTGAGCATAGATTTGGGCAGATGGAAGGCCATCAGGAGCCTAAAAAATTGTACAATATTTATAAGAATCTTTTTGATATTAATGATTAATAATTATGGGATTAAAATTGGTTGAAAATAGTTTTCATACAATAATTAAACTGATCAATCAAACATAACCCATCATTACAATAATCTAACCTCCAGTTCAGCTTTCTCAAGCTCTTGCACTAAAGTATTAACTTCACCGAGTACCATAATAGTTTTATCCTTTAATTAAATAAAACAAATTTCAAAAACAATGAGTTTATTATGAAAATATTTATAGTCAACGGGATAAACGTTCTGACAAGTTGCTTGTCAGGTTATACCAATTTGCAAAAAAAAAACCGGATGCATTGCCATCTTGTTGACACTAAACCACATAATACAAGATTCAAGTATTTTTATTTATTGTACAAAAGTGTTATTTCAATATTAAATAAAAGTAATTTATTATAAATAAACTAAAATGAATAAATTTGTAATTACATTTTATTAGAATAAAGTAAAAATTTGTAATAAAATAACATATTTGAATTTCACCACCACAAAAATGCCATTAAAGCGATTCTAGGTACTGACGAATTGTGTCGTTATATTACCATCAGAGACTACATGTTACGAAAAACAAATAGATAATTGATATCTTTTAAATTATTTTAATCAAAAAATTGAAAAAAAAAATTATAACAGTATTATAGGAGTATGTTAAATCGTCTAATATTTATTGAGCCATGCGTAATACACTGATAATAACACTAATTAGTAGTTATAAATTAATAGTGCTAATGAAGTGATAAAAATGTATTATCAATTATAAATGCATAATGAAATTAAGAGGAAATTAAAGAAATGACAAAAATGAACAGATTACATCTGTTGACGCCTACGAGCAGCTCTTTGTTTATCGAATCTCAATTCCATCTCTTCCAAAACTCTTGGAGTATAGCGAACTACTAATTTTACTGAATCATGAGCTTGTTTCAATAATTCAACAGCTTTTTCATGATTTTCACCTTCAACACACTGTAATGAAATAATTTTTTTATCGTTCAATTCATTTAAAATAATATATTTAAATATCAATTTTACTCCAAAAACATTTTTAACTTACAACTCCATTTACAGATAATAATTGATCTCCGCGTTTAAGTCCACCGTGCCTATCAGCTACTCCACCCGGAATAATTCTAGATATATAAATCGGTGAGTTTTGTTCTTTTCCACCCATAACATTAAACCCAAGACCTTCTTCAGTTTTTGGTAATTCCACAACTCTAGGATGTGCGTGACCTTCACTAGCTGCAAATGCTGCTACAGTTGCTTTTGCTGTAGCTGAAGCTCTAACATCTTGAGAACCCTTCGGAAATTAAATTTGAACTAATGAATTTGTTTAATTTGGTATCTTCATATTAACTTTTTTATGTTGTTAGAACAAGACGAATAATTTCAAAAGTATTCAGTCAACAAATAGATACTAATCAATGTTAAGTATGTATAATAAAGATTGGCTTACTGGAATTTCTACTGTCTCATAAACATGCTCATAAACCTCTCTAACAGCATTGAGAAAGTCGCTTTGCAATACTTTTTGTAACGCTGCTAATTTTGTAATTGGAACTTCGCCACCTGTAATAATAGATATTACAATAAATTGAATGAACAATAATAAATACTGTATAATATATATAAAAAATCATTACGTACTCTTTTGAAGTTTATCTAATAATTCAATTGCACGTTGGATATCTAAAAATAGATAATCAATAATGCCACTTAAATATAAATTGAAATAATACAAATATTTCACGAATAAATAAATAATTGATGGAACAAAATATAATAAATAGCTACCAAAACTTAAGAAAAGAAATAGAAATTGATATATTACCTTTTTTTAAGGTGAGTGGTTCACTTACTGCAGCCATGATTGTTTTCAGATTAATTATTAACTAATAAGTTTAATTTTGATAAAAATAAGACACAAATAAATTGACAAGGCGTGTCTGACAAAAAATCTATAATAAATGACAGATACTTTTATGTTTTCTTTGAGTTATTTCTATAGCTCAGCCGCCATATTAATTTCTCAATTTTACCATCAATAGGTAATTATTGTGTTCTAAGGAAGAAAAATATAAATATAATTTGCGTGCGCACAATTTAACATTGATTAATTACAAATTGATTTATTTATTTATTACAATAGATATGATAAAAATACCTTACGCTATCGATTTTTTTGAAGAATATTCATTGAAAAACAAAAAAAAAGTAAGCTACATTAGTTGTCTATACTACAATTCTTATTCTTATCAATCTTACAATAAATAATTTATGCTCAAAAATTTTATCCCTTTTAATACAAAAATATTTTTTATAATTAACTAAATATAAAAGTTATGAAGCTACTTCTTCTGTTGCACCTTCAAACTCTAATTTTACTTGACATTCCTCAGGAAGACCTTCTACATCAACCTCCGATTCTGGAGCATTTAACATATTTAAAGTCACTTCTGCCGATTTATTCATCATTGTTTGATTAGCGGCAACTGGTTGTTTTTGAACTTGTACTGCAGTTTGTTGAACTGATTGTTGTCGAATTGGTACTCCAGCTTCTTCAAACGTTTTTTTTTTCAACGTTGTTCTGATTTGTGATCTGTAACAACATGAGAACAAATGCAGATTAAAAGGAACTTTTGACTGATAGAGGAAATTGATTGACGACCAAACACTTGGTGAAATGAAATCAACTTACACCGTTCGTCCTTTGATGTGCTCACTTATTTTATTTAAATCTTCACTGAATGTCTTAACCGAGTGTCGGAGCATCTCAATTTCCTCGTCAGTCCATTTTCTGATTTGACATGAAATAAAAATTGATTTAATAATTTATTTTTATATACTTGAACAATTAATTCTTCATGAAAATAAAAAAGAAAACATTCATTAAATTTCGCGCTAGATATTAACAACTAGCGACATGACAACAAAAATGGCGATCAGTTTTTGTCTTCTTACCTGAGTGTTATTTTTTATATAAATGCAGGTGTAAATTGAAAAAATAAAAAAAAATCTAATAATTTAAAAATTAAAATTCATCTACATACCCTGCTGGAGAATCTGCCGTTGGATGCAGTTGCATAGTCAACTCACCAAGTTTATTGAACGCTGCTCCTGCGGCTGTAAAGATTTCACCAACCTGAATAAAAACAAAATGCACAAGTTTTAATAAATCAAAAATGCAGCTTTCAAGTGTAAATTTTACACTAAAATTTTTCTTCTATCAACAAGGGAAATTTTTAAGTCATAACTATCACATTAAAAAATCGCATAGTTAATTAAAAAGTAAACAACAAAATGTAAATATAACCTAACCTTTCTACCACTTCCGACATCCATCGTAGAAACTCTAGATCTAAGAAATTTTAGGCGGGCTTTGACGGGTGACACGTGACTTACAATGGGAACAAAATGGAGGTAGGTGAAGGGGGAAACAAAAGGGGAAGTTATAAGCCCTTTACCGAGCGAAAAGCATAGTGGTCAGGTATCTTTTTACACTTACCTTGCTTGCAGAATTCATCACAATTTTTTATTAATAACTTCACTACTATTGGATATCAGAGTGTTATTCATACATGTACGTGCATACATACCACTAAATTTCATGCGCTTCTGCCCTCTCGCGACGTTTTCACGATGCAAAAGCAATTTTTTTTTTAATAATTGTTTTCTAAACTGTTAAATCAATTAAAAAATGTTCCTTCATCATTGACCTAACTGAATTCTAAATTGTGGTATATTCGTTATACGAACAGTTTTTAATTCTAACCACAATCCTCAGACCATACGATAAACCGCTAAAATAATTACATATCCTTGAAAAATAAATCAAGGTCAATTGTTAAGGACGATAATTATTATTATAATATATATTCTTATTCGATAAACTTTTTTTTACATTCATATTTTTTTTATAAATTTATTTTATTTTATTATTAAAAAGAAATTGTATAACAAGAAAATTAATTAATCGTGGCTGATTGTATTTGTCAAGACTTTCTTTGAAATATTAATAATTTTCGACCCCAATTATTATTTTTGGTGATATTGATCTTTTGAAAATTGCATTTATCGCAACAGATAATTCTTTCAATATGTCGTTCCATATCTCCAGTCATTTTTAATTCATTGATCAAGGGAAAATCACCTTCATCAGCTCTTCGTAATCTTCTTGAAGCGTTTCTGTAACACTTCCATAATTGTGGTTCAATTACGACCATTTCAGAATAAAAGCAGATGTCTTCTAGAAATTTAATAAGACCTTCATCTCCATGGTTTAAATGTATCCACATTGTAATTGAGAAACAGAAAACAACATCAAATCGTGTTCTTTCAAATTGTTGAAGATACTCAGTGAGAACATGTTCACTTTCTTTAGAAAAAAAATCAAGACATTGAAATTTGACATTGGGCTCAGGATAATTTTCACGTGCTCTTTCAATGAGTGTTGAATCTAGGTCAATGCCCAGTATATGAACATCTATGTCTGGCTCAAGATTGTTCTTAATGAATTGCTTGAGTGCAGATGTAAGATTCTGAAAACAAAGAAATGAAAATATGTAAAAATAAACCCGGATATGAAAACCTGGTTATAAATCAGCCACTATAAACTAAAGGGTCTTTATTTATAGATGAAATTGATATACAGATGTCACGGTTAAGTTTAAGGATAAAAAAGAAAGCTTGTTGACTGATATTGGAAGGAAGAAAATTCATCGTTAAGCAAGTTATTTTAACATCTAATGAAAGAAATGACTAGACTGGAAGTATTACATAGCAAGCGACGCATACCAGCACGCTTCGTGGCGCGTGCGTCAGTGAAAACTGAGAAGGAGTGAACAAGTCAACCGATAATTCTTTTTCTAAATTTAGTCCAAGCGGCTGTTAAATGGCTATAAGGATTGAAACAAAACTACGGCGTACATCAGACGTTAAAGCCACCCATCTGACAGATGTTCTTCTCAATCGTTTAGTTTTCCTCATTTTAACTTACCCCAGCATTACAGCCAACATCAAGCGCGATATATTTCCGGTCCGGATGTTGAGACCGCCACACGCCTCGCGGAAGCTGGCCAACGCGTTCATCAACGGGATGAAATTGGTAGTAATTGATAAAACTTCCGTAGCGACTTGCGCCCGGATCCTTTCTGTCGTTCTTCCTTTTCCTGTCTGAGCACATGGCAATCTGCAATTGCAATGAATTAAGTTGATTGCATACATCAGAGTAATAATAGAAATAGAAACGATATTTAAAAGTGTATGATTACTAAAGTACATTAAACGTTGTAGAAATATCTATAAGATAAATAAACGTCAGATATCACGAGTCACTACGTAAATTGTTAGTGCTGCCGACTGTCGACAAACTTGGAAATTCTGTAGCTACTTACGACATCAGTTCTCTCGACAATCCTCGACAACAGCAGACCTCAGACCTCAAATGGAACCACAAGCGAAGGGAGCATGAACGAAACATGATCAGTAGAGGGAGAAGGATTTGCTAAGAGCGGAAGGATCTCGGGATAATTCGCGTGTCCGCGACCCAGATAACCGTGGCCTTCGATGACGGTCCTTGGGGTCACGGTAGACTTTAGAAATCGGTATTTGTCTCTTTACCGATTATGACCCGATAGAAGAATTCTTTATTTTTCACAATCTTATTTTTTCTCTGAAATTTCTATTATTTTATTAAGAGTTTTAAAAAAAAAGAGAAAAAAATTTTGAAGATCAAATGTAGAAATTCAGTTAAGCATGGATGTGTCAATATAAATGATGATTTTACCGCTGGTTCAGGTATAAATACGGTTTCTTAAACTAACAGCACGCGCGTCTGCACGTGAATCCGTAGTAATCAGAGAGTTGAAACCATGAGAGGCAGGTGTTGGATACACCGGTCCTTTCTTTTCATCATCATGCAACCGAAGCAATGTTGCGCGTGTGCCGCTCCCTTTTATGGTATATACTTTCTTCTTAACTTCACATGATTCTCATTCCTCAACGTTTCGCTCAAGTTACGTATCATTGGACTCCTTTGTAGCTTCTCGACAGATGCGTCTTAACTACATTAATGCAGCTTTCCAGATAACAAGCTGTTGGATTTCTGTCAAGAATTGATAAATATTAAATTTCTTTAAACGTCATCTGACCATATTGAATTTCGACTAGGTTCATGCAAACGTATTGAGAAAGAAAAATAATATTATAAGTAAAAGAATGATTAAAAATGTTGAAAAATTCATCAACGATTCAAGATATCACTAAAATAATTTACCAGCTGCTGTTTTTTAAGTCTTTTTTTCTTAGCACAATGACGACATCATTTCATGGAAAAAGAAAAAAAAAAAGAAACGGAAAGATATAAACTTTATAAACTTCACCAACAATGTAAAACTACAGTAAGACGTAGGTAGAGCATAATGTTGTAGTTAACCACTCAGCTAGTCGCTTCCGGCAGTCGGGCATAAAGTAATTTAACCAACATCCGGGTCTTTGATGAGATATTTTTCACCTTAACAGTAGAAAATTCATCTTTTTCGAATTTCGACCTTGCATTTTAGGAGGTAAATTGTTCCAGGTACAAATGCATTCTACTATTCTCTCTGTCTAGGGTCTCGGCCCAAGACTCTTAAATCACTGAATTGGTTGGTTGGTCGAATCCCTTAATCTATCTATCTATGAATTTCTGTGTTGCTACGTGTAGGATCTAGAGACATTATGTATGGAAAATAAGCCAATAACTGTCTAGATCAACATCTTTGTGAAAGTTTTAGCTCAGATGTTATTTGCCATCGTCAATAGATTGATATTATTTTTTAAAAATCAGATTATTGACTCAACTTTTAATCTTAGTTTATTTAAAATATTATTCTTTTGTTGATAGAAAATGTTTTTAAATGCAAAGTAGCTAGATTAAATTTTAAATTAAATTGCAAACTTCTGTTGGTATAGGTTTTTTTTAATTCATTTGCAAATGCCTAGTAAATTGAATAAAATAAAATAAATTTAAAAGTTTTTTTTATAATAAAGCAATAAATTAGGATGATTGTTAAAAATACATATTGCAGAAGATTGAACTTTTAGAGCATTGAAAATCATCTCTTTTTATATTATAGTTTTGTACACACTAAAAGAGGTTATCTTTGAAATGTTATATAATAACTTCCGTTTGCAGATTATTCAATTCCAATCTATCTATCTTCCATTTGTCGATTGAAGAATTGTACAGAAGTTTGGTAAATAATTCAAATTTTTATGGGAACCTTTCGGACGATGATTTTATTTCTTCCATTGACGGAAATGTCAAACAACGGAAGTATTGACAATGGGAACTTTTATTTTGAACTACCCAAGATGAAATTATAAATTTCGGAAGCCTAAACAGTCAAATGATGACGATATTTCCGGGATGTCATCTTCCCAAGTCAAACGATCATTCTTCATCAAATATTTTATCTTATTTTAGGTATCTTCTTTTTTTTTGTTTTTTTTTAATACGTGAGTCGAGTATAAATTATTCTACTTTATTAAACTTTAAGTCTTCAACAGCTCACCCCTGATATCTGACTGATAAACCCATGGGAACGTTATATAGTCATGTATCAACTTATATTTAACGGTAGTCTCTGCATCTGTATATGTAAAATACAAAAACAGGGAAAAATTGTTGTTAACACAAGTCAAAGAGAGAGCAAAGACAAACGATAAGTAGGGACTTATCGCTACAAAAGTCCAACGCAATAAGTTCTTCAACGATAAGTTGCTCGATTGCGAAGCCACATAATTAGTCACGTGACCTGAATGACGCTTTGTTCTATGCTAATCAAAAATACTATGTTTCCAGGTAGAATTTTATCAAATTCAATCTTACTTTTTTATTCAGACTTAAAAATAAGTTTATTCTCTAATAAAATAACTCCTACGATCCTTTTATATTTTTTCTTACCTTCATATTAAACATCTTCTAGGCCTCGTGAAAAAAATGTTTCATCAATTCCAAGTTATTTATTAAAATAAGCTAGTCCTCATTATCATGAAAGAATTATTAAATTTCTGATAGTTTCTTGAGATATTTTTTACATTATTTTTTTAGCTATGACGTGATTTAGTTGGTCCTTTTGATCTCTTACATCTTCTGGAAGTTTTAAAAAAATAATTAGTAATTTAATTAATAGATATAATATAATGTCAGGAGCATTTGCGAAATTTACAAAACGTTGTTGACCTCGAAGGCCTTTTCAACACTCACAGGCAATTCGTCTTATTTGCCAGGAGGCCTTCGTTTTTGTGGATGATCGAATCGATTGTAGACCTTGGCTGCTCTGGGTGTTATGACGCAATTTAACTCAGTGCCTCTTTTGCGTGTTTCTATGTGTTGGACAAGTAGAGAACTCAACATATATTCATATATGTATGTATACTATATGCTTGGAAGTACGTGATACATTGAGAAATAGCAAATGTGTGTGAACATCCGGTCGTAATGATCCGCTTAAAATCTGCTGAGCCACATTCTTCAGTGGTTTAATAATCCGATGGATCAGTAAATTAAATCGAGCAAAAAAAATATTTTATTTTGATTTTTAATATTTATTTTGATTATTTATATTTTTTTTTTATCCCAATCACTTTTCAATAAATAGTATGAAGATTTTATTGAAAAGTTTATTGGCCCTGAAACTGTCAACCAGATGAATTAGCAGAGGGGTTGGGAACATGATTTTTCAAACTCGTCGTCTGCTAACAAGTGCAACTGGGTCACTACAAGAGTATATACAAGTATTGCACATCAAACAAATTGCAAATGTATCATTTTTTATGTTTAATGGAGATAAAGATAACAGGGAATTTTTATTATTTTCATATATATTTTATTTATTTATTGGTACATAAAACATTTTAGTAAAGATAAATTTAAAAAATTAATCTTTTCCATTTTAAACGTTTCATTCTGATAAATTGAAATAGAATAATTGAAAGAAAAAATCTAATGAAAATATAATCTGGCTTCGACAAATACAGCACTGAGACTATTTTTAAAAAAAAACTGGTTAATTCAGTTCAAGTTGACTGTTTGCTAATTCATTATTTCGAAATAATATATTCAGCTCTTCAAAATAAAACAATTTGAAATACTATCGACATTGAAATATTATTTTCTTCAATTCTATTTCTATCATTTATATTATACATTTTGCGTCATGCTTATAAACTATATGAGATATAAAAATTACGAAAATGTAAAAAGAAAGAGATGAATAAGTGAATACAAAAATAAATGTGTTGCTCTGATCTCATTGCGAAATATTTTTCTTTTTCATTTAAAATATCCAATATACTAAAAAATATGTTCACAGATTTTTAACATACAGTTTACCCAACACAAAATTATTATTTCCTTTTATAACTGAGATAATAATGGTTTTAAATTACTAGATTTCGTAGTAGGAATAAATGCTAGTAATGAATGCAATGTCAGGAAATGTCCATTGTAGAAAGACAACGAAACTTGTTTGTTGGATGGAGGAGGAAAGTTGCGTCAAACCCGCCCAGCTAAGTTGTTGCAAAGATATTATTGCAAGTTCTAAGGAGATGGAGAGGTAAAAGAGAGAGAGAGAGAGAGAGAGAGAGAAAGAGAGAGGAAAAAAAGGAAAAAATTATAATAATGAAAAATGAGAAACTTGATTTGAATAACAAGAAAATGTGACTTGAAAGAGAAGATCAAGTTGAGAATAAATGTATGACATGGTTCACCTGATCCATGGCCTTCCATTATAACCGTCACTCATGTTGCGTAGACTTGCTCATTCATTCGCCAAACTCTTCAATATGTCCTCCAGAGTCTTGAACACTTTTTGATCAAAAATGGTCTTGATATTGAAACCTACGTCTGCCACTTGACTCAACTGTCGATAGATACAAATTATCGTCAATTCAGTGACTATTGGTGCAATCGACTTGGATATAATCATGTATTACTGTTATTGCTGACATTATCATGTCATCATTTGACTTTATTTCTAACTATGTGAGACTTATATCGTTATAGATCTGAACTTAGGTTTTTTTATATATAACATCTTGTTAGTTTAAATCACATCTAGGCCATGAATTTTGACACTTTATTCAATTATATTTATGTTAGAAATAAGTAGTTGAGAAATGTCTTCGTCATTTACAGTCACTAAATAAGTCATTACAATTGTTGTAATTATTGATGAGTATTGCAATCATGTTTCAATTGGAATGAAGTCGCTTTATAAATTACTAATAATTAAGAAAAAATGTGATCTAATAGGAAGAGTCATAAACTTTTCAAAAAATACTTAAATAAAATAGATCAATTTTGACAATGATAGAATAATTTAAATTACATTTAAAATATTTAGTTTTTTAATTGAAAATAAAGAGCTTTTTTACTGAAGAAAGGAAATGTTGAAAATTTTTTTTTAAAGTGACAATGAATGATATAAAAAACATCGGTGTGTGAATTTTTTATTTTGATTTTTGTGAACTACTTATGTGATGTCTAAAATAAGAATATACCCAATAGACCCTTAATTTGTTAATATACCTTTATCCTTCAAATTCGTCTCGAGTTCAAAGTAGGAGACAGAGGATGTCGCAATGTCTGAATGACATCCGACTGGCCTAAAAAATGAGACTTAATTAAGAGCAGACTGCAAAAGTTTTATCCATTTCGGCGAAAAGAGTTAAACACGAGACATTTTTCCGACATTCCATCAATTCTAAAGATGAGCAATTAGTCATCCTTATACTCGTTATTGGTATACGCCTACAAGTGAGCAACAGCGTTCATAACCAGACGGTGTTTGGATACCATAAATCGAAGAACCCCCAGGCTGTTGGAACGGATATGTAATTACGCTGCCACGCGCTTACTTTATGCACGAAGAGTCTTCATATATACCAAGCCCGATCCTTACATTACGCTTGTGCAAGTTAGCCTTTGAAGGAAAAGATAAAAAAAAAACGAAGGGCTTGAAAACATGCGTATCCTGCTTCGACCACCATTGAGGTCATTCCTGAAGTAGTTTAACCTCCTACACACACACACACACACACGCACACATATACACACATGTCTTTTTAATAATCTTCGGTGCTGCTCCTTTGTGCACCTTTCGATACGCCTAGTCAACATTTAGACAACTGTCAGCCCAAAGTCGAACTCAATTGAACACAAACCGGAAATAAAATATTGGACAATGAAGTGTAGGCGTTGTCGTTTAGCTTTTGAATTTATCGTACCTTCTTTTACTTGGCTATTTTCGAATGATAAATTTTTCCTAATAGTCTGATATAACATAAATGATTAATTCCGTTATTGCGCATTAATACCACCTTATCACTTATTTATTAACTTTTTTCACAGCTTTTCGATTAATGCAAAAATGTTAACTGTCAGATTATTTGTAAGAATATGAATATTACAGTAACATAGGCACAAATGTTATCGACGAATTAATGATTAGATATAAAAGTAAAAGAAAAGTCTAATAAAAATATGGTGGCAAATTTTATGTTCATTATAAATATTTATTTATCAAGTATTTGAAATCTAATATCAAGTGTATGTGCTTTATTGCACTAACTGAAAAAGATTTAAATAATATCTATATCTATATTAACGAAAGAATGATGAAATTCAATGAATTGTGAAGGTAGAAAATGATAATAGACAAGTTTAATGGTTAAAAAAATTTTAAAACCGGCTGGATACTTTTAAACAGTTCATTGGCTGGCCAGAGGTACGGTACCAGACATTCTGAAGGTAAAACGCACACAGTAAGATGCGTGGCATGTGCACAAATGTCTGTACAAGCATGCTAATGTTCAAGCAAAGTCACTCGTGCATTAGCCTTACCAGCTTTGATTGCAAACCATGACATTTTGTTGCAGCAGCCGACTTCCAAGGATTCTCTTCTTGGTAATAAATCAGTTAACTAACAATTTGTCCTTTTTTTAACTTTGTTTTTGTAATCATTATTTGATCTGTTATTTGAGTTGAATAAAAAAAAATCCGATTAAGAGTTGGGATTTTTATTTATGAAGTTTACTCAAATATCAACGTCATAACGGATGAAAGCATAAACGATTATATCTCATAAAGCAGACAAGCATCTTACGTCCGGATGTATTTGTCACTGTGAATCCCTAAGAGATACATAGAGGCTATACTATTAAGCAGTATAATCCATGAAAGTGTCTGATAAACTCCATCCACAAACCAACGGATGTCACGGTGAATGGATGGTATTCCTAACCTTCCACGAGGTCATACCACTATTCTCCAGCGTATCCGGTCTTTTACACTATATCTATTGGCTTCTTTAGGTCTTGTTGCGTTTGATAATGTCTTGATCATGTGTATGCTTGGTCTGCTACAACTGACGCTAACCTCTAGTTGGATTGCAAAATATTAAGTTGGTCTGTAGAAACATGAAGCTGGAAAATAGACAAACCTGATGAAGAAAATGTAATTATTGTTAGTATACAAGAAAATAATTCATTGTTAAGTCAATAGAATATTATCATATTACTTCTGGAAATGGCAATTCTTTCAGCAATGTTACACCATCATACAGGAATGCGGTCGACTTATCGATGAACGCCTTCACTCATTCGCGATCGCCTGAGGATTATCGCAAGATAGAATTGATACTGCTATCGTTAATTTCCCAATGATTACTGTAAGAATATTAAATACGTGATATCAGTCAGCGAAATTGTTTTAAATTAACAGAAAAATATCATGAAGAAAAAAAAAACAGCTGAGGTTCTTACGGTCAACAATGATACTTGGTCACTTGAGCATTTTATCGAGGACAGATAACAGTCACGTATGTTCTTTTATTTACTCATCATTGTTTGTATCAGTGGAATATACACCTGGGATAATTTACATGCAAAATTATCGACAATATTATGGAAGATTTTTATTTCTTACTTTCAAGATATTTACTTCATTTTTTTACACAATATTTGTTACAACAATTACAATTTTTATGGACGGATTTAGTAATTTGATATATTAATATATTTGTTATTTATTTGAGCAATAAGAATCGAAGTTTTCATGAAAATGAAAGTTATCTTTTGCAATTCTATTCTCGCAAAGGCTTGTTTTAAAAATCATATATAGTTGTCTTGATGCCCAAAGAATTGTTTCAATGATTAATTCAAATAAATATAAAAAACTTGAATTGAAATGATAAAATAATTGTAATAAATCTTTTTACTAACTGTACATTCAAAAGTTAATTATTGAAGTTGGAAATGAATTAGTACTTCTGAGTAATAACTTTCAATATTTGTGAGAATGTTTCAACGACATCTAATTTTTTAACAAATTCGTAAAAAAATATTAAAAATTTATTAAAAAATTCAACTGTTATAATTTAAACTCTTTATAAATATTGAATAAATTATAGGATTAAAAAAATAATTTTTTGGAGTTAATAGAAAATATGCCTTCAGTACTCATTATATGCGTATCGTTTCCCTTTGGAGTTGGCTAAATATGAGAGTAAACTTGTTTTCAAGTCGGCCAGTTTCCAAATCGCAACATCAATTTCACATTGCGCAAAAATACCCTGGCAAAAATTGAACGAGAGGCCCCGAAGGCTTCTCTCAGGTAGTTCAATGACATTGAGATTCGTTTAATCTTTAACTTGGTTTTTTGCAAGGATTTCTCGTACAGATTCTTATGCCTAGGATTGGCTTTATATACCACCATTCACTTCTTCCATTTAAGTACATTAAACCACGATATATAAAATTTTTAAATTATTGACCAATATACATTTTACACTCACGTGCTTGATAAATAAATGTTCTCATGAACTTTAGAATTAATTTCGCATATCAAAGCAAACTGTATCAACATTTTCTTTTATTTTTATTATTTAAGCGTATCAATAAATAGTACATATCAATCAATGCTTTATGGAGACGTCTTGTGAAATTCAAAAGTGTACTTATGTCAGGCGGATGTACATTGACAGTTTAAAATAACACGCTATCACGTTTAGATTTAGTTCAACTGTGTAGGGAGGAAGCTCATGAAATTCACTTCCTCTAACCTATATAAATACATTCAGCTTATCCACATACACAATTTTTAAAATTAAACCAGGATTCAAATATTTATTTCCAGTACCCAAAAAATATTCTACTTCATCAACTGGCTCACAATGTTTGAAAAAGCTGCTAAATAAAATAATCTAATGATGATAAAACACTCATTCATGTCATTTTATCAGAATTTATTTTTTAATGATTGATAAATGTTTTGTAATATAAAATAATCATACATAAACGAAATATCTTGAAAGCTAAAAAAAAACTCGCAGTGTAAAACATAAATATGACGAACCTTTTTTACTTAATGGTGACATAAAATCTTCTGATGAAACATTAATGAACAAATTTTTTCTCTTTCTCATATTCTCTCAGTATTCATAAGTCAATATTACGCCAACTTCTCTGAATGATTGGCCGATTTTATCCATTTATTGAAGCAATATATGTATACAGTTGTTATATTCTTGAAACTGTCAACAACTGCATAATTTTTGTTTACCAAGAAAGTCTGCAAAAAAAGATGATGTAAGTATTGAAATTAATTAGTCATAGAAAATACCTTAAATAATGAGTATAAACACTATAAGGTACATGGAAAGAGTATTAATGTATCGATGATAATTAGTCGACTCATGATGATAATTCGCGTTTTGTAGATATAAAGTAGGTAACCGATTCATCAGGATGATGACGTGTATTAATACATGCGATCCATATTTTCAGTAACCTTAGTGACTGAGTTGATCACATCAACGCTGGTAATCTCGACCTTGGTGCCGTCGAACCCGAGAAGTATATTACATATATCGTGCTCCTGAACACGTACATAGGCATCTGAAAATATGAATACAATAGTTATAGGTATTAGGAGTAAAGCAAACCAGATAAAAGTAAAATATAGAAAAAGTTGAATAAAATTTCGCCATTCGATACACAAACATCATCATGTTATATTAAGGTAAATATATACATAATTGCAATCGGACGCGCCTACGTAATATTAAAATAACCGAGAGATATGAAATTGGCGTCTAATAAAAACCGTTGACTAATAATCGAGTTTGGAAACTAACTCTTGCGATCCAAGTCTCACGCAATCATGCTTGAATTGAGTTAAGTATATCTTTTGTCACTATAAGTATTGTATAATTCATTCTGTATTCCCACACTACCATCAAGGATGATTTACTTATTATTTATACATATTTTATTATCAATTTCATTCAAAATTTATTTATCATTGTAACGATTAATTGATTACAATCAAACAAATCAAAGAACAAAAAAATCCAAAGTAAAACGTTCGTATAATAGATATAACATAATTTTTTTAAAACCATAAATAAATGATTTAGGAAGTACAGATGGAATAAATTATCAAAAATATGGCTAATGTTATTTTTTATGAAACCACACCGGCGGATGTGATGAGAATAGATTTCAAATTCCTTTTTCCGCGCGTTATCGGCTACGTCATCGTTCGGGTACGTCCGGTTGACTAGACGTACATGTTGACATTCCGTGGCCAAATAAGCCTCCCTTATGCTTTAAATGACAGATAAATGATGTGTAACAATGAAAGATAAATTAATTTTTAATATTAATTTTAGTTGGTATGATATTTCAAACGGAAAGTTTTCCCTGGCGCAAGAAAAAGCCACCTCGAGCTCGCTGTCTTATTGCGTTATCGTTTGCAATGGATACTGACAATAAGCTTGTCAACTACACATTCAATTGCATATTTTCAAGTAATCTATTCTTAATGATTTTTTGTAATTTATGTATCATAACGAGCTTAACTAACGACCAGCTGTTTCTAACGGTTTGTAATTAATCCAGTTCTTTATTTATTCTTTACGTCGAGTTTTTTCTTCAGGTAACCTCTCTATTAATTTTATTATCTAAAGATGAAGATTCAATATTTGTTTTTGTTATAAGTATTATTTGTATGATGTGAAAAAAATGTGTGTTAAATGTTTCACATGTGAACAGTTTGGGTCAATTATTTCCAACTAATTATAGCAATTTAGGTAACAGTTGTGAACTAAATACATTTTTAATTGATACCAAATTTAGGTATTTGCTCTGAAAATTCACTCATACCGATTTTTTATTAGTAATTGACTAACCATTAATTATTTTATCAATGAATTAATTAATCTTATATTCATAAGTAAATTATCACATTGTTTATATTTTCACTAACAATACTTTATCATTTAATAAATATCAATGTATACTGTATAATTCAATTTCTGTATCTAGTTCACCTTAATCTGTTATTATGTATTTTAGAGTTAATCTTGTTAAAAATTACCATTACACCTGTATATTTCGCGAATATTATAATAACTGTATCATCCCGTAAAAGTGGTGTTTATTTAAAAAAAAATATTTAGTTTTTTAATTATTCAATATGATTTTTATACTGTAACAAATAATAAGTACCTATCATTAATGGCATACTTATTCTTTGTTATGGCGAATCATTTAGATTACAGAGTAATCAATTTTTAGGAGTCCACGTAGCGCAATTATCATATCATGCCCATGAAGGCTGTAGGCAAATCGCAGTTGACGTGGTCTTGGCTGCGTTGACCCACGTATACAGATTATTATACATTCTTAGTAGCATAATTGTGTGCTTGGAATAGAGAATGCTTGAAAATCAAGTTAGTTAGTACACGCATGCGCTGAGTAACTAATACATATGAATCATACATACACGGATGACTAACGAACGTAGTGATGTATCGTAGTGTATGTAATCAACCACCAGCTAACCGGCTACGAACGAATGACGACGACCCCGAGCGCTGCTGCTTGGTTCGTTCAGGTTTAGGTCGAGCGAACGGCAAGCTGTTCAGTCGTCAGTTGCACAATGGCGCGTACGGTTGGTGTTGCTCGCACATTTTCTTCGTGTTGTCGCCGTCGTTTCTGAGCGGAGGTCGGCCCAAGTCCTTTTGGACCGTCCCGATTTACAATAGAATCATTTCTGCTTCTTTGTTTAAATCAATCCGCTGGGAAACAATTAGTCTTATTCATTCTGACTCGAATTTGACACTGGTAACACTGAAGAATTTATTAATTCGTGTAAACGATTTATACGAATTTTTTGTTGGAAGAAGAAGGATTATTCATCATTAGTTTCTCATGAGAGAAGGATTAATTCGTTCAGAAACGAACGGCGACGTACAAAATCAAATATACTTGAGGTAATTTTTTAATGTGTTTTTTTGACCACTTTTCCTTTCATGAGTTGATGTTGAAAGCTATTAAAATTTTAAATTCGAGTTTATTGGAGAATCAGTTTAATAATGTGGCAAAGATTGAAGTGCAAAGTGCAGTGGCTGGTCATTGACGTTAATATATCTCAAGTTAGTCAATCATTAATTTCTAAGTGAATGTGTTTACATCGAAGGATTTCTCTTTGAAATGTTCTCATGCTTCTTCATCTTCTCCTTTTGGTGTTCTCGTGTTTTCGTTGCTCTGATTTTCATTTCTAATCATATGATGTAAATGGTTTTCATCATGTTGATGTGTAAAACAACTTTAAGTGGTTGTTAGGTTGTCTTACGTCATTTTTTCAAGTTCATAAATAAAGAGATTATTTTATAACCTCTTTCATATTTCTCATATTTACTGCAATAGTATAGTTTGGTATTACAAAAGCAGTAAGAAATCTGTTCATTTGAAAGGATTAATTTTTTAAAATAAAAATTAAATAAAATAAATATATTGTCATGATATTTGTCATTATATTTGTTTTCTGGATTCGGCCATTTTGACCTTAGCGAAGGATATCTGACTATCCGGTCTTGTAACCGTAAGAAACAACAGCATTTCATCATGTAACCAAGTCGTATTTTCTTCTGACAAGTCAGTTTACCGCTTCTATACGCCATGCTCGCCCAATTTCGTCAGATACTTATGATATCAACAGTGGTGGAAGGGGCTCAGACCGATACGACACGCATCACGGGTCTCCCCTACTTTGAATCGTACTCCGATCGATATCATTGTGTCTGTGCACCAAGGTCGTAGAATGAAATATGATCCCACAGCACTGGAGTACATCATACTTAATGAAAACTGAAAATTCAGCCGTCCATTATCATTTTTTTCACCATATTCATTGACTTCGAATCATCAAAATCAATCAGTACAATCATAAGTTGATCTTCATTAACATACATCCTTGACTTGATATCTTTTATAGGATATATATGTGTAATACTATCGAGAAGCCATTTTCCAAGGCGCGTCACACATGCGTGGCCAAGAAAAAAGATACGGAAGAGCGAATCATGCGCAGAAAATGGCGCGAGAAATTGCAAAATTTAAATAGTTAAATGTTGAATAGATTTTCTATCAGACTGATATGATAATGGGAAGATGATTCGTTAAACAGATACCTTCCAGCATGATACCCCTGACCTTAACGATCCCCACTCGATCTGCGTGGTAATTACACAACCGTATAGACGGATGTCGAAAGCAAATCACGGCTGTGCTGAAATCACGTTGTCTGAATCACGCGGCTCTTAACTTGCGATACTAAACTATTGGTTAAGTGTACATAGTCATGATTATGTATATATTGATACCTAATATTCATTAATTTTATCTTTATCAACAATTATTGTATATCACTGAGTATATTTCATGGCCTTAATTTCCTTTACTTATTCCACGGTTGTACTAATGTTATCATGATGATATGTCTTTTAATGGTTATGATTAAAGTCACTCTTATGCTTTGTATGTCATTATTTTTTATATAAATGAACCAACTACTAACATACTTTTTATTTTGGTTTATAGGATAACTGTAACTGAATGACTGGGGTATCAACAACATGCAGTTTCTTACTCCGTCCAGGGTTACTAGTTGATGTAACAAACGAAAAGTGTTAAAAGCTTAAAAAATTGATAAAAAGTGATATGAACTGTTAATAAATATTTTAAATTACTACACAGTTACCTGAAAATTGTTTTTAAATAATTAACTTGGGTAAAGATGTATGAAGCCATGATGTTAATAATGCAATTGTGGTTCGTATAAAAGTGTAAAAAGGATTAACAGATACTACAAGTGGTGACACACACAATTGTGTGGTGAAGATAGATAAAGTTATAGTAGGGAGTATAACGATTAAAAGAAGAAAAAAACTGACTAGAAATAAACACCAGCAAAGTGTTCCAATTCTGCGAAGGTCATTATTGTCATTGCGATTATACTCTAGTGTGGAGTAAACGTTAATTGTGGTTGGGACAATCAAAGAGTGCGCTAAGTATTTCAGTGTGTGCCTAAAAAACTGAGAAATAAAAAGCTAACGTGTTCTCGTGCAATATGAGATTGGCTAATCGTAATTTAACAGTGACAAGAACTAACAACGGCAAGTTCCTGGTCAATACCAACGGCCATCAAGATGTCAATCAATCAAGTTGCGAGGAAACAGTACCTCCAGTTGTATTTCCAAGCTGTGAATCAGTTCCAACAGCTCATCATGGTCCCACGATCCTTGGAGACAGATTCCTACTTGTTGGACCGGCTGAGGGCAGTGCTCTCTACCGATGCGTTGATGTTCAAACCGGTCAACAACTCGTTGCCAAGGTGAGAATCCGGATCTACATTCATCATTTATTTCTTTAACTCGAGACTAAAAAAAATGCACTTTATTTTCCCACGTTCATAATTTCAGTATATTTCTGCATTATAGTCTCTCTTACACTCTTATGTACGACGTTGTTATTAACATTTTACTACGTGTTATACAATAAGAGTTTCATCAGCATCTCGTGAACAAACACAAGGACTGTTTCTCTTAGTAGATGTATGTGTTCATTTTATTCATAATCACAGTTACAGGGGCGTTGAATTCAATTGATGATTACGTCCTCACGAGTTGGCTTTCGTAAGCCCCAGATCCGCTCCCGGACAACATCGTAATCATCATCATCGTCATCACTACCATGATTGTCAATTAAATTTCAAAGTCAAACTCTAATTATTCATTTAATTACATTTAAAACCAGTTAGCGTGGGTCTTTTTTTCTTTTTTTATAAATTTTTTTTTTTTAAAGTACCGCCTCCCTTTACGATAAACCTTCGCCATAAAACCTTGACATGGTAAAAGACGTTTGGTAATTCATTGCTAATTCGCAATAACGAATGCGTGTGTTTTCAGGCTCTCGCGGCAAGCGACAAAGGCGGTGAAGCTCTTTTACAAGCTCACCTCAGATTGGAAGGTACAGAAGCAGCAAGTGGAGTTGCTGGGATTGTAGATGCTTCTGGAGGTAAGAGATACTTGCTTCTGGAAGGCCATCATGGTGATCTTCATGCCTACGTCAGAGTGAGGAGGAGACTGAGGGAGCCCGAGGCGAGGCGACTTTTTCGACAGGCTGCTAAAGCAGTTGCTAAGTGCCACGAGAATGGTGTTGTACTTAGGGATCTCAAACTCAGGAAATTCGTATTTGCTGATGAAGCAAGGTAAATTTTTATCAATGAAAATGATTAAACTGAAGCAATACTATGGGACTAAATATTAATTATATTTAAATATAAAATACTATCGATAAATAATCTTGATATCTGTCATTTATGATAAAGAGCTTCAGGAAATTATGAAAACCTGTGTTATCTTTGTATGGAAAAATGAAAGACAAGATCGAGGTTGAAGAGCAAGGCAGTCTAGGGTGTGATTGAACTCAGTGTCTGGGAAATTGAAAATTGTAAAAGCACTGGCCTCTAGAAATATTCCACCTCATAGTTGTTGTAGATGCCACAGTCACAGCAGACCGAGCCCGGGAACCGGCTCGCATGCATTTCTGTTAGCTAATCGCTGTGCTCGCATTCCTGTGGCTCTCGAGCCCGGGCGCGTCGCACATGCTCTTGCACATGAACGACCACGGTGGAATGAGAGACAAGAAAGAATGAGAGAGAAGGAAAAATGAGTGGGAGCTAAAAGAGCAAAATGTAATGTAATGTAAGTAAAGAAGAGGAGGGGGGCACGTGTTGCTGCAAGTCAGAAAAGTATATTGGTTCATCGACTGGAGCGTTTTGAAACCACCTTCGTGTATATATAATTAAGAAACGTGTGGTTGTTTTTCTTGCCGTGCCCTGTTAGCCTGAGGGTTCCTTTCCCTCCTATTTCACAGTCTTTCTTTCCAGATTTATCGTTTTTAATTATTCTCATATCGATTTCAAGTACTCATATTTCTCAGTTGCTTGCTCAAGTATCTCGTTATACAATTTCTCCTTGGCGTCTTTCAACAACACGGATGCTCCGGCCAACGAACTCATGCCGGATTTAGCAAACCGAACTGTCCAGACTCTTGTCTAACTCCTCCTCCACTTATTCATCTGCATTCATTCGCTTCAAAATAGGAAATTTGAAAGATTCATCTCTAAAAGCCACGTGTAATATAATATCTTCCTTGTGACAATCTCTATCTTTCTCCTCTTTGTCTCGTTTACTGTTCTTAATTCTTTCCATTCTCTATCTTTTATCTTTCTCTTCTACATTCCAAGTCTTCAATCAATCGGTCATCATTCGAGTGTTTCGCAATCACGTTGATCTCTTGTGCTTGAATTTTTATTGGAGGTTCTTGAACTCATTAATTTCTTCAGAGTGAAAGTTGGCGAAGAAAGCAGATGTCAACGACCTCTCACTTTTCTATCTCTCTCTTTGGGCAACCGGACGCACTCAATTTTTTTCTCAATATATGCATGAATGTAAGAAGGTATGTGTTGTATACTATGATTTGGAATATTAATTAATCTCAAGAGTCCGGTTTGTAGATATTTAAGTTTACACCTATGTGAAGTTGCGGAATGAGGTCCAAATCGAAAACATGTGGTAATACAGGCGATGGGCCAAGCTCTTAGCGTTGCTCAATCTATACTTGAAGAGAATATTACGCGGACTCATATACTTCCGTGTTTTACCAACAACGAGTGAGTTAAGTACACTGCATAACTGCCCTGATCCAACGCTATCTCCTTACTTCCCCCTCACACTTGGCTACATTAAAGCAAAAGAGCCAAGCCTTGTATTTCGTTTTATCCACAACGGTTTACCAATGGTACGGTTATGCCGATGTCTCAATCGTCAAAGACTCTTGCTAAATTGAATGTCTTACAGTCACGCGGCTAATGTAAACTATGTATAGAGACTTGCTGCTGTCGGTTAAGAAAACGGGACGCGTATCTCTTTCATAGCTTTATAATACTGACGTGAGTCACGGAGCTAACCCATAGAGTCGCTTCAGTTCATATCGTTAATAAGATAATAAAATTTTTATCCAAAAAATTCCAAATTTATTAAGTAGTTTTATTTATTTCAGAACATGCCTACGTTTAGAAAGTCTCGAAGATGCTGTGATTGTTGATGAAGATGATGATAAACTGACAGACAGGCGTGGATGCCCAGCATACGTTGCGCCAGAAGTTCTCCGTTCTGGCAGAGCTTATTCAGGCAAAGCAGCTGACATATGGTCGCTTGGAGTACTTTTGTACACCATGCTAGTTGGTCGTTATCCCTTCAATGCTGTTGAACACGCCTCACTGTTTGCTAAGATCTCACGAGGACAATTTGCTGTGCCAGATGCACTGAGTGCACGTGCGCGGTGCTTAATTCGTGCATTGTTAAGGCGGGAGCCATCAGAAAGACCAATTGCTGAAGATGTTTTGAGACATCCTTGGCTGTCGAAACCACTTCTTAGTGTTTCCCACATTACCGGCAGAGTATCTAATCACGATCAGCTCGTTCCTGATTCGACCAATTGCTCTCAAGACTGATTTCATGAATAATATCGTAAATATTCCAATTGCGTACGTTTCATGGGAATTTATAGAAAAAAAATTTATACCATTTTGTATCCTGTCAAGGATAATTTTGTTATCAAATTCTCAAGAACAAAGAAAATCGAAATTATCGTTTATAGTTAAACGAAGTATTTATGACATGAAGCGGAAGGTACGCGTTTTTTTAAAATTATCATTCGTGAGTAATCTTGCATTCAAACACGACTGTACGCATTATTTAATGTTTTGTTTTAATTGATAATGTTAAATGTAAATTTATTCTTCCATACCTTGGGGTATATAAGCCAGAGCGTGTTCCAGATCAACAGAGTCTGAGTACATCGCGTTTGCATAACGATGGAAATACGTCGAATGTGAATGTAATTATTTGTAAACCAATTGCTTTATAAGATGAAACAAGTGAAAGTCTTCGTTTCGTTCGATACCTTTAACTTCCTTATTAAATGTTTCCAATTTTTGGAACATACGGCTGAATATTATAATGCTTTATTTCATGGTGAGATATTGTACATATGAAATTTAATAAGTTTTATGTTAAAGAGTTACAAAACTCATAAGTGATGTAAATAAATAGGTAGTAATAAATGAACGTATGTGACTCATTATAATTATCTGTGTTTTTTCTTATTTTATTGACAATTTAATGATTTATATATATATATATAAAACAAAATAGGTATTAAAAAATTATCTAAAAAGCTGTGAAAGAGTATCAAAAAAATATTCCAAAAAAATTTTTATATTTATCAAAATAAAAAACTATAAACTATAAAAGTATATAATAATAATAATTATATAAGAGTATTTGATTATTTATGCATAACTATTTACTTCATTAAGTTTTTGATATTTAGGAAGAAAATTTTCACTAACGTCTTGAATCATTGTCGACACAAGTGCCGGAAGATCATATTTATGTTTCCATCCCCAATCTCGACGGGCTTCTGAATCATCAAATACTTGAGGCCAAGATTCAGCTAAACAACCAATGAAAATTATTGTTAAATAATAGTATTTTTCCTTTAAAATTTTTTTTCGAAAAAAAATAATTACCAATCATCTGACGAGAGTCTGGTTTATAAGTAATTTGAAGATCAGGCATATGTTTCCTAAGTTCAGCAAACAGTTCTTCAGGAGTAAAACTCATTGCAGTAACGTTATAAGTTCTCTTACGTAATAATTCATTAGGAGTATTAAGAAATTGAAACAATGCATTGAGACAATCTTCAATATACATCATAGGTAATTTCGTATAAGGTTCCAAATAGCATTCATATTTTTTCGTCATGAGACCTTCATGGAAAACTGCTACAGCGTAATCTAAAATGATAAACACAACTATTGAATAAAATAATAATAATAGCAATAAGCCTAAACTAAAAAAATAAAACTCAATAAAATTTTTTTGTAAACAGCTAACTGTTTCATGGGTCGTGGAATAAACAAAACGATAATCTCACGCTCACCAGTTCTCAAATTTCTTTCAGATCGATTACCTCATTATGCAATTGCCTTAACTGTAGACAGATAGCTGTACACTCATGTCCTACTTGCATAGAAAAGTGCTGGAGATTTAACTATTTCTTAAAATATTTATTTTCACAATTTCTCAATAGTATGACAAAAGATCCAACAATAATGATCAAAATTTAATAATATAATAACTAAATGATTAGATAATTAACTAATAATAATATTATTGCAAGTAATTAAATAAAATAAGATTAATTTAAATTAAGTAAAGTACTTATTGCATTTATTGTAATTACATAAAAATTGTAAAAAAATTACCTGTTGTACCACCACCTGGTGGATCACTGCTAATAACTCCGGGGAATCTCAAACAACGAAAATCTAACCCAAATCTATGATGATAATATTCACCAAGCAGCTCAGCATGAACTTTACTAACTCCATAAATTGTCCTAGGTCTCTGTACTGTCACATTTGGAGTAGGGTTTCGAGGAGAGTCAGGGCCGAAAGCTCCGATAGTTGAAGGCACAAAGATTTTTAAATTATACTGTTTTGCTAACTCCATAACGTTGTGCATTCCTGCATTTGATAATTATGTACATTTTAATGTAAAATTTCATTCATTATAGTTGTAATAATGAATAAAAACTTTTTCTCTTGTTAATTTTTCCAGAAAGCAAAAAAAAAATAATAATAGATAAAAGTCATCCACAATCAAGTGACCGTCACATCTATAAGGCTCAACGCGTTTGAAATCGTCTTTATTTACTTTCACCCCAACTTTCTAAATGACAACAAAGTACTTGAAAAATAAATTCTGACCATATTGTCATTATGTCTACTAGAGAATAGAAAATTTTTTATCATTACAAGTATCAATTAATCATGTTAATTATTATTAACATCAAAATGACAAGCTATCTTATGAAATCGGGAAAAACATTTCACATTAATTATCAACTCTACATTTATTTAATAATTAATTATTCAATTAATTTTATACCTTCTATATTGACACGAACAGCTAAAGGAACATTTTGCTCTCCAACTGCACTCAAAAGAGCACTAAAATGAATCAACCAGTCGATTTGATAATTAACTACTATTTTCTGAAGTCCTTTAAAATCTAGAATGTCAGCAAAGATAAAAGGACCACCTGACAAACATTCATCCGTTGGTTTTATAATATCTGAAAGAATGACATTATCTTTTCCATATTTTTTACGGAAGAGCTTAGCACATTCTGTTCCTAATTGACCTAGACCACCTAAAATAGGCAATAATGGATTGATTATTGTAAATATTTTTCAAAATAAGATATAACAATATTATTGTACTAGTTATGCATCCGTTACTTACATGATAAATGATTTATGGATAATTATAATACTAATTAAAAATTATTTGATTCATTTAAAAAAATTTGTACTTTTTTTTATTGATAATATACATATATTCAAGAATTATCAGAAAATAAATTCATAGAGTAATCTATCAGAATATTTTGAAATTTTTTTTTAACACATGATTTATGTAATGACGCTTACCTGTAATCAAAATTCGTGGTGACTTTTCTATAGGAAATAGTACTTCATTCTGTGAAGTTGTATTGTTTATCAGTGAAGGTATAATATTACTAGTATTTATTTGCCTAAAATAATTTTTAAGAATCCTCGGCCGAAACAAAAATAATTTTCTACTTAACATTATTTTAAACTAAAATTAGCTGACGTATAATGTTTCTTTCGTAAATAAAATTTTAACAAAGGTACGCAACTATTAAATTCAGGCTTAAAAATCTGTATTAATTGTTATCAATGATATGTGGAAAATAGTATTGCAGAATCAATTGTTTTCCGTTTCACGGTCTATGAACTACTGCAGTAGGTATGATAGCTTATAGTAATTTATTCTGAGAATTTTTGAAACCAGTTTTATAGAGAGAGGGCACGAGATCGAGAGGGAGAATGCACGAGAGATTGTTCTAGTACAAGGTGCAATCAGAAACCTGGATATTCTTTTATTCTATATATTATACACAATTATTCATAATATGTTTTCCTACATAACATAACAGTATTTGCATTGACATGCATCTTGTTGATATTCTAGTTTAAGGCAATCATCGTTCTACAATAATAATTTTTTGTACTCAACGTCCTTGCAACTCAATGACGTCATAATTATATGAGATGTCTAGAGAGGCTCGTCTAGACTGGTCCAACCTGTTGACTACTTTCAAGCTCATCGATGATATAAAACTGTACTTAAATACTTCCCATATAATAAAACTTGATCTAATTATAATTTTAAAAGAAGAATAATAAATATTTGTATCAAGTATATAAAATGATTATTATAAATCATATAAAGACTTTCAAAGTATCTAGGTCGGAACGTAACTACAATATAATCTAGTTGGCATCAACCTTAAAAAATGATTGACAAGTATTAAGGAAATATAAATCGATAAGTTCATTCCTTAGATAAATATTCAATTAAATATGAGGAACGGTTTAATCACATATTCAAACGCGTGACAATTGTCATGCTTGTAGTGCACTAGAGGAAGGAATGACATCCTGGAAGCATGTCTTCACGCTGTTTGGGTGCGCACTTCGCAATATACTCTCTTTTTCCCCGCCTCTTTTTGTATCTTCATGCAAGCACTTGACTTCAAGTCTGGGGACTCCCCCAGACAAGTTTTCTTTCTTTTATCCCCATTATGTACACCTATACCGCGTGTTCTGGACACTACTGGACACTCCGGTACTTAGTTCATATCCGTAACAAGCAGTAGATAAGACAAATTTTTTGTCGGTGAATTCTATTTTGTTTTTGTCAGACTATCATGCTGTGTTGTTTATTTTTTTTCAATCGGTATAGTTTTTATTAATAAGTTCATAATTATTATAACAAGTTTTTCATTATCTTCTTTTATTAATTGGTAAAATACTCACTGGAGCAGGTAATTATTTATTTATATAAATAAGTAAAAATTTATAATAGATTATTTTTATGATACACTGGTTTAAAAGTTGGTAGAAAAATCTTGATAGATTGATAGTTCGTTATAATTAATTATTACTCTTCTCATCTTGAATGATTGAAAAGATTATTTTTTGTTAATTGGTATCTTCAGAAGAATAACCTCGATGTCGAAATTTTGAACTGACTACACTTGGTATTCTTCTTTATTCTTCTTTTTGCAAGTGTCTAAGGTGTACGACCTTAATGCAACGTTGCATAAGAGACGATAGTATCAGTGTCCGCTGAGATCTGGAAAAATATGCAGGAAGTTTGATACACTTTCACTTTACGCGAAACGATTCTCTTAAAGCTCTTCCTTTTTACTTTCTTAGGTTCATTTCATATTTTAACCCTTTCATAATTTCATTAATTATTTTCTAAAATGACATTTATCACCCTTTCTTCGAAGCATAAAGTTTATCTCAGAAAGCCATCTAATGATAACAATGATTGTTTATTTATTTATCAACGAGGCATAAAAATGATTTTTATTTTTTTGAAAATCATTCATAGGATATGCCTGAAGTAGCTAAGTCATCATATTTACCTTGGTCACAATTAGAATTGGTTTGTAAATATAACGAAACATGATCACACAGTCCTCTGGTCTTAAATGCAATTATTAACGGAGAATGATTGTCCTAGCGGTCTTTGGCTTTACTTGCGGTACGAGAGACAATTTTTTTCTTCCGCGACCGTGACGTAAACGTGTTGGACTACCATGACGATGGATATTTTTCCACTTGTTTTCAGGGTCTGCCTTCTTTGCTTTTGAAAATCATCATCTTGAGAAATTGAAAAACCCATGCAATACTCTTTAAAACCAATTATCACTATTGTATACGGTATTTTTATCTTATAACATGTCATCAAATACTTTCGAAACATGTTTCCACAGAAATTTAACACATATTCAACATTAATTCGATATTTCCTTTCTGTATTTCCGTATTTTTTATTTAATCTGAAGAAATTAAAAATTATTTTTTATTTTTTATTCAAGACAATTTGGTCATGTTCTATAAATGGCGATGAAGATGAGTAAGCCGCCAGAAGGTGGAGGAGGTTTATACCTTATCATTTTACTGATTTTTATTCTAAAGTTCACTTATGCGCAAGAGGAATATGGATGTCCTCCTCAGGATAAAATTCTTCCTTGTAGATGTTCTATGAGAGATATGGAATATCAAGTATGGTAAGTCAATTACAATGTTAATCAACTTTTATGTAGTATCTTGGATAAAAAAATCTAACTTTATAGAAATCGTTATCTAGAATTTTCTTTCCATGCATTTTTTGAGGAAAAAACACTAAATTTAAAAAAATTATCTATTCAGGTGCAGTCACAGTGAGTTACCTAAAGTTTTAGAGGGGTTAAAAGCTGTAAGTCATTATATCAGCCATCCAGTAGATGAATTGATATTGGAAAATAATAATTTACCAAGTCTTCCTGGAAAAGTCTTTACAAGTCTTCGAGTTCTTCGTTTAATGTTGAGAAATAATCATCTAGAAAGAGTATCATCAGGATGGTTAGAAGGGCTTCACGATTCGTTATTAGAACTCTTTATCGTTGAACCTGATTTACGGTCACTACCAGTGGATAGTTTAGATAATCTTCAAGGTCTAGAAGCTATCACACTTCAAAGTAGATCTATGAAAAGACTTCCTAAATTTTCTGGTTTAACAAAACTTCGTTATTTACAAGTGAATTCTCTTACTTTACTTGAATTATCACCAATGCATTTTCGAGATTTACCTCATCTAGAGCAACTACATATTTTTGGAAGTCCAAAATTAATGAGATTAGAAGCTGGACTATTTAGAGGACTACCTAAGCTTTCATTAGTTAACATAACGAATTGTGGTATCACTTGGATTCATCCTAGAGCTTTTGTAGATCTTCCAGAATTGCGAGAAGTTTCTCTTGAGAATAATAAAATTCCAGATGCAGCAATAGTAGGTCGTGCAATGATGGATCTTCCGGTACTGTCGACTATAACATTAATTGAGAATAGAATTCCACGTCTCCAAGGAGAAGCCTTTGTAAATCTTCCATCATTGAGTAGGCTTTATCTTACAAAAAATCTCATTACTGAAATTTTCCCTGGAGCTTTCCAACTGTTACCTATGCTCCGAGTTCTGGATTTAAATTATAATCTCATCAGCAGAATTCATCCAGAGTTCTTCGTTCAAAGATCAGGCAGCAGCCTTGAAGAATTATGGATAATAGGCAACAATTTAAGACGAATAAATGAAGTTCGTGCTATTATGGATGCTCTTCCCAGATTGAAGTTTCTTGACGTTTCATATAACTATCTTGAAGAGATTCCTTATGGATCATTGAGAGGTCATTTGACTCTGGAACGACTTCATCTTGATCATAATCACTTGAGTTATATCCAACGAGAAACGTTTAGTGGAATGCCTGCATTAAGAGAACTTAGGTTAAAGAATAATTCACTTACAAATTCTATGGAAGCACCATTTTGGAATTTACCGGGATTAAAAGTAAGTAATGAATTATATTTTTTTTCTTTTACTTTCTATAATATTTTTAAAATTACCAATCATTTATTTGCAAAAAACTGTTACAATTCACTGAAAGTATAAAACTCAAGAGGCGTTTTGAGATAGCATAAATGATCCCAAAAATATTTAATTTAGAATTTTAAATAAAAAAAATAAATCTGAGCCTACTTTGTCTGTGCTAACATGACGAACTTTCCATTATTAATTGTTTATAACAAATTCAAATTCTTATAAGCAATACGTAATTGTTAAAAGTCATATCTCGTCGTTGATAATATTATTACATTGAAAAAATTCCAATCGGTGCGGTATACTTGACATTTTTTTAAATTATCAGTATTAAAATAAAATATAAGTGAAATATGTTACGATATATTTAAATTTTTTCTCTAAAAATATGAAAAAAAAATTTATTCGCGTTTATAATGCTTCCATCTGACCTCATAGTCTCCTAATATAAAAAATAAACACTGCGGATCAAAGTCAAATAAGTGATATGACTTTATTTCACATACAAATAATGTATAAATAACAAATATATTCTAAAATCAATTTAAATTTATTAATTTATATATGTTTACCAATTAAACGAGTATTTTTTTACCTTAGGGTTTGGATTTATCTGAAAATTATTTCCGACATATCGAGCCAATATTACTATCAAATTTACCTAATCTTCGAAAGCTTGATTTAAGCGGAAATGGTATCACTGTGGTAGAACCAGAAGCTTTTATAAACGTTCCTGCTTTAGAACATCTTAATATTTCTGGCAATGCTATCTCAATCATTCATCCAATGACTATGAGACATTTAACAGAGTTATATGAGTTGGATGTTAGTTGGAATAGACTCCTAGAAGTGGTTCCAAGTCTCCCAAAAAATGTTGAACATCTATATATGCAAATGAATAGAATAGTTGAACTTCCAGCATTGGAAACACGAGATCTAGCTCTTCCAATCCTCCGAACTTTTGACATAAACGCCAATGGCATTGAAAGAATACCACCAGGTGCTTTGAGTGAAATGCCAAATCTTAGGAAGCTAAATTTAGGCTATAATGCACTAAGAATAATTGAAGATGGTACGTTCGATGGACTGGTTAGATTGGAACAATTGGATTTGAGATATAATCGAATCATGTCAGTCCATGGTCGAAGTCTCATGCCATTAAAGTCTTTAAAGGATTTAAACTTACGTGGGAATCGATTAGAGGTGCTAAGACCGGATATTTTTGTAGATAATATTGAACTTCAAAGGCTAGATTTAGCAAGGAATAATATTGCACAGTTTCCGCATTCAACGTTTACCAGTACAAGGTGAGTCTTTTTGAACTTTATTTTAAAAATTAAAATAATCATCTTGAGTAAATCAACATGAATTTTTTTGGTAATCAATTATTTATCAAAAACTAGTTTATTAATTAATTTGTAATGGATTTTTATTTCTCTAAAATTAGTAAATCGAATTTTTCGTTAAAAAAAGAATGACAAATCATAATTAACACAAAAATTTTCTCTAAGAGACACTTTCAATTGTGTAACTATAAAATAGACATGAGTCTAGAAAGTTTAATTGGATAATGACGCGATAGTTTTTTGCTTTTGCTTTAAAGATATCACTTGAATAATAATAATTAACCGATAATTAATTAATTATTTACGTTTATTTAAGTTGGTACATTAATTATAAATATCTATGTTTGAAATTTTATATGGCCTAATAAATAAACAATATTTTTATAGAAACTTACGAGAACTTTATGCATCACATAACACTTTATCTGAACTTCCGGCGTCACTTCATGGGCTTTCATCTTTAGAAGTTCTGGATTTGAGCTTTAATAAATTAGTAATGCTATCTTCAGATACTCTCAGTACTCTTACATCTCTTCTTGAGTTGAAGCTTGGAAAAAATAAAATCATGGAGTTAAGAGAGGGAGCATTGAATCGATTACCTAGACTCACCGTCATCGATCTTGAAAATAATGATTTAAGAGTTATTGAAAGAAATGCAATAAAAAATCTGCCAGAACTACAAGCTATACGATTAGGAAAAAATCGAATTCAGGTAAAAGAAATATGATAATTATTTAATAAGTAAAAAGTGTCAAGTCACGTTCTAAATCCTAGATATTTAAAAAAATCATATTGTGTAAAAAAAAGAAAACGAAGAGGAAAACATTGCCTTTGTCCTCATGATTTAAATTGATTCACAACATGTCAATTTATTTAATTGTAATTATAAACAGGTTAATATAAATAAATTCATTTATTTGATGAATAAATTCCATTTTAATTATGTATGTTATGAATTATTGAAAACAACGTGCTGCTTATTCATTATTAAATGAGCTATTATATTTACTTTATAGATGATTCCAACAGGAGCTTTTACAGATCTTCCTCTGCTCCAAATTGCAGAATTACAAGAAAATCGAATTCAAGAAATAGCTCAAAATGCATTCATAAATGTTCCCAATATTCTACTGCTTAATTTGAGTTACAATCTACTACCAAGTCTTGAACATGCAGGAATATCGAATTTGCGATCGTTGGAAGTATTAGATCTTAGCTTCAATCGTTTAACCATGGTATCAAATAATAACCTTGCCGATTTGGAGTGGCTTGTTGAGTTAAAGGTAAATCTAGTGATTTAAAACACTTTCACATAAAGAGTGAAACTTTCTTATTACTTCGGCATCTGATAATCTTGTCGTTATGCTACGCCAACAACAATTATTTGCTGCGCGTTGTTAATTATGGTGATGATTCTATTGTAAAGCTTCTTTTGCATAGACTTATGTTTACATATTTCATTTCGACGTAATTATGAAAAAAAATATTGTTTTTTTTTTTAAATGAAGTTTTAATTACTTCTTTCTTTTTAATAGATGGATAACAATCGAATATGTGGAATCCAAGGTTCTCCTTTCGATAACATGCCAAGGTTAAGGGTCTTGAGCATGCGAACAAACAGGATGTCCAGTATTAATGAGAATGCATTCAAAAGGCTCCGATCTAACATTGCTGTGCTGGATATTGATGGAAACCCCTTGTCTTGTTCTTGTGGAATGATTTGGTTGAGAGGATGGATACAGCAGTCGTCATCGGAAGGGCCAAAATGTGCTGACGGTACACTTTTCAGAGAAATGAGACTTTCACGTACTGATTGTTTAAATAAAAAAGAACGTGAACCTGTTCATCCTGATTGTGAAACTGAAATGATCGATCAAACTTTAATGTCCTCTCGTAAGCACTGATTTCTACATAAATATTGTTTATAATTTTTAAACTGTTCATTTAATTAATATCAATTTTCAGAACAGGGTGATAAAAGACCACCACCAGCTTGGATGAATACCCACAGTCCAACAAAATTTAATCAAGAGCCTGATTATTATGAAGATTATCTTGATGTCCCGTACAATATGACTAACAAATTATCTCCTTCAAATATAAACCAGTCATCGATAATATCTCAAATACCAACCGGACCAATTAAATTTATTCAAACAACAACATCGGCTCCTCCTATCATTCTTCAGAAGAAGAAAACACCACTGCAATCACCTGGTAGTTCTGGATTTACATTTTTCGGCGTTCCTCTACCTAGTTTGAATTTTAATCTTTGGGGAAATTCTCGAAAAAAGTCTCATAGGAAAGAAGAAACAGCAGCACGAAGTAAATACAAACCTTTTATACCCCGAGAACCTGAGATGTATAGAGGATTTACTCCTTTACCAGAAACTGAAGGTGGATTTAAACCAATTGTTGACCCACGTATCATGTTTCAACGACAAATGACTAATGAAACTATAAGAAATGGAACTAGGAATGGAATAGTAACAAGAGTTTATCAAGATAACAAAAAAACTATTAATGAAGAAATAGAAAATAAAGAAAAAAAGAGAATTTTTACTAATGAAGGATCGAATATAAAACCGGATACTTCCACTTTTTCAATTGGCACTGATATTCATCAAACTCCATCACTTGAAGTTGTCAATAAAATTCATTCTAATTCTTATAATGTATCTTCTGTGAATAAAACTGAAAGCACAATAAATGGTTCAACCACACAAGGATATAATAATGTCAATTTCGATGTAGATTCTGAAGAATCAGTATTACTTGAAGGGAAAGTAGCAAGCCGAATAGTTTGGACAACTCCTGGAACTAATTTACAGAAAGAATATGTACCAGAAGTACATTCAACTGAAGGTGCAAGCTTAACGCAAGATAAAGTGTTTTGGAATACTGAAGAAAATCGTCCATCACTTTCTAAACCTATTGACACTACTCCTATGACCTCTGAGACAACTTTTGATCCAATAATATTCGTAACAACGACTGAAAATAGAACAAGTGACTATTATGGAGCAACTACGACTTTACAATCTTTATTACAGAATAGAATTGCGTCTCAAACTTCACAAGCTCTTGAGCCGTCAGCTTTATCAGCCCTTTTAATTCCTGGAGGCCAAGTTACTGCCTTCAATCCAGTAATGGCAGCTCGCCCTGCTGGTAAATCCACTATTGAAAAAGTTCCCTCACCATTCCTGGTTTCTAAAAATGATAGCCATATTACTAAAATTGAACAAGTTATTAAAAATGAGAGCAAATATTCGCCAGAGATCATTACAGAAAAAATGCTGACCAAAAATAATTTTCAAGGACTCCATGAAGATGATCCTTTTAATTGGTATTTCCAGAACTATAATATAACTAACTTAGAACCTTATGTTGCAGTAATTGAAAGTGGAGTTGCAAAAATATGTACTCCACACATTTTAGTGATACTTGTAATGCAAATATCATTTATTTTAGTGCACTAGTGATTGTTTAAATATGTGAGTTATGTACTGGAATACCAAAGTCTATTTAGAAATATATGTTAAGAAGTTAAATAAAATTGTTTTTAAGAGTATAAAAATTATTTTTCCTCTTTAGGTTACTTATTTTTGTATATTTCATTATAAAAGCTCAATAAGTAATTAAAAATATAATCATTTGTTTAGAAGTTATAAATGATGAATTATAGAGTAAATTAAATAATTAAGTATTAATATTTCATGACAACTAAAATACTTTATGAAATATACATTGAACCAGATATTACTCTGACTCTATTTAGAAATTAATTCATTAAATGTAATATTCATAGAAAATTCAGCTATACTTGCAACACTTGTTTTTTAATAATTAAATTTACAAAACAAATACGATAATATTAATTATCATTGTTATTTTTTTTTTCAAAAAATTTCACAATTTGTTACGATCACTTAGTTTTAGATTTTTCTTTTTCATCTTTCTTTTCCTCTTCTTTTTTTTCTTCTTTTTTAGTCTCTGTTTTTTTATCTGTTTCTTTTTTCTCCGCATCCCGATTTGTTAATTTATTATTGATAAGATTATGCAAGGCAATAATAGACCTTACGAGAGCAGCTAAATAAACTACCAACATTTGATCATTGGTTTTAACATATAAAGAATCTACGAAAGTATTTTGTGTCATATCAGGTAATAAATTGAAGATATCTTGAAGTTGATATACAATTTGATGATTTATGGGAAGTTTTCCACTGCCAACCTATAATTAAATATAAAAGATTTAGTAAAGTCACAATAAATAAAATATTTCGGCTAAATAAAGTTTACCTGGAGCAAATAATCACGTATCTCCCGGATTTGAGCATGAAGGCCTTTTAATCCCAGCAATAGATTGGTAATCCTTTGACTAAGGGTACCCACAGTTGTGTCTTTGATGTCTCTGAGTAAATGCTCTACTCCTACTTCTTCAGCTTCTTCTGCTCCGATTTCACTAGGGATGTGTTCAAAAGTTTTTGATGTTGGTGATCCATCCTAAAGATGATTAAATAATTATTAATTTCTTATTAAATTAGATTTTGTTTACATAATTTATGTTACTTACATCATGGACTTCTTCAACTACATGATATGCTTCGGTCGGAAGACCTAAATCTTTTGGTTTAGCATCAATGATAACAAGAACTGAATTTGGACAATATCGTCTAATTAATTCGTTTATCGCCACATCATTTTGATGGAGTTTTGGACCGGTATGATACCAACCAACTACCTTTTCTCTAGCTAAAATAATTGACAAACTCATTTGATTTTTGATTTGCTTAATATTTGAAATATCATTTTTATATTGTCATATAAAAGAAAAACATAATTATCTTCAAATTACCATTAACTTTTTTGAACATTCCGAACATGTTTTCAAGGTAATCATGATCAAGAAACCATACAGATTTATCCTTGTCATCTTCATCAAATGGTACTGAAAATAAAAACAGTATGTAACTCTTATAAGATGTTTACTCGTAAAAGTAGATGATTTATATTAATGAAAGCAGAACAAGCTTCGGAAAATAATTATATGGAAATTATGTTTGAAAATGCTTTGTTTAATCGGCAAATACAAAAGCAACAGTATAAATCCTAACCTGCAAAACTGTTTGACACGTCTAGTACTCCTTTAGCTCTCCAAGATCCAAGTAAAACACCTACTACACGTTTTTGATATCCAATTTTTCCCATTCGAGTAAAATGGTCCACTACACTTAAAAGGACAAGTGGATGAACCACAACTTTTGTTGTAAGAATCTCTTGACTCGGCATTTTTGATAGTTTTCTTTGCGCACTGTGTGCTTAATGCACTTTTTTAAAAAATAATTTTATCTGTAATTGAATCAGCGCCTCAATATCATTTTATTGGTACTATTTTAAAATAACTCTACTGCTGATAATAATGATAACTGTAACAAGGATATGTCTTCAAAAATCAATCAACAAAAAAGTTATAATTAAAAACCAAAACACACAATTGTTTCATAAAAATAAAGAGATTAATTAATTTGATATATCAAAAAGAAATAAATTTAATAGAAAGCTATCATGTTATAAATCAAAACATCACTTATTTTCTATATAAATAAACATATCTAATTAAATACTATAATTTTTAATACAGTTTTACAGTAAATTATGGTATATGTGAATAGAAATTGACTAATACTTATTATTTATTACGATTATAAAGATTTTAATTAAATTTAATTAAATTGAGTTTATTATAAAAGATAGTAGGTAAGAAGAAATATAATAAATAACTTGTGTGATAGCAATGAAAAATGTTTTTATTTGATGATCAATTCGTTGTTTTTAATTATTTCTACAATTATTCATAATAGAAGCTTTGAATAAAATTGAATTCATAATTACTTTGAATAAAATAAAAAATGATTGTTTCAATTTTAAGGTCAGTAACTCCGTTGATGTAGACCTTGTGACATCATGATGTTAATAATCGTTTCATTATGTTTCTCGCCTATAGAAGACTTGATATGAACATCACAGTTGATCCAGACATCGTGAATAGTTTCTGGTGGTAACAACCAAAGAGAACATTAGAACTGGGAACAAATGTTCCCATCAGTTGTTACCTACCTCTTTATTTAGGTTATTGAATTTCCAATCAGTAATTCAGCCTCTAAATAATCAGCTTCCAGGTAATTGATTATTATCTCTCCATCTTTCATCTCGTTGGTATTTAAACTTACAGCTCACATATTCTGCAGATTAACTATCGTTAATGTTTTTCAAATATATGTATACATACTTATACATGAATAAATAATTATTTTTAAGAGCTTACCTGTTAAAATTTATCAGAACAAAAAGAGAATACTCTCTACATCATTTAAAAACCAGGACTAACTATGAGTCGATGTGACAATTATTATAAATTCATAGTAAGTGACAATCATTTTGAACTCATAGAGAGACTAATTCTCAGAATCAGCAGCTGATTGAATAATATCAGCTTTTATATTCTAACGAGAAGAGTTGGAATTTTTTAAGATCAAATTATTGCAAAATAAGCAGTAAGATGTGAGGCCAATAATCAAAGAATTACTTACATTATTGTTTATTTATACATGTTTACAGACATCATGAATTGAGAAATAAATAAAGTAGTAATTTTTGAATGATTATTTCAAATTTTGAATGAACGAAAACAACTTTAAAAGCGATGTTTATTCAATTGTATGACTTCAATAAAGTAATTAAATTGGTACTTTTATTTACATGCTCTTTAAATTTATAATATATAATGACAAGTGCATCTAAATAATTACTTACCGAGAACGTATTTAATCCTTCCAGTCATTGTGAACAACTGGTGTGTCAGGCTGGCTCTCCTCTCCTTTTTATAATAGCTCTAAACGTACCGACTGGCAGCTGTGAGCTACGAACCGAATCCGAAATGCAGAAAAGTATTCCCGAACAATAAATAAAAAAGATGTAAAGAAGGTTGCGCATCATTTCCGATGATGATAACCCGGGAGGATAGTCACTTTCCTCTAATCATCGTGATAACCCCCGTAGTCTGTGCATTTACTTCACATTTTATTTGTATAAAAAAATTTCAATTAAATATTAAATATGTTTTAATCCTGATGTCATTGATTGTTTTTTTTCTAAATTCATCAAGAAACTTGTCATCTTCATTATAATCTGGAATGATGATTGTGTTAATCATCTTATCTATTTTTTCTGCCTCAGAACATTTTCTGATTTTGATTAAATTTTTATACTCAATGAAAAATCATGCGAATGGTACAATAGCATTTTTTTTTGTATTCTAAGAAATCTCTTAATTCCAGAAAATTGATTATTGATGTTTAAAAAAGAGAGAATTTCCATTTTCTTCAAACAAATAAGATCAATAAAATTTTTTTAGTGATAAAATTATAGATTAATGGTAAATATTTTATTATAAGTAAATAAATAATTCAGGCATAGTAATCTTTGTGGTTCAATTATCATATATGAATTCCAGACGAGTTTACAATTATTTTATATTACAACATGAAAGAAAAATTGATAAGTCAATTGTACATAAACAAATATTATGACTTGATAAAAATTCATCCTTACTATATTTATATATCAAAGATCAAAAGTGCAACACAAACCGAATAATTCTATCATTTTTTTTCTTTTTAGCAAGTCAGCTTTCTTTCATCTTTGTTATAAGTATAATAACCACAAACAGACATGTAAATAATCTTTTAGTAAAGTTCTTTCCTCCTTCAGGGATAAGGAAAATTACCAGATCACATATTTTTGTATGAGTGAAGATAAAAATAACTCTAAAACTTATATCCAGAGACAATAAAAAAAAATATTTTTATTATCATCAGTGGTTGGTTGCAGTGAATTATTTATCATTCTTATGCTGCATAAAATAATTTTTTAATTGTTCTAGAGCTTTACTTCGATGAGAAATAGCATTCTTTACGCTCTTTGGAAGCTCTGCATAGGTTTCAAGATATCCATTGGGCTGAAATATTGGATCCCATCCAAAATCTCCCGGTCCTCGTGGACTTACTATTGTACCTTGAGTTTTTCCTTCAAATAAAATAATTTCTTCTTCTGGATTCCCTGACGAATAAGCAAAAGTACAAATAGCCTCAGCACTTTTATCTTCCCAACCAGATAACATAGTTACTAGCCCTTCTGGACCTAATTTCTCTAAAAAATATTTAATGTAAGGTCCTGGTAAACCTTTCATAGCATTAAAACAAAGACATGTGTCTTCTACAATAACTGGACCTTTGATTATTTCCATTGCCGCTTTACATTTTGATATGCTAATGCTTCTAGAATCTCCTTGAAGTTCAGGAAGATCAATTGATCTACTAGTCACTTCTCTTGGGAACTCTTTACCCAAAATAGCAACAACTTCCTGTAGTTTTTTTGCATTTCCAGTGACAAACACAATAGATTTAGACATCTGCAAAATGATTAAATATTTTTTTTATTAATTTTTGAGTTTGAATTTTTATTTTCCCATGTTGTCGCTTATTATTCAGCGACGTCATGCGGACAAAATAGCAAGTATGAACATAACCTAAATAATTTTTGATGAGTACGTGATGTGAAATTTTCTTATGTTATTGAGTGTTTCTACTTAAAATAGTCTTAAATAAGATCAATTAATAAATATTAATGAAATTTTATAATTTTTTTGTGTATATTTCATTCATAATACCTTTTAAGAAAGAGTCAACTACCGCTTAAATTACAAACAAATAATTCATGATTGAACATGGAAAAAATCAAATACAGAATACATAATAAAAAACTTTGATCAAGTAGTACATATGGTAAAGTAAACAGTGGAAATTCCTCTGTTATACCGATATTACGACTTGATAGTTCACAGCAATAAAGAGGAAACGCTACTTTCATTTTTTCGTTTGACTATGTAGTTGTGTGGTTCCTTCATCTGAATTAAACTAACCAACAAAAATAATAATCTTATACAATTTACCACGTAAACCGTAGTCGATCAATATTCTAATTCTTGTTTTCTAAACTAAAAAAAATAATTCTGTTTCTAAATATTTTTGATCATCTTATAACTTTAGTGATTAAGCTTTTTTAAATTGCTAACTTATAAAGTTTAATCATTTTTCTGAAATAACTACACATTGCATAGTGAATTATAGAAAATTTTAGTAGACTTTAATTTTTGTTGATATGGTTGTTGTTTTTTTACCGAATTAGTGGTGATAAATAAAATTTAATTTTATTTAATTATGGAAAGTAAAAGAGTTAATTTGTTTCATTTTTTTAGCTTCATCTTTAATCTATCTTTGTCATAATCATTTTTATTAACTAACTGTATAAATCATCAACGAATTCTTCCTGAGTTCAGATTAACACTTGTTGGGAAAAATACTTTGGAAAAAATAATCAATAAGTTTACTCAAGGATGAGTAAGAACAACAGGAATGATTCATCGAGTGGAAGGGATGGTGGTGATAACTCAAGGAGATCTAAATCAATGAAAAACACTAGTGATGGAATGCAAGAAGCTATAGAAGGAATTAAAAAAATGCCTGATGAGAAGTTTCATGAATGTTTAAATGATGATTTTATGGAAGAATTAAATGTTGTTGATTCTTGGGTTGGTGAAGAAGAAGGAGATATTGAAGAGGAATATCTTGATAATCGAGAAAGTCGAGAACGTAATAAGAAAGAAAGCACTAGGTAGATCGCCAAGAGTTATTTTTTAATAGTTATTATTTGATTCTTTTTCGGTGTTTGGTATTTTTTGGTTTATATTGTATATTGTAAACTGTTTTTATTTTATTATTTATAATTTGAACAAGATTGAAAATGTCATTTTAATAATTATTTAGAATTTTTGTTTACAAAACTACCAGTAGAACAATGACTGATAGATGAATTCTAGGGATCGTAGTCGACGAGAACATCGAGGAGGTCGTATCAGTCGGGACCGAGATCGTGACAGAGATCGAAAGCGTGAAGACAGAAAACGTGAAGAAATGCGTCGAGATCCATCTAAAAGTTCACAAGACATCGAACGCGACAAGATACGTACGAAAAAAATTAACGACAGTAAAATGTTAGCAGAAACTCAAAAGGCGATAAAAAATTTATTGGATTCGGATAAAGTTGTTCCTCCGGGAACAGAAGTGGATATTATAGAGAATGAAAAGCAAATGGATCGCGATCAACGAATGCGTAGAAGTAGAGAACGTCATAGAAGTTGGGATCGTTTTCGTTCGAGTCCTGGACGTCGACGAAGCTCTGAAAGGATCATGAGAATTAGTCCACACCATCGAATACGAAGTCCATTTAATAGTCTTGAACGTCGAAGAAGTATTGATCGTCACAGAAAACTCAGTTGGGAACGAAGAGCAAGTATCGAACGTCGTGAAAGAAGATCTAGTATGGAACGTCGTAGACGTTTAGAGGAACGGTGAGAATTGTAATAACTAAATTATTTTAATTATTTGAAATTATTATAATAAACTCACTTAAGATTTTTTAGTATTGTTTGAATTTTTATTATCGATTGATTGATGAACTAAATAAAAGTAGATATTTCATTGAATGTATAGTGCAATAAGATCATTTAATGTGTTTGTAAATTAGACCTTAGAATAATTCCACAGTGATCAAAGGATTATTGGCCGAAGGAGTAGATCAAGAGAACGTCGTCGAAGCCGCAGTATGGAACGATTTCATCGAGCACGATGGAGCCGTTCGCCGATAGGAAGACATGGAGATTCAAGACATCGAAGTTACAGCAAATCTCCGGATCGTCGTAGGAAACGTTCTCCTTTTATCAACGAGATTACTCGTCAGTTTAGGAATGAAGATCTCATGCCAACGGACTCTATGAATCAAGGATATATGCATCAACAACCAGTGCCGAGGAATATGCAACAACCACAGCCTCCGATGATGATGAATCCACCGTTACATACATCAATGAATGCGCCTACTCAACATTACATTCCTCATCCGGAACCATTATCAATGCATGGACCATCTGGATCTTCTCAGTACATGTCTTATGATGTTCCTCAAGGACCTCCGATGAGCTTTGAATCAATGGCTGTACATTCAATGGGACCGACTGAATATTCAGCTGGTCCTGTATTGTACAATCAACCAACTAATCCAGTATCAATGCATCAACCTCATTCAGACTATGCTGGAGTTCCAATGCGTTCCCCTCAACCAGTTCCAGCACCTTCTGTGGATCAACCTATAATATACAACTCTCAAAATTCTTTAGCACCGATGCAACTATCACCGTCTTCACAACCTGATCGGAATCAATCTGATATGGGACATCATGTGTACTCTGAACGAGAAGTTTCATATAATGGATCTTCAATGCAACGGGAACGACTAAAAACACCTGAACCACCTGTTATATCAAATACAAAAGTAATATCTGTTATATATTATCCATAAAATTTATTTTAATTGTTAATTATTTTTCAAGTTCATTTTTTAAGAAATTAACATAAATATTAATCTAATATTACAGCCTTTTGAAAAGACGAGTTTATCCAGTTTATTAGAAGCTTCAGTATCAGCAAAAGGTGGGAATTAAATTAAATTTTCTTTTCTAAATTCAATTTTACTTATTTTATGGATCAATGTAATTGTTATTTTATTAATAATAAAATTTATTATCTTTCTTATTCTTTAGATACGAGTCTTCCAGTTTTATATCCAGGTAAGATTTTTTCAATTATTTTTCAATCAAGTGAAAAGTGCAGTAAATCATTAAGTGATTATTTTATAAGTGAACAAGAATATCGTCAATTAATGTTTGTAATAATGTGGAATGATGTGATAAATCCTATATAAAAATAATTTATTTTTTTTGGGCCTTAGGATTTAAACCTGAAATTTTACGAAACTGTGAGAAAGCCTTGCGAGAATTAAAAGATGATGATCCAAGATTAAAGGCTCAAGGTCGATTTTTCTTTGATCCAAATAAAGAAATAAATTATGACGAATCATCCGAGTGCAGATCAAATTCAATTTTGCTACATAGGAATAAGAATAAAATTATATGGGAAGAGTTTCTTGAAAAACCTACTGAAGAAGTTAAACAGCCTATAGAAACGCATCAGAAATATTGCCAAACTGAATCCAGTATAGGAATACATCAAATGACTCAAACATACATTGAAACTGCTGATTTTTGCGTTCAAGTATGTCCTGGTGAACTTCAACCTCAGCGTGAGGAAAAACGGACAATTATGGATCGTTTGGATGGAAACATTGGAGATCCATATGATTATGGATCAAAATCACGTCAAATTGTTGATTTAAGACAAAGTTTGAACAATTCTTTACAAAAACGATCCTTACATCGAGGTTTGTCACCTCCACCTCAAGATCGTAATGAACGTAATCACAGTCTTGAACGTATGCCACATCAAGATCATGATTCACGAGATTTTCATAGACATTCAATACGCAGGGGTGACAATTTTTCAATGCATCGTGGATCAAGTCACAGAAGCTATAGTCCTGAAGAATTTTCTTCGGATTATCGACATAAATTAGATCATCAAGACAATTATCATGAGAGTAGACATGATAGAAGTCGTGAACGAAGTCCCATCATGATTGATAATTCTCATGATGATGTTACAATTATGAATGAAGATTCATTTTCACGAGATTCTGGCTGGCGTGGTCGAGGAAAATCATTTGGCTCATTCAATTCTACTCACAAGTCTCGACCCAACAGAGGAAAGCACTCGGGTGGAAGATCTTTTCGTGGAGGAAGAGGAGGAAATTACCGTGGTAGAAGTTAAATATCTCCTCTTAGTCTGTTTTTATTTTAAATGAAACAATAACGTATGAGCTACGCTAGTTGATAAATTACGTGCTGTTCAGTGATTGAAAATAAAATATAATACTCTAAAAGAAATTAAATATTATTGGAATATTTAATCAGATGATATTAATGTTTTTTGATTAAAAATGATTAATTATACGGAAGCCGCAATCAGAAATTGATGGTAGAAAAAAAATGTGGTAACCAAAGGAGAAATAATTGTTCATTTCTTAGAGTATATATTTCATATGAATTTATTTTAGATGAATGTAAATAGTAAATATTTCAAGATATTCACTATTGTCAATGTAATCGTTGACATATTTTCAAGTGAACAGAGGAAACGTGTTGAACATTTTTTTCAGTAAGCTTTCTCTTTGAAAAATAAAAAACATCAACATTTGTGTTAAAAATTATTTTTTTTCAGTGATGACCTTTTTACTGTAAAAATTAAGTCGTAATTATATTATTTGACAGTTGACTCAGGACACTGACGTTATGTTTACGTCATATGGATTTCATAGAAGCTGACGTACGCAGAAGAATAACACTAAACCTTTTAACGCGCTCTATTGGTATTGCGTGTTATTTTTTATATCATGAAATAATTTTTTTTAAACATCGATTTCATTATTTTCATAAAATTTAATTATTCTAATGGTACTCATTTTTTTTTTTTTCGTTCTTTAGAATATATAAATAAACTTTCTATTAAAAATAAACCATATTTATCTACCTTTTTGATATCTTGAAAAAATAAAAACTCTCTATTTAACCATGTATTTGTTACTAACTTTAATACTCATAACAAATGAGAATGAAACTTCAAATGATCAAATCTCTATTAAAATTAGTAAACAATAGGCAAAATGTGGAATATTTATACATATGTTTGATCATCTATTGAATTATTTTCACGAGAATAAATAAATATATCTATCATTATACAGTTTATTTATTGTAGAACCTTGTTACACAGTTTTTTTTTTTAAATGAAAAACAACCAGTTTAATTATTAGCGCTGCGATTTGACGCATGCCCATAAATTTAAAGATGGCACTAGTGTTTAGATTGAAATGTCGAATTTGTATGGCACAAATTGATATGATACAAATAAAGAACAAAGTCTTTAAAAAATAATAAATAATTAATAGAGTACTCTAAAAATCATAAATAATAATTTTATTATTTAAAAAAAATTATTTTCAACATTTTAGAATAAATATCAGATTAAAAATATAAGAAAATGCTTGTCGTCAAGCAAAGCACCGTAAAGTTGGCAACAATGGGCAGTAACGTGTGACATCAGCGCCGGCGTCAGGAATGTGGATATTAGTGGAACTAATCCACATGGATGTAGCTCCATGTTTGCCCGAGAAAGCGATGCGGTGTGCCCGCGGTTAGGGCGTGCAGTTCCTCGTGTTTCGTGAGCGCTCGTGGCATTTTTTTATCTGACGAATAGCAGTCGCGTGTCTTGCGGACGACACTCGATAAATTTCGCAAGGTGGCTGTTGAACTAATACATTTGATACAATAAAGTGAGTCCGTACAAAATAGTGACGACGTTATATGATTGCGCGCATTGGTGTGGTGCGAGGGAAGTTCGTCCGACCGTGTCGGCGACGCGGTACATAGAGAGGTGAATGCACGACGAGAGAGCCCCTTGTGTGTATATGAATACGTGTGCTCGCGCAAGCAACAACAGCAAGTTATCCAGCAACATCAGCATCATAATACAAAAGGAAACTCACCAAACACGTCCAAGTTAACACGAAAAAGTACGCATCGAATGTTTGCAGGGCTGAACCAAGCAAGCCAAGAGTAGACGACGACCCGAGCGGAGTTTGATTTGAAAACGAGGCTGCTGTAAGCAAGAGTGAGAGAGTGAGTGTGGGAGAGAGAAAGAAAGTGACCAAGAGATACGGGCAGTTGTGAAGGAAGAAGCAGTAGAGGCCAGAAGAACGCCGTGAGTCTAACGTCTTCTTGCTTCTCCGTTTTGTTGTTATTTTGCCGCGGTGCTTTTGACCCTTTGGCGGGCGAGTTCACTGCAGCACCGCCGCGGGGGTGTCCGATGCTTTCGTGCGTAGCGTCGCAAACGAAAACCCTCGTCATCTTACTCTTTTTATCACCATTCTTTAATAAATTATCAATATTTTTTAACAGATAAACGGTGCTGCCCAAAAAAGTTGATCAACATTTGACAGATCAACATCCAAGTATCTCGCTAATAGCTATCATTCTGCACCGGTGAAAGTGGCATCAGGCTACTTGCTGTCAGTGTTCACCAGCAGGGACGCGACGACTGTGTACCACGTGATCGTTGTCAAGTCACACGCAGAAGAGCATGCTAGTATTGTTTCGATACCCATAACCTGATTCACTTCTACCTACCAATCACTACAAATAAACTACAACAACAAACCGAGGCAATCCACATCTCACTCTCCACGGAAATAAGTTATTTTAGTGTTGTACAAGAGGTTGGAGATGAAAAAAAAAAATTGTCAAGTGTGCTGTGTATGTTTTAAAAACACCTAGGAAAATTATGTGAAGTGAACAAAAGGTGGGCTAGTGATTAAATAAGCTGATAAATAGTGGGTACGAAGTAGTTGAAAATTTTTTAGTGTTTGATAAAAATTCGTGAAGATAATTACGACCCGTTTTTTACAGGCGCAAGTATTATATCGTCACGATATGTCGCCCAGCAGCTATGTTTGGTGTTAATGGCATAATGTTATTTAATAAAAAATCGGCTGTATCTTTAATGAAACTCCAAGGAAATTTTACATTTAAGCAACTTCAAAAAGTGTTAGTGTCCACGTGTGAGCATACAAGAGTTGTGGATCTCACGAGTGTCATTTTTGTGTCGTAGTTGAGATCAATCAATCTTGTGTTCACTGAAAAGAGTTATGAGTGTGTGCATACAGTGATGTTTATTTACTTATTTTATATGTGAAAATAAAAGTTTTTTAACCCGGTAATAAATGAAGGATTTTTTACAAAATTATTTTCACTGGAATTTCGTCATTTACTCAGGTACAATTTCTTCATTTACTATCTTTTATTTTTTCAATATTTGAGTTTTATCTTTTAGATATATTTTATAAACTCGTTGCTTCACAAAGCTATTAAAATCGATAAACTCCCGATTGGCGACAGTTTGGCGGGACTCAATTGCTCTAATTTCAAAAATCGAACGAACGACCTGAATAGTTTGCCAATTTTTCTATCATCACCTACTTACGTGTATGTATACACGAATATAACCATAATTAAAAAATTATCAAAAATATTATTTTTGATATAAAATTGATTAAGAAATTAATAAGAAATATTTTATGAAGTTATAAATATAAACATTTTATCACGAATGAACTGAGTAAAGCTTAAGACTCTGTTAAATCTAACCTCAAAATTGACAGATAACGCCATTTTCTACTCGTAACTGCTTTTTATAGAGCAGTAAAACCCACTCTTTCATGAATATATTCTGCAGTTAATGTTTAAAATATTGAATAAAATTTATTTATTACTTTATTTTTTACATTAATGACAAGTCTAATTCTGCATGTTACTTGTTCTTAGAAAATGACTAATGTTGAGAATCTATTCCATGAAATGTATGCTAAAATTTGCATTTCTCGGGAATAATCAATAAAATTATCTATTCATCGTTTTTCTAAATTTTTTAATGATCAAAAACATACATGATATTGATAAAATTTCCTTTTATCAATTTCTAAATAAAATCGAACAAAAATGAATAAATGTAAAGTTGCATTTTATTGAATAAACATTCATTTTTAGCCAAAAAATTTAATAATTTTTGACGTATTAGCAAAAACAGGCAATTTTTTCTATCCCGGAAGTCATTTTTTCTTGATGACGCAACGATCTCCTAGATAAGAGCTTCAAAATTCTTTATTCCATTCTTTTAAACTACCCGACAATCTTTTAGATGGATGTTAATCGTTTTTCATTCTTTTTGTAAATTGGACAAAGTAGCTTTTTTCTCTTACACTACTGCTTTTCGTCGTTTTATCTATGTGCATTATAAAAACGGAGTTTATCAAAGATTGTCAGCGATTCGTAGAAGTCAGTAGGGATTTCCCAATCACTATGAATAACAAGAACTATCGTACATTCGTAAATTACTTCTACACTTACAAATATGTATATATATATATATATATATATCTAATCTTGCAGTTCATTCATCAACTAAACTGTCAGCACATCTTTGACTTTCAACCTTGCAATTTACACAAATGTAATAACAACGCGTAATCGAACAGGTTTACGTTTTTTTTCCTTCATTCATGACATTTAAGACATTATCAATCATTCCAATGTTTACTTAGGATATCCAATGCCTTGGGCTATTTACCAGGACCTCAATTAGTCATTTAAATCTCTCAAATGATTTTTTTTCAATATTTTTTTTCAATATTTTGGGTACGAGTAAATCACAAAAAAAATGCTATAATTTGAGATTTCCCCCTTTAACTATTAAATATTTTAAAAGTATCATTTTATTTTATTCTTACTATATCTAAGAGGACACGAAGTATCCCGTTTAAAAACCATGTTTTAAAAGCTTTTATTTATTGGAATTATAATGGTATAACAAATTTTTTTATATTTTATTTAAAAACATTTTCTTTATTACGGTTATGTTTTATTTCAAAGAAAAAATGAATATAGAATACCTAAATTAAGTAACTAAAACATCTTTTTCAATTATAAATTTGTAACAATAAATTGTTTGTCTTCAATTTTATTCACATTGTTTATTATTAATATATGTATAAATATATATTTATTTATTTAAATGTCATAGTACTTAAATTTTTTACAAAAAAAAAATTGTTTTTCAATTAATCAATGAGATCATTCTCCTTTGGCTTATCAGTATTTTTATTTGTTCTTTTAAAGTATTTCGTTTTCCATAAGTTTTTGAATGGATCATTAACAAAAAGGGTAATAAAAATGTAGTTTTTACCAAGCATTCTTAGACGGTGAAATACGTACGTGTTGAAAAAAATATTATTAAAAACGAGTAAAAAAGTGTATCTGAAGTTTGGATTACAACCCGCATGACACCTGCTGCAACTATTGGATATTAGCAGAATTCTACAACGAATCAACGACCTTCGATTTGCGTGAATAGAGATCGTAAAACCGATAAACGTGTCTGAGAAAGATAGTCAAAGGGTCAGAAGTCACTTAACAAGCAGTGAAGAAGATAATATTAAGGTGAAACCACCTTGCTTTTGCCTTCTCTTTTTCTCTCTCCGCGTTCACGAGGCTAAACGGAAACGTCAGTTGCTGCTAATAATAAGTGACTCCTATGTATACACCCAGACTAGTCTCTCTTTCTCTCTCATTTGCGTTACTCCTTGTTGGCATAGTCGCGTGCTTTGAGATCTACGACCTTCTTTGACATGTGGAGATCCAACCGTACATATTTTTGTTGGCTTATATTCATTGTTTTTTCGTCAAACTCACAAACATACGTTGACATACTCGAAAACGTCAATAATCATTAGTCACTTCAACTTCAATATACGTTTATTTTACGTCTTTAAGTATTTCTTAGAAATTCAAATATATCTACCGTCTTCTGTCCCAGTTGTCAACGGCGCCTAAGCAGAACATAAAAGTTTCGCCATTTGGTGCGTCCTAATGGGAATGTCAATAATCGCTTGGTATTAAACTTGTCTTAGTTTTCAATAATTTCGATAATAATGATAGTCTATTTGGTTATAAGCTAACAACCAGATGAATAAATAATTGATGTTTTATAGTAGCAGACAGTGATGATAAAAATACTCAATAAATAGTTCAAGACCATATTAGTTATATTGACTATACTACTGAGCTTTATCACTTTTTTCTATCAATTGATTTTTATTTAAAGATTAAATGTTTTAATATTCTTGGAAAGAGTGATAGATATATGGTCTGTTTTCGGTGTATTGTAAATATAGATTAGATTGGATTGAACGAATTCCATGAACAAAAGTTTTTTTTTAAACAATTATGAAAAAATTAGTCAGTGTGATACGATCTCAATTATTTACGGAAAATACGTCAAGTGATATTTTTTTTAAAAATTGCTTTTAATGTCGTATCTAGCTTATCTGGAATAATTAGATAGGTGAACGTACGTCATATTAACCTATTACAGCATAAAGTTTATTATAGCATTTATTATGATTTTAATTGACTAAAAAAGTTTACTAGGGTTGGTATGAAAAGCCCAATCAGTAAAATTTCAGTATATATATATATATAAATATAATTTTACGAACCGTCTGATATAGCTGCCAAATAATTTAACTAATTGTTTACAATATATAGAATTTTCTATATAATGGGTTAACATACTTTTTTCTTCGAGCATTAGTTAAAAAATTTTATGTTAATTTTAATGATGTCCTCCGTCCAACTCCATTAAACTAATTTTATATCATTGCAAAAATGATTTTTTATGTCTTTATTATTTCGAAATTATTATAAATACTAATAGCTAAATAATACCTGTTTATTTGTAAAATTGTTGTTCCTAATAATTAAATTAAAATATATATTTCATTTTGTTATTGATAAAAATATTAAACATTATTTATACAAAGAAAAAGTAAAAAATAGATTTTCCTTTTTAATACTAAGATTTATGCATCAGCTATCAATTTCTTTATGAACAATGAACATTCAAGATTTATATTTCCTTTTCAACATTCATTACGTTTTAAATAAATTTCATTCATTGTCAATGATATTTATTGACTAATAATCAATTATTTCAATATTTAATAAAATATATTAAGTTCTAGACAAATAGTTTTATTTTTGAATACAATAAATGAATTCATTCAAGCGTTATTTCCCTTTAGATTATTTTCATTACGTTTTATTTAAATAAATTAAAATTGGTCACATTTATAAACTAAATCTGTAAATTCTTTACAGAAAAAATTATTGTTTCATTGTTAAAGTATTTATAGAAGTAATTTATTGATGATACTTTTTTAATATTCTTTTGTATGATTTATATAAAAAAAACTTATCGAAATTCATGTATTTATTTTTTTAAAATATATCTTTTATTTGAATTTAGTATATTTTGATTGGCCTCTTTTGCTATTGATTAATTGGTAATTTATTGAATAATAATAGTAGAGCTACACCTGGTTTTTTTATTCGTAACCACAACAAACAATATGTTCGATTCACCTGGACAGATTGAAATCAATATCCTATGTTAATAATAATGAGTCAGGCAATTAAGAAGCACTTGAGTATATGTTTAGAGATGTCGATAGTGATTTTAGGCGTTTGCAAATGTTTACGAAGGGCGATGAAAAAAAAATATGTGCCAAAAAAGCAACCAGCTGTCCTGGACAATGGCGGGCTGAAGGTGCACATGCGTAAACACTATCCCAAAAATGCACAGCTGTCTTTTGGACCTTCAACCCTTTTCTCCGTCTTCATTATTTATTATTACTTGGTAAAAATGTTTTTCTCGTCCATAAACTTCCTGTTTACCTTTTATTTATTACAGAAAATAATCATAATTTGGGGAAGAAAAAATGAACAATTATATTCAGTTGAAATAAGTACCGGCACATTTCGATATTTGTATCGTTATTTTTTCTTATCAGTTTTGATGTATACATACGTAATTGAGGTGTTAACAGTTTCGTTTTGATGAAAAAAGAAAAAATGATATCTTTTATCTTGAACAAAAACTTTAGCATCTAGATCTAGTATTATAATTCAATGATACAAATTGTTTTCGTCACGAAAATATCGAGTTAGCTTTTTTATCATTCAGTGGTACTGTTATTATCATTAATACTATTATTTAGATATTTTTATTATTATCAGGTCAATATACTTAATTTGAAACTGTTTCTTAGCTCGTTAACGAAAATTATATAATACACATTTGTTTCTAATAAATGTTTTATCAACATATTTGCCATTGAAAAAATATTTCATTTTTTTATGATTACAGTTAAATACTCGTTTCTCTAAAAGGATAAAACATTTAAACTATTTTTCTATTTCTTCAAATTTACATCTCAAATTCTTTGTTGAGTTATTTATTTCATAAGCAGTCCAGTAAATTCAAAAATAATAAAATTTAGTTATCATTACTTGCTGGATATTAACTGGAATTTTCATGATAAAAAAATCATCTATCAAGTGATTGTAACTTATGATTGAATTTTTAAACTGAATATCATTGAAAATAAAAAATGATTATCGATTATCTCGATCAAAAATTAAATAAATAATTTATTTGCAACCTGGTATTGGTAAAAAATGATTTATATTATTTGAATGATAGTTCGATAATACCATACTCGGAATTAGTATTCGATCGGTGTTCGAAGAAATGACGAAATTGCCGGAACTCGTCGAGTTATAGGCGCACACATCAAGATGATCCGCTTACGATTGCGATTATTTAACACTGAAGTTCGTGATTCTCATTTACTATTTGACAGATTTGGAAAATGTCTTATGATATATTATTATACATGATGTATCTCACTAAATTACTCTTCAGTTGATACTTTACTTACCAAAGTCATCTTCACTTTTCGTTGTTCACTCTAAAGATAGATAAACAGACAACTGGGTATGGGTTTACTTCGGTTTATCTCTCTCTCTCTCTCTCTCTCTCTCTCTCTCTTGATTTTATATGCCTGTACGATGCGACTTGCTGTGCATCGATCTGCGAAGTGACCCGGCTCTATTTCAAGGCATCCCTGATGCATTACTACGGTCACAAATTTTATTCTTAGTATCTTTAACGTGACGTACATTCGACCTTTTTACATATAATGCATTTTTTCCATGATTTCTGTCGTTAACTTTGATTTAAAATAAATCCAAACTTTGTTGGGATGAAAATAAAAGTAACTAAAATGTTGATCAATTATTTTTTTTTTTTTAAAAGGTACAATTTTTAATGTTCGCAAATTAGTTTTATATAAGAAGAATACTGATGCACACCATGATTTATATTTTTTTTATTACTTATTACATAATGTCGGAATATTTGAATCTATTAAAAATATGATGAATGGTTCCAAAATGTTGTCCAAAAAAACATTAATCAGATGAACAATTAATTATATCTCATGAAACTCTTGTTTTATGTACTTGAAATATTCAACCTAAATTTAAAATCTTCATTATTTTATCATTGCATTTCTTAATTTGTGTATGGTAAATTTTCCAATATTATTGAATTTATTATATTTATATAAATTTATGAAACCTAACTCTAAATAGCTTATCATTCATAAGTAAAATGTAATTTTATTCTGTAAATTTATATTTTCAGTAAAATTTTATTTTTTATACAATAATTTAATATTTAATGTAATTATTTTGAGAGAACGTTAAATAATTGAATAATATGCTTATCAAATTTAGGATAAATGAATAATTTAATTTAATTAAAAGATAAATTAATAACAATTATCTACAATAAACATGATTTTTGACTGATATCTATCTCAGAAAATATGTTTGACAAATTTCAAACAAAAATAATGAAAATAAAACTAATGAAAAAAAAATTTGTTTACAGACTTTTGAGAAGACTCTCTGTTTGAGGACGTGAGGAAGACTTGATTACTCCCTGAATCCTGTAAATAAGAGCTATTTAGTTCGTATGCAAGCAAAAGCTGTGCGGGAGGGCGAAGGCCGTGGCCGGAGGTATCGTCGAAGGAAGTTATTTCCGCGACGAAGTAAATCATTGACGAAATCATCAAATTTAAAAAATATTAATCGGACTTTAAAATCGTCAAACAAGTGATTGGGAATAAATTAAGAATCGTAAAGGGAATTGTACTCGCCCAGGTGGCGGGTGTAGCTTTAAAAAAAGGGAATAATTAGAAAAGTGTAAAGAAAGTGGAGGAGGGCCTGAAGAGCCCCATGTTGTGAGTCTCGAAGATCTGCCAAAGGCAGCAAAAAGTGGGTCCGCTGACATGGAGTATGGCGGCGCCGGTGGAGGCCGCGGGGGCGTTCAGCCACCCTCTGCAGGCGCACGCAATATCGCAGGCACGGACACAACCGACGCCGCGTGGCACAAACATGAGCAAATGATCCTCATGGAATCCTCGAGGCATAAGCAACAATGTAAGTTGCATGAAAATTATTCATTTTCTCTTTCTTAACCGGTATTGTTAGAGGGAATTAATTTTGTTTCGTGAAAAAAATCAGTTAACTTAACTGATTTAACTGATTATGTTTTATTCAGAAATAAAAAACAGCCGTAACAAAATGTTTCACCGAATATTTTATTCATTAACAAAGAATTTCATTAAAAGGCATCAAGATAATATAACCTTTAGCTGAATTTCTTCCTTTTCTGCTTCAAAAAATTTAGATCTTCATCCATTGAAACTATTTTATATTTTTCTTGTCAACAGATATTTTAAAATATTCATCAAATGTACACTCATTCATTTGTATTAATAAATAAGTTAGATTACTTATTGATTAATAATACTCATTCTGCACTCATTTTGCTGTCATAAGAAAGATATTTTTTATTCGTAACTAATTACTTTATGATTAACATTAAAATGTATGTTATCTAATTCAGCTGTTAAATTCAGGTTAATCGATAGACGATATCTAGATATTTGTCGTACAAAAAACAAAGATTACGAGAAGAGAAAAAAAGTGAGATTCATTGGGATTCAATGTATTTTTAACCCAGAGCCAAAGTTTTAAACAGTTAAACTCCTGAATACATAGTCGACAGAAAAACAGTTACAGTTTTATTCTATATAAAGGTTTAGAAATGGATTCCTAACGTGACTCTTTACCTTGTAGATATGATGATTTTGAATATTAAAGTATTTTTGGGTTGAGTTAAAAATGAAAAAAGCATCTTGTCATAATCAAGAGACGAGAAGTCTGATCGAGCTTTGGGTGATTTAAATGCGACTTGGACTGATGCCTGACCGACGACTCTTCGACGATTTCAAGACTCTTCTTAGGCTTATTTTCGACCTGGTATGTCTGGAAAAAAGTCTAATTTATATCAGTCGTTGACCTTTTCAGTTTTTATTTTTTTTTTTCTACTCCTGAAAGACAATCAAAGTCTGTCGATTTGGCTCAATTGGCCTTGGCAGAGCCCCTTGAAAGAATTTTATTTGTACCTTCTACGACTAATGATGATAAACGGCCCTTGTACAATGAGACTAACCAGTAGACATGATGGACGAGTCGATGACGGGGATTTTTTTAAAATTCAAATCTCGTTAATTGCTCGATACCGAGGAGCCATTAGCGACACGCCAGGTACTTACGCTGTGAATATTTAAAAGACAAATTTACTTACAGATCCTTTAACTTTAAATTATCTTCTACTTTATATCTATTGTAGCCACCTATATTCAATGACTAATTTTTTATTTTTTTATCACTATTATTTCTTTCCTTTTCTATTCATATTTTCAAGTATTATTGTGCATTTTTAATTAATATTTATTATTATTATTATTATTATTAAGATTTAAATTGCCTTATAGAAAGTTTAATAATTTTTATTTGTCTTTACTTTCTTTTATAATATATTTTTAATGTCATTTTAGTTTTAGTTGAGTACTAATGCATTATTTATTAACCAGAATGTCAACTTATCAAAGTCGCTTTGATTGGTTTAAATTGACTTTTATCCTTTTTTTTGTTTTTGTAATTATATTTACCAGACAAAATAGTAGAAGTAATTGAACAAAAATGAATGAGTGCATTAAAGGAAAAATTTAATTTTATCTTGAAATCATTTTTTTTAAAACAATAAATTAATTAATCAATCTCAATGATTGAAATAAAATAATTGGGGGAATGATAGAGAAAATTAATTTATTGAAAAAGAGTTTTTTTCAAGTTTGAGATGGAAAAAATAGTAGGAATGATACGTTTAATTTAGGTTAAAATTTAATTAATTCCTTAAGAGCTTAAACTATTAAAATCTTAGGGTCACGTAGAATATACCAGACAATTGTGGACCTACTAGACCTTCCGCATGACGAACAAATATCAACCACATATGCACCACATAATATTGGAGGTTTATGACGTGAAGGCAAGCATTACATGCGTTAGTTTCGTGCATTTAGCCTCTTGTATACCCACTGTCACCCATCTAGATGCTCTCTCCCTCATCTGCACTTGCATACCATTCAAGCATTTGAGGCAAGTTCGTACTCTCAGCGAAGTAAACAGAGGCCAGAAGCACGTAATAACGAATTATTTTCCCTTTGTGTCTACCCTTCGCTCTGACAAATTAATAGATTTCATATAGATAGTGAACAGAGCTGGGAATAAAATTCAAAATGGTTTCAATTTAGAGAAATTCTATCTCATCCCATCCCTCTATCTCTAGTCGCCGTAAATAATCCTTGTAACGGATTATTGCGGGGCGGCTGCATGCCGACGCTGGGTCAGAGTGAATGAGTGCAGGGGTAGAAAAAAAACGAGTGCATAGTAAAAATGGGTGGGGAGGGTGACGTCGACAGGGGTTAGAGCGATATTAAGGGGGAAAAAACGGTGTAGAAGAAGATAACTAGAGTCAGACGTAGTTTTGAAACTTAGAAACAAGCATGAACATTGTGATAACTTGTATACTCCTTTATTGACACTCCTTATGCTCACTTTTTATCCACTTTATTTATCCTCTTTTTCTTTTTAATTCTACCTAACCTAATTTTAACAGAGCTGTCCATTTTTATTTCTATTCAAATTTCAATTGTTTATTCAAATAGTCGAATTTGTTGAAATATTTTTTATTAATCTATGCTGTAATAATATTCATATTTCTAATAAATTTATTCATTTTAAAAGTTTGAATTATTTTAACAAAATTTTTTTTATAAAAATGAACTTAAATGTATTCAAATAGTTATAATTAAATTATAGATTTGTTTGTTTGTTTAAAGTAAATATTATTTTGGAGATTAATATATTTTAATATTATTAAATTAATTTTTTTGTTTCCATTTTTTTAATTTAAATATTTGAGGAATAAATTTTGTGAATTTGAAAATTATTTTTACCATTAATGCCCACAGGGAAAATTGAGTCTCCACTTAATGTTTATTTGTTAATAAACACTTGATCAAGATGCAATTCACAAACGGTTTTCTCTTACGGAAAAAAATCTGGAAACTTGTACAAGTTACTTTGATTTTGATTTTTTTCTCGAGAATTATAAAATATTACCTTATTGATAATTAATTCATTTAATTGAATTTCTAACATCTGAGTATCAGTCAACTAAACTCATAAGTTGGAACATTTTTCTCATTTACACACATACATCTTGCTATAATCGGGTGGTAAAGTAGGTGGTGGTGGTAGTGGTGGTCTCTTGACTCTCTCGCATAGCAGCGAGGCATAGAGTATATACGAGTCGACAACCCCTGGTTCGCGCTCAGACATCAGCTGAGTGGATTGTGCACCACTCCCGCCTCCAGCTCCACAGTAGTTTGCTTGTCATCTCTTGCCTCACTTACTTTCACATCCAATCCACCAAATTGACTCTCAATTCAACTAAAAAAATTTCATAAATATATCCTATTATTTCATCCCCAAAATATTGTCATTTTATTTTTACTGAGGTTCATCCTTCCTAACCTTTTTACTTTTATCCTCTTTTTCTTCCAAAAAAAACAAAAACTATTTCCCAAAAATTTTTTTCATTTTTTTTTTTTGTTTTATTATTATTTTTTTCGATTCAATTATTTCATTTAATTACTTTAAATCACGAAGTAATTTTCGCAAAAGATTAATTTCAACTATAAAAGTATATAAGACAAACCATCAGGTGGCATAAGACTAATTTTCTATCTTTATCCATTCTTTTGGTCTCGTTCTAGTCAATTTCCCTCTTCGTTTCTCTTCGAAGCAGGGGTTGGCTTGGCAGACCAGAGAGCTAGTCGGTCGACGGCGGCGGTGATTGCTCCACCCCCGTGCGACACGATCAATACGTTCACTCTCTCACTCACTTCTCTTTCTATCTCTCTTGACTCAAACCTTTCCACCCCTGATGTTCTCTCACTTTTCTCTACCCCTTGCAGCCCCCACACGCACATACCCTCTCTCTACTTACCCTTCTGTTATACCCCTAGCTCACTTTTCTGTTGCACAGCCAGCATATATACGCTCTATGGTTAGCAGCACCAGAGCTGCTTGGTTGTTCGTTCCAAAGCGGACTTTCTGTTGCTATGCCGGCGCCTCTTTCCCCTTCTCTCTTTCACTCTCTCTCTCTCTCTCTCTCTCTCTCTCTCTCTCTCTCTCTCTCTCTCTCTCTCACGAGCGGTCTTTCCCCTCTAATGCCACTCGCGCCCCCTCACTATTCACCCTTTCCCCGCTACTCACCCTTACCTCGTCGTGGGCCGACGTCCTGCAGGATATCTCCTGACGTTCTCCGAATTTCCTACGAGCCGCCGATTACATTTTTACCCACTCTCAAAAACATTCAATTATTCATTTTATTTTACTTTATAACTTTTATACATGTGGTTTTATTATTGTATCATATTTATATATTTCTCTTATTTGTTGCCTAATTTTTTTAAAATCAAAACTGTCAACATTTGAGGAGGATAAATACTTAATTATTTATGAAACAAAATTTTTATAGATTAGCAATACAATAAATGTTGTGTTGATAACTTTTTTATAGTCTTTAAATTTTTCTTTGTTTTACGTTTTTTTAATTTTTAATCACAAATCTTTTGAATGATTGAAAGTAATTTGAACGATAACATTTTATGTTCAAGTTCAGTATTGATATGAAGATCCTTTTAAATCTGTTAATTGAAGAAATTTTTTAATCAATTCATTATGAAAGGAGTTAATTGAACTTTGAGAAATTTTAATATAAACGCTTAATAGCTAGAAAAATAAATATTTGAAGTTAAGAATTTTTTTTTCAGAAATATACTAATTATTTGTTTCCTAAGATAAAAAATTTCATTTTAAATCAGAGCCCTTAAATCCTCAAAAGAAATAAATAAAATAGAGAGGGGGGGGGAATTAATGTAATTTTTGAATTTACTATTAACATAATGCTTTTCATCTCTATAAATAATAATGAAAACTCGTTTTTTTTTTAAATTGCTCGAGTAAAATTATAGATGAAATTGAAATCCATGATCAGCTGTTCAGAATAAAATAAAGAAAATATTCATTCTCTCATTCCAATAGCTTTTTTCAATCCACCCATTTTATATATACCGCAATAACAAGCTACTTAATAATAACATCAATCAGATGCAGAATTTATTTCAAAAATTTTTGACAAGAAAAACCGTCTAGGATTAGAGAGGGAGAAAAAAATAAAAATTGAGTTTCAAGACTCAGATAGACGAAGAAAAATGTCTCAGTCGTACTTCCTGCATACTAGAAAGAATACGGAAAAGAAGCTATATAATACATATAAATATATATATATATATATATATATATATATATATATATATATATATATATATATATATATATATATAAACATATTGCATATATTATAAATATATAGATATATAGATATATATAAATGAACGCACAGTACTCGCTGGTGGTTGTGTATATATAGCTAGCATAGCAACAACCGTTGTCCGCTTCGGGGTCCCATCGACTCCGCACGCGCGAGGAGAAGAGGAGCGTGTTCACGAAACGACGAAGAAGGAAAGAAGGACGAATAGTGGAGAGGAAGAGGTCGGTGAGAAAGAGAGACTGTGCACACCGCGAGAATCGAGTTTACCTCGACGATGTAACTCGGAACATCAACAAAATTTGCGTAGAAAACATGTGGAATAAAAATCAAATGTCTTTTATTTTTTCTTCAAATTATTCACCTCTGCTAAAATTATGTATTTACCATTTATATATTTTTCTTCTTGAAATTAGTCTTTAGAAGCCAATCATTTTACATAGGTACTGACGATCGAAAAAAAAGAAACATCATATTTACCTCCCTATATAAGTAGATACATTTTTTTATATATATATATATATATATATAAATATTTGAGAATAACTTGAAGAAGAGATGAATAACAAGAATAACTTGTCGAGATAGACATGAATTGAGTTCACAGGCCGCTTTACCGAATAAATCTCACTTTGTACTTTGGTAATGTTTATTCGAAGTCAATTAAACTATTACCAAAGAAGGATAAGAAAAAAGATTCTTCTTTATGAATGACTTGAATCAAGTGCTCTACATGTATTATAAATGCAAACCACTTTTTTCATTCTCTATTTTATTTCATTTATTCTCTCTCCATCAGTTTAATATTAAATACTTTTTTTATTTTTTATATTTTACATTTACTTCATTTACATAAAGATAAATAAAATAAATACATTGTGGATAATTGTCAGTGACATAATAGTAATTTGCATCACTGACAATATTGATATTTAAATGTTTAACACGAAAAACAAATCACAAATCAAGCGTAAAAAATGTATAAGTACGCTTTAATGTGATATTGTGATATTTTATATTGGTATATTGTTACTAAAACATTTATTTGAATTAGCTTGATTATATATTTATTATTTGATACTTAATATAACTAATCCAAGTGCTTCGATATGAATTAATTCGTTATAGAAATGTCGTCGAGCACTTTGAGATCGTTCTTTCTGTGTTACTTTTGTATTCAATATGTATTTTTTCGTTTATTTTATGCGCATGCTTGAAGGCAAATTAACGCGCGCCTGCTTGAATTATGTTTGAGCAATTTTCTCTAAGATCCCTTATCATTTTTCTACGAATATATAGCTCTATACATACATAAATATATATGTGTTCCAAAAACTGTTAAATCATTTTACGAGAATATATTTGCACACTCAAATCATCGTACTTTACACTTATTCCTTTTGTTATTTATTTTTCATCATAATGTATAAAATATTTTGAGTGTGGTTAATTGATTATCTGGCCATTCTTTTTTTTAACTAATTTATAGGTGATGCAAGAACGAAAAAATTTTATTGAAATATTTTACGGAATAATTAAAGAGGTGGATGTAATACTATTTGTGGCCACTTTATCTTAGATTCTTTATAGAGAAAACTGATTAGTGTTTACTCTAAATCCCTATTTCATCATTATATTTATTTAGTTTATTAACTATTTAATCATTTTATAGATATTTAAGATTTTAGAAGTGCTAAATCATTTTGAAATCTCATAGAAAAATTTTCATATTAGTTGTTATATAAAAATTGTCGATAATTTTTCTTATTTTTAAATCAAATTTTATAGGCAATTTCTCCAACTTGAATAAATAATAATCAATCGTTTTTTTTTATTATACTTTTTTTAAATTAAAATTAAAATGGTTTCGAGTTTGCTAGTGTACTATCAGTTGATAGATTTTTATTCAATCAAATTAGAGAGATAAAATAATTTAATTAGTTGTAAATTAATTACAATTGAACATAAAATTCTTTCTTTTTATAAAAAATTTCACGTCAATATGTATCGTAATACTTATTACAGTGCATTGATAAAAAAAAAAAAAAACAAATAACTTAAAAATAATTAATTATGTATAAAGAACTGAAAAATATTATTTAACTTAGTTATTATTCATTAAAAGAGTTAATTAATGAAGTATAAAAAATGCACCCAAGTTGATATGTGAAATAAAAATATCCATATAAATATAAAACTTCTTAGTTTGAAAGTTGGTGGGAAGCTTTGGCATTTCCGGATGTGGGTTGATCTAATGACAGTCTCGGGAGTTAATTATTAGTTGATGACATATGTCATATGTATATATTACGACTATTCACTCGACATTGTTATCAGAGAATGTACATCCGATTATAATTAATGATAAACAACTGTTAATATTTATAAAACACTAATTTATTTATTTTGAAAAATACTATCAAAGCAATCCACTTAGGTACATTAGTTGTAACTTGATTTCCGGTACAGTTAGAAGTAATAGATTAACTTAAAATGATAAAATCATAGTCAAACGTGACGAATCTTGTAGTAATTTCAATTAAAAGCAATCGACTATTCAGTGAGCACGAAGGTCCACTTGAGGGTTGGAAACAAAAGGGGTGCAAAAGGCTCCTAGTGTCCGTGTATAGCAATATTCTATATACTCGATAGAGAGAAGGAGGAGAGGAATGGAACGTACATCAAGAAACATGAATGAAGTGGAATGCGTGCTGGCTATCGCACAGGTTATGTCAGCCTTTCGTGACCTCACTCAGGGGGTTCTCAACCCCTTTTTAAAATTCTTCACTTCATCCCTTGTTGTAGGCCTCTAGATTAAATTTCACGCAATTAACAGTCGTTTAAAAAAATTTTTTATTGCTTGATTATTCACGAAAAAAAATTATTTCTGCAGTCTCGAAAAAATTTACGAGCTATTGCTTATAATTAACAAAATAATAATAAATAATTTTTACGCTAGTTTTAAATACTTTTAACAATTGACTTTCAAATTTCGTGCCATTTTTTGAGACTTATCAGAACACTTGCACTCCACACATTACCATATCCTCTCGTCTCTCCTCACAGTTGTTATACTTTCTTTCCTCGAGTCAATCGATTTGCTTTTAGTTCTCTCTTGTCGGTGGGAGCTGATGTTATATGCCGTCGTGCAGTGGCACATGCAAATGAGGCCGCGCACGAGGCTTCAAGTAGAACAACGAGATCGAGAGAATGAAAGGAGATAGAGAGTCTGGCGTAGTGTCTGAGAGCCCCTGTCCGAGCGTGTTAATGAATGATATTTTTTTCATTCAACCGCGCCCTGACCCATATTTCCAACTGAAGGCTCGTGCAGTCCACCTCTCAGTATGTGACTTTCCGATACCAGTTTATCAAGCAAACGATCAAAATAACTCGAAAAAAAATATTATTTATGCTTTCAAACCTTTTCAAGCACTTTTTTAATTCGTTTTTAATAATTTATTTTGTTGGAATTTCATATAAAATTATCCTCAATTACAATTGTTTCTTTTTCAAATTAATTATTTACCACATAGAATCGGCTCGTAAAAGATTTTGTTCTATTACAGTTTAATTTTTGCTACAAACAATTTTCCAATCAATATTGAAAATTTCGAGTATTAACATCATTATTCAACACTAAAATAATTTATTTAAAGTTTTTTTACTCTATTAATTAAAACAATACATATTTGAAAAATTCCAATTGTTATTGTAAAATATTGAATTAAAAAAAAAATACTCAAGATTTTGGATTAATTTGTGAAATCATTTTCTATTCGCTCTTCTGTAGGGTTCAATTCGTATTTTATCGTTGAAGAGAAATAAGAGAGATTCCTTTTTTTTACTTCTTTCGAATTTGGTCGTTAAAATAACGATAATGTTTTGGCAAGTGTCTAGTACGAATGTTAACGCATACGTTAAATTAATGACTGCAACGAGCAACTAAGATTTCATTTACCCATCCATGAAGTAAGTCCGAGGAGGGTTTAGAGATGCCCGACCGACACAGACGATGCCAAAAAGGGTTGAGTTGATTGTTATGTACTCGAATGAGACCTACACGTAGATATTATCTTTTTTATCAACAAAATGAAAATAAAAATTAAATTTCTTTTGGGGAAAATCCAACTATTGGTTTATCAATCCTTTACTCGGAATTTAAATAGATGTTAGATATTAATTATTTGAGTTCTATAAGATAGTTTTAATGAATTAAATATTATTTTTCGGTAATCAGAAATTGAAAAGGGGAATTTCTTGCAATTGATTTTGCAGATTTAAGATATTTAGTTTAAGGGGAGTTTAAAATGTAACTAATAATAGAAATAATTTTTTTTAGTGAGCGGGAGAACAGGCACAGGTGGTGCACCGCTCTATGGACGTCTAGTAGCCGAAGAGCCGCTGCCAGGATGTGGTGCGGGCACCGGAAGTGGTGGTGTTAGCTCGGGGGTTGTACCTCAAGAGACACCCGTAGATATTCATGCGATGCAAGCGAGGATACCCCATAGGTTTCGGGACCCAGCGACTGCACCACTGCGAAAACTTAGTGTCGACCTTATTAAAACCTACAAGCACATCAACGAGGTAAGAATCATCAGAAGTATCATTTTTATTTACATCAAAAGAAGTTTAAGAAATTTCTAAAATTATACTGGGAAATTTTTCTTTTATTATAGTACACATATCAGTATGATGTACTTTGTTTATAAAATTTTTCCTCAAAATGAAAGAATAAAACCAAAATAAGATTTATGATAGACAGAATCATCTGATTATTTCAATTATATTATTTTCTAAAAAATAAATTTTTTTTCCTATCTTCACAAGTAAGCACTCATGCACATTTTTTAAATAAAATTTATTTCAAAAAGAAAAAACTTTTTTTAATTGAAACAATTTCTTCCGTCAGTACTCAAGAGTAATTTCACAGTGGTATTTTATTTTTTGGAGAAGAACTCGGTAAAAATTAACAAACATGATTCGATAAAATCAGAAACAAAGTCGTGTTTGAGTTTAAAATTGCCAGAAGTAAAAAGTCATGAATTATAACTGACAGCCTAATGTCCTAAAAGTGAAGTATCTAAGTTTAGTGATCCCGTTAGTGTCACGCACGTGCGAGAAAGTGAGGGGTTGAATTGAAGGTCCCAATGTCGTGTCTAGTGTGAACGGCTAATTTTCTCTGTTTCTCATGTCTTTCCTTTACATTTTGGTGTTGGTGGTGGTTGGTTAAACGGCCTGCTATGCCGACAGCTCTGGGGAACAAGTGGGTGGTCAGAACATAAAAGAGACCCTAAAAGAGGTGACTTGTAGTGCACGGTGGAGCTTGAGTTCGTTCATCCACGTCATTACATTGGTCTTGAATGTTCAACGACACCTAAGAGCTGACCAATGTCTATTGCATTCAATCATTAATGCCAATTAAATCTCTAATATTATTTTAATATTCCAATTCATCTAATCAATTAATAATGATGAATATACACTGAATAAACCATCTAAACGATTGTAGATTGAGATTAAAAAAATTTTTCATCATCTCTGCATATTCAAATTATTTGTTGAGTCACGCAAAAAGTTCAGGAAGTAATTAATGGATAATAAACTAAGAAAGAAAGCAAGACCATGACAGTGAATAATTTCCTACGAACTCGAACGTGTAATATGGATAAGACAATATTTTTTTATTAAATTGCATGATAATTATTACAAACTTTTGAAATGAATCAAGAATAGAAACAATTCATTCTGAAGTTTACTTCAAGATTTTTCTTTAGAGTAACATGGGTTTGGTAAATTAATTTTACTTATGATCTTCACTTTTAAACTGATGAGTGAATAATCAAACCAATAAGTTGATGAAAAATTTCAATTCACAGACACTCTTTTCTTATAAATAATTTCTTGAGTTTTTAATTAAAAATAAAGTATTAAAAGTTTTCAATTTTTTTCATTGTTTTCATAATAATATCTTAGTATTTAACGATAAAATTAATACACCATTTCTTTTAAGCAAGTTAGAATAATTGAGACTAGTTATGACATGATGAAAAATAAATATTTTTGATTTTATTCATTTTAGGTTAATTTTGGTTCATTATAATAATGGTGTATATTTTATTTTTTAATATACTTTCACTATTGCTGTGATAATTATACGCCTAAAGATCTTGATGAACAAAAGTAGCTCATTGATAGGAATCTTATCACACTTTAAAAACATGAATACCTGAAAATAATTATTTTATTATGAATTTATTTCCTTTTTTAAAATCTATTACATTCATTCCGCTAATTACAGTATGCAAAAATACATTTTTATGTTCCAGCTCTAAAATTTTCGAAATAATAGTCTTTATTAACGACCCATGCTACTCTCAATTATCCACGAAAAAATTTACTTCATTTAGGTTATGTCGAATAAATTATTCAAATCTTTTGCAAAGTATAAAAAGCACCATCGAATTTTTGCAGTAAATTTTTTATATTTTTTTATTAATATTTTGAGGGAAATAAACTTTTGTTGAGATTAAAATGAATCCTTTTGAGCGAATGAGATTGAGAAAAAAAATAATAAGTTTTAAAGGACAAGTTGGCGCCACTCATAAATGTATTTATAAGTAAAGTGACTTATATACATTTGTACTACTGTAGTGGTATAATATTATATTGTGAAAAGACATCACGAAAGGTAAATTATCCGCAACGACAAAAATGGATGATACGACCCTTCAACAATTTTCGTTGTGTCATTGGTGTCGTTGTATACATTTTTCTCTTCTTTTTTTGTGTTAATCTTCAAAATTCACAGCCGTAATTATTTATGAGCTCGGTGAATAATTAACCATAGAGAATTATGAACTTGTTAATATTTTACTCTGAACATTTATTTTTTTTTCTTTCCATTTCTTCTACTTTAATAAATTATCTTGTGAAAATAACCTTATAATTAAACACAAATGGTAAAAATGGAATAATTATTCCTAAAAAATTTCTATAAAATACATTTATTATTTATTATTGATTTTATATTTTTTATTAATATTTCAATGAATCAACAAGAATAAAAATTAGTTAATTTATTTATCATCTAAAAAATCATTTGAACTAATTAAAATTTAGCCTATTTAATAAAATAAAATAATTTAAATATCTGATTAAAATTATTTCGTTCTTATCAGTCTCGAAACAAAAAATCCCAACATTTTTTAATTCTCTTCAATACTTAAAGTACAAGATGAATTCTTCCAATTCTATATAACAAACGCACATTTTTATATTACTTTTCACCAAGAAAAGTGTTTTTTCCTCTTTCTATTTCTTTACACTTTTAGAAGCTGTTTTACTGGTTGATTTTTTTCTCACTTATTTTTCTCAAACCATTCGGTTCGTCAGGATCATGGTTGAGTCTGAATCCTAACGATAACTACGTCGCGATTAAACAACCAGGGATATCCCGAAGGTTTTTCTAAAAAAGATCTTGGAGATATCGTATCAGTGGAACAACCATTATTCTTTGCCTTGAAGGCACGCAAGAGCATTTCTTTCTTCCTTTTCTTCTCTGTACACTACTCACCCTTCTTGAGCAGTTGCTGGACTGGACAATTTTTTCAGACGAGCTCCTTCAAGCAGATGCACGTATTGATGTTTGATAGAAAATCAGTCTAATCGATTGTAGTCTGAGCGAGTGAACGATAGTAAAGAAAACAGACGAAGAAAAAAATATATATGATCTCACTGGTATGAAGGGCATAGCTGTATAGGGTGAATTCCGAGGGTGGTCAGTAACCGTACTTGCATGACCATCACGGCGGAGAATTCTGGACCCACCACCAACGAACCAGGCCAGTCAACTATGCACTCAGGTGCCAAGTGGCTCTCATAGCAGTGGTCAACATAATTGGTCAACTCTATTCTCTCTTTTATTTTGTTTCTTTCTTACTATTATTAATGCACTTATTCTATCCCAATTTATCCGTATGCTATTTCATTTAATTATTTATTTAATTATATAAATCAATATAAATATTGCATATTAATAATTATTCCAAAAAATATTCAATGAAAAAGAAAAAATTATTGATCATGTATGCTTTTACAGAAAAAAAATTACTTTTTAATTATTTAAATATTGTAAAATGTTTAAAGATGATAAATAATGATTCAAAACATATTAATATTAATTTCTATATTATTACATTATTTATTCTCCTACAATAATATCTAAGTGACAAATAATGCAATAAAATCATTTAAATTTTAATTAAAAATATTAAAATTATTTATAAAGAATCAATTAATTTTTTGGTAATGTTGAAAATAATTTTAAACATCTTAAAAATAATTTTTTAAATAAAGAAATAACGTGAAAAACATTTCACTCGTATATTGTTATTAAAAAAACATATTTACATAAATTATTGTATCAGGTACATCAAATAAATTTCATAACGATATTTAAAACAATAAATGAATATTTATAATATTTTATTATAAAGATGTAACGTTGGCATACAACATATTGTGTAACTAAAGTAGATATGATATTTGGCTACAAGATTTTAAAATTACATTTTAACTTTAGGGATAATAAAAGGGTATTTTTATACTTTTAACAGTACAAAGATATTATCTGGCAATGTTTAAGGATGCTAGTTGCTGAATCGATTAAAATCTTTAATTAATACATTCTTTGACGAATGATTCATTTTATTCCTTTTTTATTTGATTTATTATATTTTATGAACTCACACAAATATATTTTCAATCTAGTTCTTGCTCTTATAATTGAAAAAAGAAATAGATTAAAATAAGTCAGTGTATTTCGTCTTTATCCGTTAATAGAAGCATTCGGGGTCAATATCCTAATAGATGAGAAAGAAAAAAGTTTCTTTTCTAATAAGAATTGAGTAGAAAAAAATTAATTCATTCCATTTTTAATAGATTTGTGAATTAATTACGTAGCGTACAATCAACACCAGACAATAAAATTTATTCAATAAATTTTTAAAAGGATCATTTATTAAAATAATCATGACAGAAATGATAATTGGATAAGCATTATTTATTTATGTTACATAAATGCAGTAGCCACATTTGTATAGATATTTTATAAGAAATAATTCTTAACAGGGTTTATTCACTTTTTTCACGCCTTTAAACGAAAGTTGGCGCAAAAATCGCGACTAACAAAAGTTGTGGAAGTTTGTCAAAGAACCGGAAAACAGTATAGACGGATGTAGCAGCGGATAGCGAAGATGAAGGAGTATATAGAGGAGCAGACGGGCAGGAGAGAATAAGAAAGAAAGAGAGAATAAGGAAGAGGAGAGATAGAGAGAAAGTATCAATAGTTTCCAAGTGGCATTGCGATTTCGCAAACTCTTCAAAGCCGTAAGCTTGACTGTGTGTAGTCGTCTATTGGAGATAGAAAGGAAGGACGACAAGAGACGAGACAGTTTTCTCTCGTATATATGTTAAACATTTCACTGGTGTCCATTGTTTTCTCCTTGTCTTAACCTCAAGACTGATTTTATTGGTTCCGGAGAATTTGATTCTGCCACGCTTTCAACCTTTTCCTACTCCAGACTAGCAGACTCGAGAGTTGACTGTCGATTCATCGACTATACAGAATAAGAGAGAAAGATCTAGACCACGAGTTTGATCAGCGTGTTAACCACTAACGCTCCATTGTCGTCCAATATTCGTAACACAAGAGGAAAAGAAAGATGACAAAAACCAAGGACCAGTTCTCCTCATGAGAATAATGGAAATAACGAGGCGTGATTGGTCTTACCACTTTTTTCATTCTCTTTCACCAGCATCACCTTCTGCGTATATTTGCTTGCTTGCATCATTATTTATTCCTTCTCCAACAATACTCTAATTAATTTGTTCTTAATTAACTAATTATCACTCGTCTTTTTACTTCCTATTTATATTCTTTACTCCATCTTCTTCTTTTTGCTTTATTTCATTTTTTCCCCTTACTTACATTCAACTTGATTTTCGTCGACTTTTATAGGACTCGTGTGCTACATAGTAATTACGTTAAATTCTAGTATTGTTCACAATGCCGGTGGCTCGTAATTTTCGGCTTGCAAAAGGATTAATCCCAAACCACGAGACGCTCAGGTCTATATGCTTGTTCCCCTCGTTGGGACTCTTAAAAACTTTCCGTTGACCGTTACTTGTAAGTCTACTGATGACTCAGAAACGGCCAAAAATTCAGGGCCGTATCAATTCATTGGGATCTTCCTTCCCTTTGTCTGTTTTTCAATTTTAACTTTAACATCAAATTCACGAAATTCAACTCTTTTCATTTGATTTAATGCATTTTTATATTTACCCTGTTCACACCGTATCATCAATTACGATATTTATTTGTAGATTGTGATTTTGAAAAATTATACCTTCAACTTTTGCGGTATTTTATCAATTAATTTAGTATTTTTAAATGACCTTATTTTTTATTTTATACCAAAGAAAAAATAATTCAGTATCATTTAATTTGAGACATAATAAGCTACCACATGACCAGTAATGCTGAATATGCTTCCGAGAACGTCCAATTTTTTTTAACTTGACCCATCGTCTAACATTAGCTATCTCTTAAAGTTTTTTAGCTTATAAAAAATTACCAAACGTTATCGACAAATATTCATAATATTAAGGTTACTCGTGGTTTGATATTTTTGAAGGTTACTGATGATGTCAACCCAATCAAAGTTTCCAACAATTAAGAGCCAATCAAAGTCCTAACTTATTTTATAAAACGCCTTTACCGATTCTTTTTTTTTCTCATTTGCTATGATACAAAAAATAACTAGACTTAAACAAAAGCTGGTTTAAATTTTAAAACATATTAAATACTCAATCGATTCTTAAGAAAAAATAAACTACTTCAATTAAGTAGCACCATTATTTTTCTTTAATTGAATTTTTCAATTCTTGAATACAACTTATAAGTTTAATGATTTCTCATTAAGTATAATACTTGAAGAATATTTACGAAAGGAATAAATATATGCATCGATTAAGAGAGTTGATATACCAGTTGGTCTGCAAATCTTATCCTTTTCAAGAAGCAACAGCCGCCTCTTCGATTTCTGCCCCCGCTTTAGAGCTGTATTGTGTATTATAAGGATCGATTGGTCACTCAGTTGAACCTCCAGTTTATTTATTTTCTCAATTATCTTTTCATCATGCTTCTTTTCGTCTAGACTCTTATAGAATTTACTCCTCTTTCAAGATCATGCATTCTTGAGAAATAAGCAAAGAAAAAGAGAGGGATTCAAGCAACAGCAAGAAGTGAACGCATCAGAGCGTTGTTGTAATTTTCCTCGCATTCTTGATGCTGTCTAGTATCAGGTGTAGAGAGGCAAGGTAAGAAGAAGGACGAACTGATGAAAAAGTAGAACGTGGACGTTCCGGAAGGTCGTACTGTTACTGCTACTGCCGCTGCTTCTGCTGCTACTCTTTAGTTTCATATGACTCCATCCATTCATGATTCTCTTGATTCTCTATCGTTTGTCTTCTCACTATTTCTTTCCTTCTCTCCATTCCAGCTTCAGTCTTACTTCCAATTGTGGCTAAGCCTGACTTCTGCACAGATTCATAAAGGTCTTGTCTGATGACGTGTCATTCGTCATCTTATCTGACAATCAACGTAAAAATAACCCAAAGACCGTTGACGATAGTTAACCCTCACCATTACTGAACATTCCATTGGCAATATTTTAGCTACTTTCAGTAATGCATTTAAATTGATTTTAGTTGTTTATAATCAATTATGTCTGGAATTGTTTATTTATGGTTTTCTTTATAATTAAGACCTATTTTGAATCAGTCTACAAGAATTGAAGTTTGTAAAATTTCTAATTGATCAATAAAATATCATAAAAAAAGTTTCAAATCTTCTGAGATCATTTTAAAGTACTTTTGAACTTTTCAGAACAGTAAAGATGTTTCTAGAATTTTTCAGTCTGTTTTAAAGATATTTTACTAAGAGACGGCATGAAAATAGTACATAGAAAGGTTCAAATATATCAGATCTTAAGATTTTTGATACTCCAATTTTCAATTACAACTACATCAAACAATGGCTTTATTTTTGGTTGGATACCAGAAATAATCTTTACTAAATATAATTCGTAAAGTTTAATTGAAAATGTTTTTTTTTTTTTTTCTTTCAAATATTGTATCAATTGAATAATAGTTTTGATAAATCAATAACAATTCTCAGTGGAAAATGAATGGAATAATGGAAAAAATGATGGATTTTTATTGAATTATTTATTTATTATGGTGTCAATCAAAGAGACGAGTCATGTCCAGTGTGAATTTTAGCAAGGACTGAGGATGAGTGCAGCATATGGAGCCGGTCTCATGCACTCGCGCATAGCAACAGAAGCAAGCAAGAGAGAGAAAGAGAGTGAGAGAGAGAAAGAATGGGTCTAACGCTTGGCGTTGTACAGACGACCGGAGGCAGCAGTGCTTTGAGGAGAGGAGTCAGAGTGAGGTGGAAAAAGATGAAGAGAAAGAGAGAAGACTACTCTTTCCCCTCATAGACAGGGGAATCGGCGTGCGACGTCGCCAAGAGAGAAAGAGAGACAAAATGAGAGACACAGAGAGTGAGAGAGAGTCAAGGTGCAGTAATGATACTGCTGCTTGGTCGTTATTGGACTATATTGTCTAGCAGTAGACCTAAACTTGAAATCAAGTCCCATGAAATTCCTTCATGACTTCTAGAGATCAGTTAATCTGTTTGGAATGCTTGCTGATCAATCAAAGTCAAGGTATCGGAGTACCCTAAAAAGAGTCTGATGCCGCTGACGTCCAGTCAGATGCAGTAGTTTCAATTGAAATCTCATCAGGATCGTAATAGTCAACGTGTCGACCTGGATTGACGACCGCGTGCATCGACTAACTTGAACCAGGCCAAAGAGGTCACGTTAAGCGCAGTAGCTTTAGGGTAGGTCGCGTCTGTCGTGATTTTCGATAGCTCTCTCTTTTCCTCTTATAGTTTCTATCATCAGAAACAAAACGTCATACACGCATCAGTTGTCACATCTTTTAGGTTTTCAATGGCACGCAAATGCCTTGAGAACATGAAGAAAGAGAGAGAATAGATTTTATCACACCCTATTTTATACTTTAATTTCCGTTTATTTTATATAAACATTTTAAGTTGCAAGTATTAGTAATGGTTTATAAAAATTAGCTGAAGCATGGAGAGTTGATCGAAAAAGTTAAAAAAATACTAGATTCGTTTATTAGTCTGGTAGAAACGAATGAGGTCATTGACCGATGGACTACCGGTGGGTAATACGTCATTCGAGACGCGACTGAGGCTTTCATACTTTCCTGCCTCACCTAACTTCTTCTACAAGATTTTTCATTATTTATTATAAATCTCAAAATGCTGCTACCATCGTTCATATCATGGATACTAAATTATAAATAGATTAAATAAATTATTTAACCATTTATTTAATCGTTTTCTTGTGGCAGCAGCATGATTTTCACGTGGTCGCGTTGATATCGATTGCGCGCCGCGTCGGCAGATTGGATTCTGCGCCCTCATCCCTTTAGTTATTTTATCTCTCTCTCTCTCTCTCTCTCTCTCTCTTGGTCATATTCAGGACTTTAGACTCTTTCTTGCTCTATCTCTCTATTCTTGAGCAATAGAAAAAAGCAAATGAAAAAGAAAAAAAAAGGTGGTTACATAGCATTTATCGAATCACATGGTAGTTTTTGAAAAAAAGCGCGGATAGTTTTGAAGAAAAAGCATTCACGATTCACTAAGCTTTTGGAATTGTAATAATCACTTTCAAGGGGTAATGGTACTTAACTTTGCCCGTTGGCTCCTACTCTTATGTCTTCCCTCCCCCACAGTTATTTTTGTGGGGTAGACAGAAGGGTAAAAAGAGAATGGATTATTTGGGGATAAGGATAAACTCTTGGGGACACTTTAAGAGATGTTGACTTGATTATTTGTCTTTTAAGTACTTTTTATTACCAATTATCAGCATCAAGAAATATTTATTCTCAGCTTTTATAGTTTTATCTTAAGGACTACAGTGTTTATACACTTTTTTATTCAATTACTTTTGAAATAAATCAATTAATCAATTTATTTGTTTATTATTTAAGAAAAAGAAAAATTTGATTTTTTTTTTTTTTTCATTTAGTCAGGGAAAAAATGAGAATTTAATTGATTGTGTTATATCAGGAGGATGTAACTGAGATATGTTGACTCGAGTGTTTATGTTTTAAGAATTTTTATTATTCTTATTTACTGACGTCGAAAAATTAATTAATTTTTTTTGTTTTGTATCCAGGTTTATTATGCAAAGAAAAAAAGAAGAGCGCAACAGATGCAAGGCGAAGATGGGTCTCATAAAAAAGAAAGAAAGCTCTACAACGACGGTTGGGACGATGATAATCATGATTATATTATTAAAAATGGTGAAAAGTTTTTGGATCGATATGAAATTTATTCATTAATAGGTATGATTTTCTTATCTCTTTTAAACTAATTAATTAATAATGAAATATAATAAATTGACTATTAGTTAAATTCTTGAATAATTAGTTAATCAATTTGCTGACAAAATGTTGCGAATGAAAATAATTTATTAAATTTTGTTTGTTGGTTGAAAAATAGGTAAGGGCAGCTTTGGCCAGGTGGTAAAGGCGTTTGATCACGAGGAACAAACTGAGGTGGCAATAAAAATTATTAAAAATAAGAAGCCTTTCCTTAATCAAGCGCAAATTGAAGTTAGATTATTAGAAATGATGAATAGAGCGGATACCGATAACAAGTATTATATAGGTATGTTTTATTATTTATATAAATATTATATTAATGAATTAATTAAAAGAAGCTCAATTTAGACATTTAATAAATGTCCATTAAATAGTGTTAAGTGTAAATTAATAATATTGTTTTATTGCATTTTTCCAGTTAAACTGAAGAGGCACTTTATGTGGCGAAACCATTTGTGTCTGGTATTCGAGCTACTGTCTTATAATCTTTATGACCTACTTAGAAATACGAATTTCCGCGGAGTATCCTTGAACCTAACGAGGAAGTTCGCTCAACAACTATGTACTGCCCTCATGTTTCTGTCCACACCGGAATTGAACATTATTCACTGTGATCTGAAGCCCGAAAATATTCTTTTGTGCAATCCTAAGCGAAGTGCGATAAAGATTGTGGATTTTGGAAGTTCGTGTCAACTTGGGCAGAGGGTAAGACCTTTCATAAACCTCTTTTATCTTAATTGATAATTTTTCGTTAAGTATCTTAATAGTTTTCCTATGAGAAAAATGTAGAAACATTAAGATAACGTAAATTTTTAGAAAACAATGTCTCAATATTTTTTATCTATTATTTATCAAGTTGAAGATAAATTTGTTGAAATACAAACGATTGAATTGTTTATCGTCTATAAGAATGTAGATTTAGTCATTAAAAGTATTTGTATTCAAATATATTAGATCATAAATCAGCTGAAGCAAAATAGAATAAAAATTATACTAATTATCGGCTATTTACTTCCAGATATACCAGTACATTCAATCTAGGTTTTATCGGTCGCCTGAAGTTTTACTCGGAATTCCGTATGACCTCGCGATAGACATGTGGAGTCTCGGATGTATTCTAGTAGAAATGCACACAGGCGAACCTTTATTCAGTGGTGCCAATGAGGTAATAACTTTACACTATTATCAAACAATATTTCTAAAAACCTTGAATCATTAGATTATTCTCATAAACCACAATATGTCAATTTATTATTCAATCATTCAAGAAAAACATTTACACGAATTATATTATTATTTTTATGTATGATTAAACTCAAATAGTAGTTAAAAACTGACGATAAACTATTTATTTTATAACAGATTGACCAGATGAATAAAATAGTGGAAGTATTAGGAATGCCGCCGAAACATATATTGGACCAAGCGCACAAAGCGCGGAAATACTTTGACAAAGTCCCAACGGACGGATCTTATGTGTTGAAAAAGTCGAAAGACGGTAAAAAATATAAACTTCCGGGTACGAGGCGACTGCATGACATTTTAGGAGTTGAAAGTGGTGGTCCTGGTGGCAGAAGATTAGGCGAGCCTGGCCACTCAATCTCAGATTACCTCAAATTCAAAGATCTCATCCTGAGGATGTTAGATTTTGATCCAAAAACGAGAGTTACACCGTACTATGCGCTGCAGCACAACTTTTTTAAACGAACGGCTGACGAGGGGACCAACACTAATATTGCAGCTGCCAATAGTGCAAACACTAGTCCGGCGGTGGTGTCAATGAGCCAGGACAGTGGTGAGTTTGAATAAAGTCTCTCGACGATGAGAGAATGATGGCTAAGCGTTGCGCACATTACACAGCCAAAGACTGCCATTGGATTAAACTCATTTGAACAATATAATTAACTAATTCATTTATTTATTATTTGTAATTTTGTAATTTTAATACTTATATCGTAAAATAATAATAATAGATTTAAGGGGTTTTATTATAATGGACATTAATGCTGCTTATATAAGAGAGCTCGACCAACAAAAGGAGAATAATTATTATAAATAAGGATACTTTTAGTTCATGTTTATCTTATTATCAAAAACTATTTTCTCGATAGGATAACATCCCGTTATTTGTTTAATATTAATTAATAAAACGTGAATAACGCTTGATTTCATTAATCATTCATTATTTCCTCAAATATCGACTAATAATTAAAAACACCTAACACAATGATAATTATTATTTATATAAGATTTTAAGCGCGAATTTTATTGATAAAATAATTTGAGTATATTTGAAATAATTTATCTTTAGATTAAAAGTAAAACTTTATTCTTAATGAAAATGGAAATGATTCGATAAATAATGAACGAAATTAAACGGCTCTTTTTGTAAATAAATATTTTTACAAAGGCTCCTATTAATTTTAGGATCAGCCTCGAGAGACGATCGATGACCAAGCTGCTTACAGCGTGTTCAGAGTTTTCAGAATTGTAGGAGTTTTGATTTGTGCAGAAAGTAAGAACAACTTTTAGTGCTCTTTGTTTATAATCGGTTAAGAAAATGTTTAATAATGATTCTGGTAGTTAGGAGAGAGGTTGAGCAATTAGTCATTATGCAGCAAGAGTTTTAATAAAAATAATTTTTATCACCAATTAAAATAATTATTTATAGGAATTGTCTAGAGCAGTTTATGGACCAACTGAAACAAATACCAGTGTTTCTTTGAAAGATTTATTATTATTATAATAACAATTATGATTATAGTCTTTGGCTATTATTGAAAATGGCATAATAGTGCAGAAATAATCAGAAATAAAAGTGCTAACGCTGTACTACGTTATCGCTTAGTTTCTGCACAAACTAAACCAAATACTTGTTGTTGCCCGTAGATATGATGGGGGGACAGTACGTGGCTCGATGACTGTCGTATCCGCGGGGCGGCGACGACCTGTCCTAGGCCCCAACCCTAATCTTACTTACTAACATAAGTAAGTTCTGTCTAACAAACAAATCCTAAAAAAGACTGAAAAACTAACAAATTCCCCTACTTTTCTTGATACCCTCATTTATCCCGTGGCCTCGGATGTAATGAGCGAAGCCTTGCTTGCCTGTAATCATCAATATTCTATCATATAAATATATATATTTACGATATTTTCCATTGCTACTATCAAAGTCATGATTTTAAGTAATGTTATTAGTCCATGACTTTGATGTATACTTTGATTGTGCCATCACAATGATGGTGTCTGACCTCACATAATCATTTTATATATAGCCTAAATGTCTTTATTTTGATTATGTATATACATAAGATTTTAAAAAATTTTAATTGCAAAGAATGTTCATTTTTATGTAAGCTAATTATTACTTATCATATAGTAAAAGTGATTGTTATAAATGTACATTTTATTAATGTAAAAATGAGTGAGGTTGCTCCATCGTTTAGTATTTGGTATTTTTTTTCTTTTCAACGCATGCAATTAGCTATCTGCATTGTGCGCTGTACCACAAGCAGTGATATCGCTGCCATCTAAACCTGACCGGATTTTTAAAATTATTTTGTTATAAAAATTTTTACACGAGTGTACGTCGCGCTGAACGTTTTGATAAAATATTCAATTTATAATTATATTATTAAGGTTATTTATTTCGTTATAATTATTTTTTATTCAGTTTTATATTAATGTATAATTTTTTTTGATAATATTTTCAATTTTTAATTATCATATTTTGTTATTATTCGACCAAGATTATTTACAATCCTATTAATTAAGTATTGAATTTTTTAAATTGTCTTAAATAGTTTAAGATTCATTGCACGTTCAGCACGATCATTTATTATCAACAATAATGTACTAGTGCCTTAAAATATTGATAAGAAAAAATGCATTGTGAATAAATATAAAATAAAAGGTGTTAGGAAAAAATAAAAAAATTCAATGCCTGCAAGAATACCCCGTAGATGATTAGAAATGTTTATTCGTAGTCCCATTGCCATGTTTCCATTTTTAAGACTAGCGGTTTTAGTGGGTGATAATTACTGTTCAGTTTTTAGATTAGTGCATTGAGAAAAAAATTAATCTACAAGAAGAAAATAAATTTTTGATCATAAATAAAATGTAACAAAAATACTAATAATATAAAATCAAAAAAATTATCTCCATTATATAAATAGATTTTTTCTCAGTGTAAATAAAAATATGTATATATGTATATATATATATATATATATATATATATATATATATATATATATATGTATTTGTATATTCTATTAGGAATTATTTTAGTCTCATTATGATTAAAAAATAATAAATTATTTCTAAATGTCATAGGACTGGTTACCATGTCAGGACAAAGCAGCGGGAGCACTAACAGCTTGATGCAAGTGCTCAATCTGCCTGGTGGCTATCAACCGATGGAGTGCGAATCCTCGCCCCGTCACTCGGTCAGCCGGCGTGCCATAACTACCGGCTATTCATCGACGCCAGCCACTGAGGCGCCTACGTCCGCCCCAACGTCCATGTCGTCAATGGACAACTCCCGAATACAAAGCTCTCTTGGCTCTTACAACAGCCTTATACTCCCTGGAATGGCTCATCTACCGGCTATGATGACCTCACCAATGATCCAACAACAGAATTTTTACAATTACGGATACTCAGGCACGGATTCCCATGCTATTGTCCGACAACCTGCATCAGTAGCGACGGGCAAGCAGAGAGATCCAGAGAGAGAAGATAGCCCCATGGTTGGCGTGTGCGTCCAGCAGAGTCCGGTCGCAATACATTGAATTTATTTCATTTCATTTTTCCCTATTAGTGAATGTCGTGGTATTTAAAAAATAAATAAATAACTAAACAACACGACTGCTAGAAGATTTAGCCAAAAGAAATCAACAGATAATTTCCCAGGAAGTTGAATGCTTTAGCGGATATTTCTGATCCCAAAGGAGACTTATCTGTAATTGTAACAAGAGTGACAGACACAAGTAATGAGTGAAAAAACTGAATATAAGAATAACAAGAATTAAAAAAAAAAAAAGTTAAATAATAGCAAATATAAATTTAACTTTGTCATATGACTGAAGAGAAGAAGGTAGAACAGAGATGACAATGAAGATTACTTTAAGTAGGAATGGAAGAAAAAAAAGATATTTTTTTTATCAACATGACCAGCCCATCGTGTGTTGGGCATGAACGATGGACCAGGGGAAAATAAGTGAAAAAAAAATATAGTAGAGCACCATCAGTTATGACACGGCCTAGTGAGGATGAACCCAACTGGCCTCTCGGGTCCAGCCCGATTTCAAATGAACTGTTAATACAGTTTAATCGGTATGCATTAAGAAACTTAATAATTAGATAAATTAAACCTGGCATCCGTAAAATGTGTGGCCTAGAGAGCAAAAAAGTGATAATTACTACTACTATTGCGTAACAAAATATAACAATGTAACCATGTACTCCAATAGAGTTTTATACACGATGTCACGAATGTAATGGTTTAGTAAATAAAGGCGAGAAGCCGCGTTGAATGCTAGTTATTTGTACAATACACTTATAGGTGAATGATTAAAAATTTAAAAAAAGAGTGCAGCTTTAGGGTTTAGCTTTTAAGCGTGAGAGAAATGTCAACTCGATTCTTTTATTATTTGATTGTGAAAATGAACGAGTCGAAAAAATAAATTTAATAAATATGTACGTATGTATGAGTGTGAGACACGATGCTCTTAGCAACGTGCGAACATCAGTTTGTTACTAACTAAGGACTTGAAACAAACGGGGTTTGCGCGGCTTAAATAATACATATTTATACACTACAAAACATTGATAAGAAATTTAAAGTATACATGTAAGATTGATCATGAATGGTATAATCATACGCGAACTAGGTACATTATTATAAAGAATACACGCGTATTGCATAAATATGTTTCCAATGCATCGTTATTGATTTTTGGCGTTTATTTTCATCATCGCTCTGATTATCACTACTTCCGCGATTCGAGGGATAAAATAACAATCACCAGTATAAAAAAGTTTGGTGTTTAAAAGAAATTTCGTACAGAAAAAAAAGATTATCTTAAATTAGTATCATGTTCATTGATATGCTTCCACTGAAGCTAAATAAAAGATTTATTAACACCATTGAAATTAAAGAAACCGTATAAAATACACAAAATAATAATATTTGTAATCAATAAAAATAAAAAAAAATTTTTTAAATTTTTTTTTGTAAAAAAAATTATATTCAAACTTCCATTTAATTGATATGTGATTTTTTTATCTTGTTTTATGTCTGATGATACACTGCAATAGGTCTAGAATAGTACCTGATGCGAATAAGTGAATGATTGTTTAAGCATTAAAATCCTTAGCAGTTGTGTCGAGTAAGAATAAAATGATGAAAAAAATAAAATTGTATCATACGCGGTATATTTGAATTTTATTTAACAAACATGGTAAATAATAATATTATTAAAATATTAATGATAATAAAAATAATAATAAATTATATAATTAGCGCGTATGATGCAATAATTTTGATGAATTTCCTTCAAAAGTGCTTGCTATCGATATCTTTTGTAAGAGAATCATAATTAAGAATGTGTGTGAATAATGCAATATTTGCTACACTTAATTTGTGAGTATAGAAAAAATAAAGAGAGGAGAAAAATAATTTTTGCACAGTATGTATCGACTCGAATCGTTTCACCGAGTTAACGGACGCGATGATGTTTATTATTATTAGTAATTTTATTGTCAAAACAGGCTATTGGCAAAATAGCATTGATACATAATAATAATTTATATGTTTTATTAATTTTATGTAATTTGAAATTAATAAGAAAATAATGTACAAGAAATGAAAAAAATAATAATAAAATCTCACGTGCTAATTACGAAAATCCGGTAATCTTTAAACGTTTTAAACTCATATACCGTTATTACGTTGCAGTGAAGATTTTTTAAAATAATTTGTATATTTTTATACAAGCCGATAGATCTGCGTCGATATTTTGATCTACCGACGTAGTTTATTTATGACATAATATCCGCGGTGATTATCGATGACATCCATTTAGGTATTATCCTATCATGCATGCATTTACCTCACATCGACACTCGTAGCTTCAGCTAACTAAAGAATGCAAATCTGATTTCAAATGAGTATATTTCGAAAAAAAAAAAACTTATTCAAAATGATAATACCAAAAAGTAAAACATTTGTCACTGTAGAAAGCTAAAAAAAGTTTAGATAATAATCCATAAATCATGAGTGGTGATTCTTTACTATATATTACATCACATTTGACCTCGACAATTTTTCTAATAATACATTTCAATATCAGAAAAAATTATCCGTCGCTCATTATTTTATTATTATTGTTGTTACGATGATGATTATTATTGCTATTATTACTTTTTAATTTAACGTAAATACTATGATTATTATTAATATTATTAATATTATTGTTATTATTTAAGTACATATTTCTGAACCTAATGATGGTAAAAAACCAAGAGAAATTAGATAAAACGTTGAAAGTGACAAAATTAAAATGTATGTGTGATAATGATTCAGAACATTGTTCTTATGATATTCTGTATCTAAAAATCAACTAATATTGTTAATTATTTTGCACTAAACGTTAAAAAGGATGATAATTATTTTTACACATTTAAATGCAAGGTATTTTTATGCCTTCTTAAAATAAAGATGCAATATTAGTGTCGCAGACTGATAAACATGTAATTTTACAAGCGAAGTAGATAGAGGACTTTCAAATAATATAAATAACACGCTTTCATAGCCAAACTGCCGAAAAAATGAACCAGAAATATATCGTATGCATATGTTTATTAACAAAGTAAATAAACAGAGTTTAGAGAAATGTTTTTGATAAAGAATAATTGATTTTTGGATACAGAATGATATTGTGTGAACTAAAAAGAATAACTTTATTTACAAAACTACTGTAACATGATTTCTTATAACAATCTTTAATTTTGCGAATTGACTATTGTAATTAATAAGATAATTAAGTAATAATATAATTTCTAGAAATTGTAATAAACGAGGAATTAAACGTGACTGATGTCGAGGATTAATTTTCATTGGTAAAAACATTGGTTTATTTTTCATTCAATGATACTTTCACATATGTTTTAAAATCAAAAAATATATTTTTGTTTTACTTGTAATTATTAATTTTTATTAAAACAACGATAAATCATTAACAAAAAAGAAATAAAACAAAGTACTGGATTAATGTCAGTATTTTTGAGTATGTTGGAATGATTTATTTTAATAAAAAAATTACTTTATTTATTCTTCTAAACGTAATGATCATTATAAATGAACAAAAGTTAAAAAAAATTGCCATTCAAAAATCATAAAATACAGTCTATATTTGAGCCAATTAGCAAACAAAAAAATGTATACAACTCATAGACTAAGGACTGGCCGAGACATGTTCCAAGCGATTTTATCCAAGTGATTTTAAATATGGATTTTATAATATCGTTGTCATATAGTTTAGTTATAATACTTGGAGTCATTCATTTAAATACTTCTATTAGTATATTTTTATTATATTTATCGTTTTTAAACTCAAACGAAATCATCATAATTGAATTATTTTTTGCATGAAGCTCGAGTGTGTGGTTTTTAACGTGAAAAAACAACAAAATAGGTAAACAAATAAATAATTGAAAATACTGTTGAGTCAGTCGCACGATTAATTTGTATTTCATTCAAATGATAATAATAAAGATTGTATTCATATTGATTTATTTTGTAGTATCAAGATCGCCTGCATTTTTATAGTAAAAGAAACACACTTACACTTTTGTAAATATGCATCATTCACTGTAATATTCATAGTCTTCGATTATCGATAAAACATTCATCATTTTTTGTTGATGATTTAGGTATCAATGATGCAAAAGTAATAATAGTCTTAAATATTAATGAAACAAATGTTACAAAATATTTGGTATTTTGGCAATACCTCAGAACGTGCCGCGGCCAGAAAAAAAAATAAAATAAGTTTCCTAACGACATGTGTAAAAACATTGTGTTCAGAATAAAATATACTATAATACGACTGAAATGCCCTGACTTGATGAAATCGACTTTCCAGATTAAAAATAATCAATAAATAAATGAACTACGCATTTTCTCAATCTCGAATGTCGTAATTCGTACTCGTTTCAGGGCGAAATTATAAGAAGTACATATACAGAAGCAGAAGAAAAATCCAAACCAATTTATTATGAAATAAAAAGAATTTAAAAAATCCCCACGCAAAAGAAGGCAAAAGGAAAATTGTATTTAACCTGTATACACTGACATATTATAATTATTATTGTGATTATTATTATATACAATACTGGATACTGGAATTAAGAATTTGAAACGATATTACATAAGATTAATAATAAACAAACGCATCTTCATCTCTGTTGCATGAATTTATTTTTGTTCAAACTTACCATGCCTTTTTATTATTTATTTCTCCATTTCTTATTTAACTCACTTTCTACTATAATGGAGATAAAATTTTTTATTAAAAACGATTTATACAACTTTAATTATATTGAATAAATATTAAAATATAAACAAAAACATCAATTATTTCTTACTGTGTACATGAGAAATTTTCAAACCTATGTTTTTTGAATTTGGATTCCCGACTCTAGCGTTTCTAGAGGCGTAAAATGGAAGTATTTATTTTGGGGGGAAAAAATTATACTTGAGTGTGCTGCACTCTTTGTTGTAACTTTTTTTGCGAGGTAAAAGCAAAATGGCTGACTATGGAAAGAAGAAATCATTAGTCAACGGCGTTTTTATTAAATAATTATAACAAAGTTACATTTATGGTGTTAGAATATATTGTTTACGTTAATTAGATTTTAAGGATGAGTTTTTTAGTTAAGAAAACCGGCGGAAGAATGTGGCATGAAGCTCGTAAACAAGAAAAAAAAATTCGCGGTATGCTCGTTGATTACCGAAGACGAGCTGAACGACGGAGAGACTATTATGAAAAAATCGTAAGAATTTGATAATTAAAACTATCATAACCTAATTTATTTTACATTATTAACAAAGTTTATTACTTATAGTTTGAAATTATTTTAATAATTTCTCATGCTACGACTTAATGTTTCAAAAGATTAATCAGTTTAATGTTTTTTGCTTTTAGAAATCCGATCCAACACAATTTCTTCAATTACATGGAAGACCATGTAAAATACATTTAGATGCAGCAGTTGCTGCAGCTGGAGACAGTCCAGCAAATATGTAAGGATGAAATAGAATAGCGATTGGAGGAGGATTTAAGATAATTTTTTTTTAATTTTTCTATACAATTTTTATCAAAAGGATGCCATGGCAAGGACATGAGGACAATTTGATCGATAGATTTGACGTAAGAGCACATCTCGACTGGATTCCAGAGCCACCGAACAATATTGATGTTGATATACCATTGACAAGTGAAGATAGACATATCAATTACGAAAGATATCGAATTATTGTTCAAAATGAATTTTTAGGAGGTACGTGTTGTTAATAGAACTCAGTGTGATTGATCGAACAATTTTTTAAAAATAAAATTATAATTTTTTTTTTTTTTAGTAAGTGAAGAAAAATTTCTACATCAAATCCATTTAGAAGAACAATTTGGTTCTTCAACTAAACCAGATTATGCAAAAGAGAAAAAAAAATCAAGTAATAATGCAGCTATTGGATATAATTATGAAACAGATGAGCCAATTTCAGAATCTGTTAAGTCAGATTTTCATTCTGCCGATGACAAGGGTGAAGATGAAGATAGTGATATTGATTTAGGTAATATACTTAAACATTTACAATATTTTTTCTATTTATATAAACTTTAAGATATAATTATTATTGTACATTTTATTTTTTTACTTAGATATTTGTGTTGATGTATCACAAATTGAACCATCACAAGCACATGAAATGAATCAAGTTGCACAAAAATATGGTTTAATAGGAGCAGATTATTTCAGTTTTTTAACGCAAGATTTTGAGGAAGCAGAAACTTTAAGACAAGCACGGAAACAAGAAGAAGAGAAGGCAATGTACTCAGGAAGACGGTCGCGAAGAGAAAGAAGAGCTTTTCGTGAAAAAAAAATGATTGGTCGAATAATGAGTCCACCAAGGTAATGAAGATGTAGATTAATATAAATTTTAATCTATTATAATTTCAAAAATATGTTTATTTATATGAATATTTCAAATTATAGTTATGCAGCTCGGGAAAGTCCAGAATATAATCCTTACAGAAAATCTTCCTCAAAATCTCGTTCACGATCAGCTTCTCCTGTTAATGCCGGTCAAATTACTTATATTACTAGTTTTGGTGGAGAGGAAGATACTTTTGCTAGTTCTTCCCAAGTAACATCTTCAAGTACAAAAAAAATGAATTATTCTCATTTAAGAAAAAAAGGATCTGACAGTCCACCATTCAATGAAAGAGTAATTAATAGAAGATCATTGAAATCTAGATCACGAAGCCGATCAGCTTCAAGAAATAGATCTAGAACTTATAGATCAAGAGATAAGAAACGAAGTCCATCTCGATCGAGGTATATTAAACATTACTTTTTATCTAAAATTTAAATTTACTTATGATTACTTGTTCATCATGTTTATAATAATTATGCGACTTTGTAAAATATATATTTTATTATTTTTTAGGTCACGGAGACATCGATCAAGGCCTCGAAAATTCGGACGATCAAGATCAAGGAGTCGTTCACGTCGTAATCGAATGAGACATCATAGAAGTACGAGCTCATCACGATCTGTTTCTCGCTCGCGAACCAGGTCACGTTCACGACTAAAGCGATCATCGTCCTCCAAAAGTTATTCACGTTCGAGATCGAGGTCAAAGTCACACAGCCGTTCATCAGCTAATTATCGTAAAACGCGTTACTCCAAATCAAAGTCGAGGTCAAGGTCGCGTTCTCGTTCAAGGTCTAAATCACCTTCGAAATCTAGGTCTAGGTCGAAGAGTCGAAACAGCGTGGGTAAACGATCAAAAAGTGTGGAGAATAAAAATACTTCTACTTTGCCAAGGTAGATTTTTTATAAATATGCTTTCGTATTTATTTACATAAGTATATTTGATTAATTTTTTTTATAAAGGTATTATGGTCGTCGTGGAAAGTCTTCTAGTTTAGAATTGGAATTATCGGATGATGAGGAGAAAAATGCTCAAAACAATACTCCTAAAACTTCGAATACTAGTTTGAACATGTTAGTATTTATTAGAAATATTTTAGAAAATTAAATACTAATTAAATATTTTCTTATAAATACAAAAACTTTTTTTTTAGGAACAAGCCAAAAGCAGGGTTAAGTACGAATTCTGGTGGCGGACACAAAGTCAGTAAGAACCATAACGCTTTCTTAGACTTTTTAAAGCACAGATCAAAGAAAGAGATCATAATTAATCCTGTAAAAGAAACTACGTCGTCTAATCATCTGTTTCATATTATAAAAACTTTTATTAACTTCCCAGTGGGAAGTTATAGTAATGGGTCCGATTTTGCGAATCTCAAATTTTAACATATCTTCACGTTTCAAGACCCACCAAGTCGAATACAATAGTTTTTGAGTAGACGTTGTGTGTGTGTGTGTGTGTATGTACGTATGTACGTATGTTTGTACGTACGTTCGGAATTATTTTTCGCTTCGATTATTTCGAAAACAAAAAATGATCTCGACGTGGGACTAATTGCATTTGACACATAACGACGCAACGTAGAACTGATAAGGTTTTCAGTAAAATCGGTCTTGCCATTTTTTTGTAAAATCAAAAAACTGGTAAAAAGCTAAATCTTATCATTCTTTCCACTGGGAAGTTAGTCGTGTGGGCCTTTAAGGTCGCACCCAGACCACTGGAGAGCACTGATATTTTTCTTTTTATTTATATTTATATAAAATAAAATAGGAAAAAAAATATTAGTATTTCAAAAAATATAATCGTATGGATAGATAAAACATTATAATTAAGATTTAGTTTTCATTCAACAAATGAATGTTTAAATTCTTTAGGATTTTTTATTTGTCGAATGGAATAATTTAGTAGTTTGTTAAAATATGTTAGTCATGATTTTTTTATTTTTCAGTCGACCAAAATTACACCCCAAGAGCGACTTAAAAAAAAGACTCAAGCCTTATTGAATCGTCAATGTAAGTGTCTCTTCCATTCAACAATATTTTATGTGTTAAATTGAAAAACTTAAGTTTAAATATAATGTTTTTTGTAGATAAAGCCGATAAAAAGGCTGAACAAGCCCGAATAGAAAAAATGGAGCAGCAACAGCAAGATCGAGAAGATGAAATTCGAGAAATGTCGCTGAAACTTCGTCGAAAGTAATTTCTACTATTAATATTTTATACATTTCATATTTTTTAAAGTAATGAATTTAAACATTAATAATATTTAAAAATATTTTTTTCAGGCAAAGAGAAAGAAGACATCGCTATGAAGGTCATAGTTCTGAGTCTCGTTCAACTATGTCAAGATCGCCAAGTCCTGGAGGAAGAAGTCCTAGGCATTCGATAAATCGAAGAGACAGAAGAGATAGAGATATGAATATGGATATTGATAGGGAAAGAGAAAGACGAGATAGGGATCAAAAAGATAGACAAGAATCAAGAAGAAGATATAGAGATCCTTCACCACGATCTTTGAGTCCTCAAAATAATCGGTAGATTTTCAAGAATTTTAAAATCAAATAATTTGATGAATAACTATAATATTTTTTACATTTAAAATATTATTTATTTACTGAATTTATTAATTTTTCAGTGGTTTGGTTGACTATTAACCAAGTCAATACGCACAATCTTCCATCCAACAATCTAGAATTTATGATAACCTGGATACTTTAAATAATATTTAACTTTTTCGATTGTTATTGTATATTTGGTGGTGTTGAAATGTTGTGCATTTCTTTTGACAATCGTGACGCTCGCTGTTTTATTATTACTCTGCAATATTCAGTATATTTTTTTCAATCAACTGTTTATTATAATCAACTGAATTATTATTATTCAAAAAAAAAAAAAATTAATAAAGTTAATGTTAAATAATTCTGATTTATACAAGAACCTTCAAACAATTAAATGAATAAAAAATTACGTATAAAAATTATATCCTCAGATAGACCTTTACCCTTTACGTAATACCATAAAAGATTTTTAACTGCCAGTTAAAGAAAAAATCCAATACTATAAAAATGCATGAAATAAAAACAAGTTGCAATTTTGTTTCAATATCTTTACATAATTAAAAGTAAGTTTTAATTATTGTGAATTTCAAAAAGATCTCAAAAATATACTAATAAATATTATCAGAATTAATAGATAACCGATAATTATTTGATAAGATAAGTTGTACTATAAATATATTTGCAAAAGGAGATTCCAATTAAAAATCAGTATTAGATGTAGCGTAGTCGATAGGATGTCGATTTCAATTGGTATTTTAACAAGTAAGTATTCATAAAAGAATAATACGATTAATTTATTTCCAAGTATTCTTATGACCTTCTTTCCTCAGTTTATAAATCATTGATTAAATTATTTTACTTTTATTTATCTTTTAATAAATTTCCATGCTTTAGTTTACGCGGTTAATGATCATTTGAGGTTAAAATCCAGTATACGCTTAATTATATCAAAAAATTGTAGCAAAGTCTCTATAAAATAATGTTTTATAACTATTTTGATTTAATATTCTAGTTAGTGATACATGTTGTAAGGATGCATCTAAAGATAAAAGTGGACCAGAGTTGGAACGTTTAATTACAACATCTGATAATAATATAGGTATAGCGATCAAAGGAGCTGTACTAAAAAAAAAAATTGTATCTGATGATGAAGAACAAATCAAGGTTTAAATAAATTATTATAGACTCTATAAATTCTATTAATATTTTAGTTTATTAATGAGTCACGATTTTGCAGAAAACTTTAATAAAATGGTCAGATAAATTGAAAATTAACGTAATTATCACAACCGGAGGAACTGGTTTTTCTAAAAGAGATGTTACTCCAGAAGCTACTCGAAAAGTTATTAAAAAAGAAGCTTTAGGACTTTCATTAGCTATGATTAATGAAAGTCTTAAAACCACATCAACTGCTATTCTATCGAGGTATCTTAGTTAAATTCAATAATCACTGTAATTTTCAACAGAGTTTGTACTATTCAATATATTGAATATTTTCAGATCAGTATGTGGAATCAGGGATGAAAGTTTAATTATCAATTTACCTGGGTCAGTTAAAGCAGCTAGAGAATGTTTAGAAGCAATTGCTTCAGTAATTCCTCATGCAGTGGACTTAATTCTTGACAATAAGTCACATGTAACTCAAGCTCATTCTGATATCCAAAGATCAAGTTATAGACATGGAGATGATCTCAACACTTCTGTAAGAATTTCAATTGAATTTTTATTAAATTATTTGCATACACTCTTATACTTTTAATATACTTAACTTTCTGTTCAGTTTACTATGGGTGGTGTTGCTAGCCGGCTTCGTAGTTCGCCATATCCAATGGTATCGATGGATGAAGTAGCAAAAATAATTTTTAACGAAGTAACTCCTTTATATGGATATGACACTGTTAAACTGGGAGATTGCCATGGAAGAATTCTTTTTGATGATGTTCACTCTCTCTGTAATTTACCGCCTTTTCGAGCATCAATCAAAGATGGTTATGCAGTAATAGCAGATGATAAAAGTACTCAAAAAACTGTACTAGGTGGATCAGAAGCTGGTCAAATGGTACACTTATTATTCTTACATATTTTTTACTTCTGAAATAAATTTCAAAAAATTCATGTTTCACTAGCCAAGTTCTATGAAGCTAACTAAAGGTTGCTGTGTAAGAGTTAATACTGGAGCTCCAGTTCCTGATGAAGCAACAGCTGTTGTACAAGTGGAAGATACAAAACTTATTTCTAAAAATGATGATGATTCAGAAAAGGAAATTGAAATTCTAAACCAACCAACAGAAGGTCAGGATATTAGACCCATTGGAAGTGATATTCGAAAAGACGAAAGAGTTATGCTACGTCGTACAAAAATTGGAGCTGCGGAAGCTGGAATATTAGCAGCTTGCGGGTATGCTGCAGTTTCAGTGACTCGAGTTCCTAAAATCGGAGTTTTATCTACTGGAAATGAACTACAACCAGCAGGCGATAGTCCAAAACTAGGACGCGTTTATGATAGTAATAAAATTACTTTGATTATGTTACTTAAAGAGTATGGCTTCGATGCAGTAGGAGTAGGAATTGCTAAAGACGAGTAAGAATATTGTTTTTTTTATTAAAGCAAATCACTCAATCTTTACCACAAATTTTACCTTGATTTTTAGAGAAAATGTCTTGATTAATGCTATCTCCAATGCTCTTAAGGTGGTTGATGTATTGATAACTACAGGCTCTGTGTCAATGGGCGACAAAGATATGTTGAAACCAATCTTAAGTGAAGTATTTAAAGCTAAAATACATTTCGGGCGTGTGAATATGAAGCCTGGAAAGCCAACAACATTTGCAACTTGTGAGTTTGACGGAAAAGCCAAGTATATTTTGTGTTTACCGGGTAACCCAGTCTCAGCAACTGTTACTGCTCATCTATTTGCTATTCCTATTTTAAATCGATTGACTGATGATCATACAAAACCTATAATCATTCGCGCTCGTGTAAGTATTTTCTATCAACGTTATGAATTTATTCCGGTACTAAGTATTAAATTGATTTTAGTTAACGAGTTCATATAAATTGGATCCTCGGCCTGAATACGCAAGAGTCATTTTACAGTGGGACAATGATGATATTCCGAATGCTTATAGTACTGGCAATCAAATTAGTAGTAGATTATTGAGTTGCAAAAATGCCAATGCTCTGTTGATGTTACCTGGACGTACTGCTGATTGTAATGAAAAAAGAAAAGGTGATATAGTTCAAGCGATGCTCTTGGGTTTTGGTCAAATTGAAATTTGAATTGGGGATCAAGAAATTTATTACTTTCGATAAAAAAAATCTGAAATGTATTATTTTCAAAGCACAAATAAACTTTTTTTACTTAAAAAAAAAAATTAATCGAAATAACATTGTAATTTACATAGTCAAAAATAAATGATAAAATTGATAAAAATAGTAAATAATATCTTTATATATAATTAAAAATTGATTCTTCCGATGAAATCCTGATTTTTTTTGTTACATATCGTTCAGTAAGATAATAATATGTTGTAAACAGTTAAACTTGATCTTGAAAATATACTGTCTTCGCGACGAAGTCGCGGGTATATGCCAGTTTTTTGAGAAGACGTTTAATTGTGCAAGTGTTTATGAACACATAAACGACATTTAACTTTCTGCACGTTGCATGCCAATCGCACATTTATTGTAGTTCTATCTGATGGGTAAAATTAACGATAATTAATGTCAATGTTTAACATTTCTGAAAGTAACAATCGCGACATAATAAGGTAAAATACATAAGACTTGGCCCAATTTTTGTAACGTTCTCTATTGATAGAAAATTTGTGGACATGATTCTTAAAAATTGGGCCAAGTCTTATTAAATTTTTTTAGCTAAATACTTTTTCAAATTGAGTAAAAATTAATTGAAAAAAAAAATTATTGTAAATTTTCATCAGCAAAATTACTTTTTAAATTATTTAAAGACAATTCGAAGAAGTAGTTTCTTACACTATTCATCGGAATTAAAAAAAAAATGACTTAATTTTATGGATGACATGGCATTCCATTTGATTTCAAATCTTTTTGCTGTTTTAAAATTCTTTTAATTAATTAATTATTGAAAAATGACAATTTTATCGGGTATGATTTTTTTTACAAAGTTCTATCGTAATTAACAACAATTAGAAGAAATTCCTTAAAAAAAGAGCAGTTAGAAAGTTACAATTTATTAATTTTTTAAAAAATGTTTGCTGATTATTGTTATTTGTAACAAACCTTGATATCTTTCTAATAATAAAAAAAATGGTTTTACATTCCAAAACATCATATTTGAAATAAAATCACAAATTTAATAGTTTTTTTGATTCAGCTTAAACTTAAAAAATGTAAGATTGGAAACTGAATATGAATAAAAACCATTTCCACCGTCGATAATTGCTAACAATTGCTAACAATAATGCTCCCGAATGTAACATTTAGATGGATGTGGCACCCCTTTTTAGTACCGACGCGCTAGCTCCCGGCAAGGCCGAAAGCTATTTAATATAATAATAACGATAATAATAGTAAAAGGATACGCGTCGAACCACCTCTTTATCTTACACCGTGGCAGTAATTTTACATAACCTTTACGCCGGTAAGCATATTAACAACAGAATATTATTTAATATTTTTATCTTAGTTAACATAAATAATGGGAATAAAATTTCTAACTATACATTGTTTTATATTTAATTCATTTATTAACTTAAAGATTTATATTTTTTGTTCATGATTTATATACATTTCAGAGGAAGAGAACTAAAAATGGTAAAAATTGCCCTTAGAGTTAAAGCAACTTTAGAAAACATTGAAGAACTAAAACCCTTTGGTCCTGAATTCCGTTGGTGTCTGAAGTTTACATGTTCTAATTGTGGAGAAAAATCAGAAAAATGGAATTACGTCTCTTTATCTGATGAAGTTCCAGCTCAACACGGAAAAGACACGTATCATTTCTCTAGCAAATGCAAACTTTGCTCTCGAGTTAATACTGTTTCAATAATTAAAGATTCAATTAAATCATATACAATTGATGATCAGGACACATTTAAACCTTTAGTAGTATTTGATTGTCGTGGTGTTGAACCAATAGATTTTTCAGCTCGAGACGGTTGGACAGCTAAAGCTATTGATGGAGGAAAGGAATTTACAGACGTTGATTTAACTGAAAATTCATGGGCTGAATATTGTGATAAAATCAAACAACCAGTAGCCATTTATGAAATTGAACATACTTTTGACAGAGTAAAGTAAATATAATAAGAAACAGGGACGGAGAAAAATGAAGTTTAATAAGATAATAAATTTTTCTTTAAATAACAACGACATAATATAATTTATTCATAATCATATACAAAAAAAATCATTATTCAGATAAATATCCCAATATAGAGACAATTATTTTTAACAATAGTCTTAATAACTTAACATCAAGTTATTTAATCCATTTATTTTCTACCCTGCAATGTCCGTCGGATGACTAGAGACAAATCCAAGCAGGGAAACACAAATCGAAATTATTGGTAGTATAGTTGCGAATTACATAAATATATGAAATGTTTGAGTGTCAAACTGTAAATACCATGATGGAATGTATGTATGCCATTACAATAAATTAATCAGCTTTCTTTCAATTAAAATTAAGCTATGCATTGTTGGTGCTTATCTATTTTTTTATAGTTGAAAAAATAATTTCTCTTGAAACGAAATTATTGTAGTTGGCAGACAAACAATTTATTAAATTATTATTGTTCTTAGAATAATAAGTATAAAAAACTTGAAATAATATTTATCATTCTTCTATTAATATGTTTGAGCATAAGTAGGAATTTAAAAAATGTATGAGATAATAATTAAACAACATTATTTGAATATAAATATATATGCTAGTACGTATTTAATCTAATTCTAAAATTTTCTAAAGTTGTTTACTACGTAATAATTCTATTTCCTAAATGAATATTGCATTGATAAGCAATTAATCTATTGCTTATGTAACGTAAATATCCTAAGTTAAATCACATAGAAATGATATTCTAATAATTAATAAATCTAATCGTAGTAAATCTATCAGTCTATTCTCACAAAAATATCACTGTCACTGAAAGATGTTAAAGTAAGACTTAAATTAACTACATTCTACAGTTCTTGATTAATAAAAATAATTTATTAAAATCTAATGAATATTCTTTGAATAATGAATTAAATTTTAAAAGAGAATAGTTACGCTATACTGAGTCAGAATATTTATTTCTTTTTACTAATGAAGCAAAGATATTTTGTTTTTGTTCTAGTTTCTACTTTATTATCTTTGGTATACTGATGGAGAGAATTAATATCCTATCGATAAACATGAAAAATGTCATGGTTGATTATTTATTAATGACAAGTATCGACACATGAAGTAGGAACATTGTAAATGACAACTTACCATGAACATTTTCACATGAAAGAAATTATTGAAAACCATTCAACAGAAATAATACTTGTATTTTATATTCAATGGTCTATTGTGAGGAATAATCTCGGTCATCCATTCTTATAAGTCAATAATAACTTTATATATCCAGCTGTTGAACTTCGTATGACATCCATTTGGTTTTAATAAAGTTATATCACTTAGGGTGTCAAATAATATATTTATAATTATCTGGGCCATATACCCTTATTCAGTGATGATTTGAGTCATTTCAAAGTTAATTTTTTCTCTTTATGATAACTTCTATTTGATTAAAATTAAGATAGATAATTATCAATGTAATGATTAGAATTTTATAGAATGTTATATTTGAAATAAAAAGATACTTTGATACTGAGAAATTTAATCAAAAATATGTCTGATAGAGAAAATTAATAGATTAAATCAGTTTAAGTGAATCCTGATCTCAATTTGCATTATAGATAAGAATTACAATTTGATAATAAACTTTCAGCATAGATTATATATAAAAAATGAACACTTAGATAGGCCCGAATTAAAACCCTGTTGGATAGATCAACAAAATCAGTGAAAAAAGAATATATAGTTCCGAAATATTCTCAAGTGCGATCCCAAAGCTCTATCTTATATAAAACTTCAGACTATCACAATAATATTAATCGCTTTTGTAAAAAGTGCAAACCACCAGGAAAAATACCCTGAAAATATTTCTGTAACACGTCATAGAAATCTGATTTCTCTTTAATCTTCCTCATGTTGTAGACAACCAGAAAAATATATGAGTCTCCCTGCAGGTTTTTTTAAAACCCTTGAGTACCTATAGACGATTAGATTCGGTAAAAAAAGCAGTTCTTTGAGAGATAAAATTCGAGTAAAGTATCGATTCAAGGCAACTCGTCGTGTAGGATCGTGTCCTGCAGGCACGTCTGTTTTAGAGTAGCCGATTGATCCTCGAGGCTGCGCTTTAGGCCCTCGATTGTATGCATTAACATCTGCCTCCGGAGTTGTGTTAGATGATGCTGAAAGAGTTGAGAGTCTTGTGCACTGAGATTTGCATCTGCTATCATTCTTTCTTGACGAAGCTGTACTATTTTCTCACGTAATGTTCTTCTGGAATCATCTAGAATTTAAATACTTGTATTAATAATCATCTTTTTATACAAAACCTTTTAAATATGATCAATTTTTTAGTACCTGTATCGTCTGTAGCAGTATCACCATCAGAGTTTCTTAAAACTACATGTCTTTCACCCAAAGTTTTTTGAATTCTACCATAAGTTGCACTTCCTGCATACACTTTTCTTTTCACTGGCTCACTTTGTGGACAGTAGTAAGTGCTTTCTTTGATCGGTCCCATGTCCACAGACCTATATGAGCAATTACTAAATTAATTTAACATTATTTAGCATAAGAAGAAAACACGTACCGAAATGTCATGAGTGGTGTGCGTTTCTTCGAATCACATCGATCGTCTGAGTCGGAGGAACTAGAAGTTGGGAAATCTTCTTTCGTCTGTCTCAATGGGTCTTTTCTACTTATACTAGTAGAATTTTGAACTAAAGGGTATGGTTGTTCCCTTGAATAAGTAGACTCTACCCTACTATCTTGACTAAAAGATCTGATATTATTTATTTCTATTCCTCTTGATCTTGATCTATCTCGTACTTCTTGTTCAATCATCATCATTCTATTTTGCATTAAATTACGACATGGAGAATTTTGAAGCATTCTACGAGTCATCACCGGCGAGTCTGCACTTTTTTCTGGTCGATAGTGATAATTTTCTTTGATAGCGTTTCCTGAATTACGTTCCATAAAGCGATGAACCGGTGAACAAGGCTGATTAAACTGTCTTTTTGGACTAGTGTGTTCTAAATCTCGAATGCTTCCACTCTGCAATTCCGGTTGTGAATTTCGACTTTTCGACAATGCGAGTTCAATATTCAACTCAGTGTTTTTTATCAACTCTACTCTTTTATTAGCAAGGCCATTGTGAATTCTTCGAGGGGATGGAACAGCAGGTGAGGTAGTATTAGTAGTAGTAGTAGTAGTAGTAGTAGTATTTTTCATATTCACGAGAATATTTTCAGCTTCAAGAATTAACTCACGATATTTTTTGTCTGCTTCTTTATCTGCTTCAATCAAAGCTATTTCTGATGCAAAGGTTGTCATATAAGAGTTGCGTGAAATCTGTTGTCTTAACATATTACCATTAACATAGCTCACTGAATTAGACCTACGTTTAACAACGTTATTATCTGTAACACTGGGTTGAACAAAGCTTTGATAATCTTCATTCTGTCTCAAAGGTGACAAATTCTCGTTTATATCATGATGCCTACGACGTCTAAGACAAATTGGTGTACCGCCTACACTTCGACTGCCTTGATTGAAGCCTGAATTTTTTAACAACATCCTCTCTACCAGAACCCTGTTTATATTGGCTGTAACTTCATCGCACTTGTCTAGGATAGCTTTTTTCCGTTGAGATTGGCGTTTTTTGCGTCTCTCACTGGGTTTGTCTTCTAATTTTTTGTGTCGCTGACTTTGACGTTTTGAATTACTCCTTGAACTTGAGTTCCTATTGATTATTTATTCATATATTATTTTGAATTCTAATAAATAATAATAATAATAATAATTTAATAAGGCTGTATTACCTGTGAATTTCATCCTTAGACCGTTTTCTCAACAATGACTCTCTAATTTTGCTACTACGTCTAGAAAGTTCACTTGTAAAAGTGAAATAAGTACAATGACCAGTGTTGGGTAGATGAACATCAAGATTATCTAAATCTAAGAGGCTCCCGTTATCAATGTAATCAAAGTCATCATTTTCAAATGGATCATTTTCATCACCACCATCTTGACCAGTATCTACATCTGACGGTGAATTATTGACATAATCCTCACAATCAGTTGGATCACTGTCGGAAAGGATATCAGTCTCCTTTTCATACACGTAACTCTCATCAAATTTGCCCATCATTTCATTAAGCGTAATGTCATCTTCAGATGATCGAATGCTATGCGTTAAAGATGACGTTGAAGAACTACTGCTACTTCGTCTTATGAGGGCATGCGATAATTTTGATTTTGCTTCCATTCCAGGCGAAATTCTCCAATTTTGATTTATTCTATAATAATTTGAAAAAATTATTTTAATTTTATAAGATAGAAGTAAAAACTAACTTGTATAAATAAAGTCTTTGGAGACAGAAATGTTGAAAAAAAGTTGTAAGACACTGGAGAGATTATGTAATTAAAAAGTTTAAATTTGAAAAAAGGCATTTAAATAGTGAAAATTTAAAAGTAGTCATTTCATCTAACAACGATTGTAAAACATTTCACTACATAAAAACGAATTCAATTTTTTCTTCAACTATAATTAGATGATGAAAAAACTTATATAAAAATTCTAATGTTATATTTTTTTTTTCCTTCAACAAAGAACATCAATTGAGATTATTTGAAAACATATGCATAGTAGAATAAATTCAATGATTTGATATACTCACGGACTACGCCCAACACTGAGACTTTCCTGGCGACAATCCCTTCTACCAAGGCCGTTCCTATGGTTATTAAAATTTACATCGCTAGTACTTCCGGAAGACTCAGTGAGTTTAAGACCGGAACTGCTACTACTCTCGTCTAAAGTTATATGGGACTTGTAGCCACCGTTACCTCCACTACCGGCACCACCCGTAGTGGTGCTGGATCCTGAAGAATTGGCTGAAAGCCATGGGTTTGTTCGTATGCGAGAACGTTGTCGTGGCGATTGCACTAAGGGTGAAGACACCAGAGGTGGAGGAATTGACGAGGGCACTGGCAAACTATTTCGCATCGTTACATCCGATGCTGAGTATGAGTCTGTTCTTCTATGTTGAGGGGATTCCCGTTGATGAGTCTGCAAATTTAGTTGACACTGCTGTTGTATACGATGATTTGCTACTACTTCGGTACCCTGCTAGAAAAACAACAAAACTTTTTATTACTACGATTATTTTTGTTCAAAATAAATATTGTTTACTCCAGAGAAAAAAATACTCGAAAGATTAAAACGTTTTTATATATTACATGGAGCTTTGTAAGTTATAAAAAAATTTTTTAATTAAATAGCTATATTTAATGAAAATATCAAAATAAATCTTCCACTAAATAGTAAATAGTGTAATACTGAAATCATACTAATAGCTATAAATCTTTTGAACTTTTTTCAAAAAAATTCTCCAATCGCGTTAAATAAAATTTTATCTATTTATTTCAGCTCAACAAACAGTAAAATCCCCGATGTTAAAATTTTACGAATATTTTCTAGATAACTTTACCTCGATATTTTTTCGATTTTACGATTATTTCATAAATGCAAAATGCCTTGCGAAAAACTGTCAATTTTAAATGAAACTATCCCGCGCATGAATGTTGATTTCCCTTTTCCAGAATGTCAGCTTACCAGCAATTCGATTTGCATACTAAACGAGCCGCTGGTCGTTTATTGGATGCTTGAATGACGAACGTAAAACCATTTATTTGAACTGACATGTCTTTAACACGATATCTAGCAATGACTGCTATCTATCAAGCTAAGAAGAGCAATCAGAAAATAGATACATAAAGAATAGCAAATAAATAAAACAATTTACTAAATAATTAAAGATAAATTTTAACATTTTGTTCGAAAATAAACTAAAGTCAATCCATAATTTTTTAAGTTTTCTGTAAAATCGACAATTTGATTGAATTATTTGTGTTATTAGATATATTGAAAAATATATTGCTTTTTTTTCATTGAATTGATTGCTATTTTAATAATTAATTATTTCATAAATCTTTCAATTATTCGTATTAAGCATTTTAAATCGAATAATATATGTCTATTAATTATATAATAATTAATATAATAAAAATTTTATTTGTTTACATCAGTTAAAAATATTTGAAACAATAGTTGTTAAATATTTGAAGAGAGTGTAAATAAAATGATTAATCAAATTTAAAAAACATTTTGGAAACAAAAAAATAAAAATAATTATTCATTTATTTATGTCAAGTATACTAGAAAAGTGTGACACAGTAGTTTTTAATGATGTACTTAGGCTGGAAGAAAAAAAAGTAACGAATACTTAAAAATTAATTATCACAAATTTTAATTATTGAAACGAGGTCAAAATTTTGGTATTGTTTGATTTTATCAACAGGCTGTGTTTATAATGATCGCTTTGTAAGCATAGCCATCATTGAACGTAGCTCTGAGAGTTCGTGACCTAAGATTAGCTAGTGTCCCTCGTCGGGTTCAAAGACACGGCCGTCGGCTAGTTCATTGGGGGATCTAGTCTCATCAAAGCTTTTATATTTATTCTCATGTCTCTCTACTATGTCTCTATTACTTCAAAAATATTATTCTGCTTTCATTTTTTAGCAATCTTCAGTGTCAAACTGTTTCAAAGGTTTCATTATTAAATATTATTTTTTATTTCAATTTTTTAAGGTATGATTATTGAAAATTAACCATCTAAAATGAACAAGTATTTCATTTTATAAATATTATTAACATTATTAATAGATAAAATAATTATTAGTTAAATATGCAGAGTATTTAGTAAATGGGTTAAATAAGTTGGTAGAAACGCAATTAAGATGTTTGTCTACTGATCTATTTACCTTAATTTATGTTGAATAAATTATATTATATTTAAGTATGATATAATCACCTTAAAGGGAGTATTTGATTTAACTTCTCGGATAAGCTTATTTTCTCGTGTCATATTAATATTGCTGTTAGTCTTGATCTCAATGCATTCGTCAAGCTGCTTTTCATTTCCCGGGACGTTGAACACCCCACTTTCGTTGGGTCTCTTGGTCCTACCCCCTTTATTACTTTGAAAATAATGTGTCCCCGTCCTGATATTTATGTAATACTCTGGTGGAAAGCTCGCCCCTGGCGAGGTACCGTCCGTTGAATATCCTGTACTATAAGCGCTTTCCGGTGATGAAAGGTTAACACTTCCTGTTCCACCCGAAGTCTCTGAGGAAGAATTTGTAGTACCACCCACGTAGGTCGTCGATCCGTTACTTAAAATAATGTTGTCTACGTTTTTTACTGGAGAATTCAATGGATGAACCTGCAAATTATTGACATAATTTTTTAGTTTTAAACTAAATTATCTTATTTTTTTAAGCAATCTATTAATGTTATTAGAAAAATAACTATTTATAAGTTTTAAAAGTGAGCAATAAATTTTATCTAAAGAAAGATAAAAAAATTGTTTTTACAATTTAATAAATAATAAATAAGTAAAACAAAATAACAATCGATTGAATAAATAATGAGAGAATTTTATGTAAGTCGTCATGGATAACAAGTATCTCTTATAATCAGTTCAAAGAGACTGTAAATGGAAAGAGAAATGAACTCTATAATTGGGTAGCTTGTAGAAAATAGACAGCTTTGAATTCCATATAAAAGGTAACTTCAAATTAAAAAATCCTTCAAGTTTATTTCAACCAGTGTATACATTTTGTGATAGTCTAGTGTCTGATCTAGATCTCAACGTTTCTACTTCATTTTCAGTTGGACAATTTTTAAGAGATGAATACACCCGTCAATAGAGAACAGATGTTACAAAAAAATTTTCTTTTCTCAACAATTCTAAAAATAAAACTAAACTTTAGTAATTAACGAACGATTTTTACTTTTTAAACTAATTAAACTTTTAACAACATTTAAATAAAAGTTTCTTATTGTTCTCAATTATTGCACTATTTTTATCCAATTAAAATAAAACTATGCTTTCAGGAAGTTTTTTTGTTCAGTTACCTTTGAACTTCTCCGTTAATAAACAAAAATGAGAAAAGATGAACACAATAATTTTTATCGATCCCATCAAGACATGGGGAACGAGAAAAAGGATTAAATATCATAAATATCAGCTACTCTGGCAAATGAGACTTTCATTAAGGGTGAGAACAAGTGTTGAATATTAAAGAGACCCCTGCAGAGGCTCTAAATATCTGAAAACAATATATCCTTCCCCTAGGGGGATATATGATAGTATTAATTTTTTTTATTTTAATGAAGATGAAAACAAAAATATAAAAATAAAAAAAATATATACCTGATGAAGTCCTGGCGATCGATTGTTACTTTGGCTACCCGGAGAATTGCAGTTTGAGTCAAAGCCTTTTTCTCCTTTCTTTCTATCCTTCTTTTTTTTCGGTCGCACGATATGCGCCTCCATCCACGTGCGCAACTTCGTGCCGAACATGATTACGCCCGCAACAGAATTATTATCAACCTCGCCCTGTCTTCTGAGCTTTTGTGGATCTTCTAAGTTTTATCTTCAGGGTATTAAACTTTGCTATTTATTCCTCCGTCCACAATCTTAATAAGTCTTTTAAATTGATAATTATAGATTTTGTTTTATTTTCTATTTTCATTTCTTGGTATTCGTTTTCGAAAATTTTTGTCTTTTTCCATCCAGTACCCACATCTTATAACCATTTGATAATCTGCAACAAACAATTAAGGAGCATCATTAGACCAATAAATGTAAAATCGCGAAACCAAAATTACCTTAGAAGTAAAATTGTAAGGTCTGAAAACTTTATGAAAATCAAAAATCATTCAAACTTTTTGTACAGATTTTTTTCTCAAAGAATGCTGGGAATTTTTCAATAATAATAAAAAAACTTTACAGTTTACAGTCATGTCTAAAAAATTGACTCTTCTTATATTGGGAAGTTTTAAAAAGTTTTGATGTAAAGAACAAAAAGACAGCAGTAACTTCTCTGACATTCTTGACATTTATTATTGGACTTTTCGATTGTACGAAAATCAAACTAAAAAAAAATTATCTAAAAAATTAATAGCGAAATAATAGATTTTTCTTTGACCCAAATAAGCAAAACATAGTTTAATGTGACACGTTATACTGTCAAAAGTTGTATTTTATTTAAATAAATGGGAAAATACTTAATAATAATCTGCTTGTGGTTTATATTGATCAACTTTATAAAAAATTACTAGTGCTTCATTTCCGTTGTTCGTGACTATTTTTTACCCTTTTCTCTTGTCACGGTCTACACTTCTAATGGATCCAAACTGTGCTCAAAACGATATGGAGTTTTGGCACGCATCCCAAAAATTCTTTCATTTATTCTTCATTTTTTAACTACCACGTCAAGGGAGAATATATTAAAATAATTTCGAAATACAACCGGAATAAAAACATTAATGGTTTAACAATTTCAGTTAATCTTTCAACAGGATACATTGTTGCATAAAATTTATTTTCCAGCCGATCTAGTCATAATTTGAATCTAGTTAACTTGCTTGTATTCTATTAACTTTACTGGCATTATACACTGCTTTTGGCTTCACCTCACCAGTATTCATCGCATCCGTTTGTCCATCGTATTTATAGATAACGCAGGCTGTTCAATGCTACCATACGCACTCACCAAACTCCTGGTTGCATTGTACATAGTGAAGGGTTAGTGTGACCACAACCCTCTAGGGAAATATATACTCTCCACCCTTTCTGACGCCTATGCAAAGAGACATCATGTATATACATGATGTAACAGATGATGAAGTCCTGCATTTTGAGAGGCTCAAAATCTTGTTACTGTCTGACGCCATCTGATAAACGTCTTACAATAGAGACGTTTCCGCCATAAACAGTACAATAATTGCCGAAGTTACATTCTAATTGAACTGACAGGAGTATTAGTCTTAATTGATAACACTAACGGTGAATAGAATTGTTCAAATATATTATTTAAATTTCAATAGTACTCTATGATTGTCAAAAAGATTATAAACGTAATAACAATATCTTTATAATCAATAGAATGTTCTTTAAAAATCAGAAAATTGATAAATAAATACTTTGTAAACTCATAAATAACATTGGCACTAATGCATTTTTGAATAAACAAATTAATATGCAGTTTATTAATAAATAGTTAGTAAATATATGATATAATCAAATAATTGATTCTATACGTTAACAAATATCGTTAATTAAACTTTCTCTTTATTTGAACGGTTATTAACTTAATTAGAAACACATCAAAAGGATATACCGAGTATAACTATTTTATTCTTTTCATTAAATTGAAATAAATAAAAAATACAAAGACAAATGAACAAAAAGTCAGTACATATTTTACTGAATTCTCGAAGCTTTTGCTCGGAATATCACGTTTGGCCGGATATACGAATTCAATTCCCAAATGGGTAATCAAACGGGCGTGACGTCCATTCGATGAATGAGTGCCAGTTGAAGCGCTCGTGCATGTATGCGAATATGACGAGCATCAAGAGGGAGTACAACCGCAGAAAATAAAGAACTTGGTCCGAGGGAGGAAATTTGTAATTTAAAGTTGGCATAGTAATAGCTGATATTAAGTATTGACGAGTAGAATGACAGAAACAAATTGAATAAATTTTTTTTTACAGCTGTGTATCATAAAAAAGTTCATCAAATCTTGATTTAATTACTGATTGATTGACCCTGTGACAATAAAAAATAAAAGTAAAGATTTTTGCATAAAAGAAATTAAAAGTAATTTATGGAGATGAAAAAGTAATTATTGATAAGATAAGAATAGTAGTTTTAAAAATTGTTCTCTAGAAATTAAATTAATAACTTCAACAGTTAAACTACTTAATAACTTTTTTAGATCTAATCTTATTACGATGGTGTTTCTTCCTTTTTTTTATTTTATCTTTATTTATGTAATAATTGAATCATAAATTCAGTATAAAAAATAATTTAGTAGATGTGTATGTAAACATTAATTTCATTTCATATTAAAACGCTTAATAAATTAATATCTAGGTATCTTTTTTGTTTGTTCATCAAGTCTCTTGCGAGAATTTCCCTTGCTCCCGCGTGTAGTGGATTAAAATTGGAAGGAAATGATGGTGGTAGGCAATAGCGATCTGGGGATGGTGAACGTTTACATTCAACCTTCTTCCTGCCTTAGGAAATGAATGTGTTAGCTTGTAGTGAATAGAGGCAAAAATGCAGTTGTAGATCTTAATCTTAAATGACACAAGTTTATTAACTCAGAATTTTTATTTAAAAATTAATTGGAAATCAAAAAATGTAAGGTTATCAATGTTTCAGAGAATAGTTAAACAATAAGGGGGTTAGTTAGAGATTCAGTGAGCTGTTAACAGAAGGAGTAATCACGTTTACCTTATTGGACGACTCGACAAAATGAGTCTCTAGAGAAAGGTATACTACAAGATACTACATCCTCTCTGTAATTATATACAAAAAAAAGACGATGGGATGAGCTGGAAGAAAGACAGAAATACTGAACGGATCGAGAAAAAATCTAGTCCAAAGTTAGTACTACTGGTGACTCATTCAATCTGAAAATACCTGACTTAAGAGAAAAGAAGGAACAGAAAAGGAAAAAAAAAAGACAAAGTATTTAAATCTCTCAAGAAAAATAACTATATAATAAATTTAATACTAAAAACGGGAACGAGAATATCATTTATATCAAGAATTGTGGTTATTAAATGAAGTAAATCTTCAAATATTTAAATTCAGTAATAAATACAGTATTAAATTGACATTTAAAAATGAAAAATTTCTTAATTATGGATGTTAAATAAAATGCTAATGGCATAAAAAACATCAAATGACTAAAATTATCGTGAAGAAAAATGTGATTTTTCTAATGAGTAAAGAAAAAAAATTTCTATTTTTCTTTACTCTATTTCTATTAAATTCCTTTAATAAATAGTAAGTTAAAAAAGTCAAAAGCACTGCAATAAATGAATTTTAATAAATTAAATTGAAAGAAAAAAAGTGATAACTCACAATCAGTAGGGTGTTTAATTAAAGTGAGAAAATTCGTGGCTTTTTTGAATGATTTCAAAAGAATAGTTTGAATAAATAGGGGACGAAAAAGAAGAGATGAGAGAAAGGTTAAAAAAAGGAGCATCCCTGTTGGCAAAATACATACACAATAACCGAATAACCCTCTGGGGCATAAACTCAGGGGATACGAATAACACTTAGGTCTTGTTTCTGGTTCAGACTTTGTAACCTTTAATAAAGACAGTTATAACCTCATGTTTTAACAACATACTGACCTAAATTTTAAACTTTTTAACTATATTAGCAAAATATTATTTAAACTGGACATATAAGTGTAACGATAAGTTGTAAAGAAAATTTTATTTATCTTGACAATTCAGTAAGAATATCATAGAGAAGATTATTTGAGTTTTTGGCACATAAGTTTTAAGAGATAAGAAAGAATATCCTGTTTAACGCCTGGAGATGTGCCAGGTGTTCTATTACCATGGCTTCTCTTCAAGATATTCTGTTTTTGAATGGTAAGAGAGTGACTGGTGAAGATGGTCTTAAGTTTAACTGTTGTGTTATGACTACTCCAAAATTTTTACTGTATTATTTTCTATTTTTAAACATTCAACTAGAGCTAAATTTATTTTTAGTCTTCTTTCATTATAACATATAAAATAGAGAAAATAATTAAAAAACTAATAAATGAAAATTTTATTATAAAATCCACCACTGAATTTTAAAAATATTATTGCTATGAAAAAATGGCAAAATATTAAAAATGTCGAGTTTTATTTATTTTTTATTGCTGAGGCTATTATAAAAAGCTCTTAATAATAAAATTGAAAGCTTTTTAATATATAATACCTTTTATCTAATTGAATTAGTGAAAATTTAGAGATTAAAATAACCCGAACAACATAGAAAAGTATGAGCCATGAAAATAGAGAGAAATTAACAAATAATTAAATCAATATTTATACTAATAGAGTAAAAACAAATACGGAATAGCTTGAATAATGAGAGAAGCTCTTTTTAAGCTGCACATTTTAATTTAAAAATGGCGAAATAAAAACACAAATGCTAAATCGCCATCTATCTATTGTTCACAAAAAGCCTTAAATGCCAAGTTGTGGAACGGTAAATAAAAGATTAAAAATAAGAATAACAAATAAAAGACAAATCAGAAATAAATGTTTCTTTAAAAAAACATTGACTCAGGTTAAAAGTGGTATGCATGATTAGAATTCTAAAGAAGATAATAAATAACGAATAATATTAAGCATTATTTTTAAATTGAAATATCATTGACAATATTGGTATCCGATGGCACTTAATAAAATGATAATCTCTCCGATATCTGCTATCGACAGTATTACTTAAAGTGTCATATCCTCAGAGAAACCTGACGATGTAAAAATCGATGAAACGTCAAAATATTGTGTTTAAAAAAAGATACAGATTGAGTTTTGTTTTCGTCCCATAGATAGGTGTAAATTTAATCAGATACATTTTGTTGCAATTTGTTGATACTAGTGAATACACTACAACAAAAACAAAATACTTGGAATATATTTTTAAATGTGCTAAGTTTTAAGGATTATTTTATTCTCATGCATAATGCTTCTAACAATTATGCAAATTGTTTGGTCATTTACATTTCTCTCCACTGAAGCT